CTGGACACCCCCAGAAACGGCCCCGAAAAACCTGGAAAACCATGTGCACACCACAACACGAAACCCTACCGCACCTCACGGGCAAAGGCAGCAGCATCTCTGGTTGCAGGCTCCTCGGGCTCAACTTTACTTTGCAAGCGGTTCAAGTTTCAGGGCTGTTACGCGAATTCAGCTTGGCAATCTTAGCTGGTAGTATGAGTGCAACTGAGGAAACCCAAGCGATTGCAAGACATCGCCACTGCACAAGCTTAAGCGGTTGTCTGTAGACCTGATGGCCCACATGAGATGGGCCAGCTTGGCCTGAGCCCTAAAACCATCTACCTCAGAGCAAGAACCGCTCAGATTCTGCCTGTGACAGCGAGCCGGCTTCACGTCTTCCAGAGAGCACCTTAGCTGGACCACATGTAACCTTCTTCTTCCACCCGAAGGTCATGCCCGCGGAAGTTCGCAGATCCGGTGTGACACATTGAAGCTTCCGGAATCTTATGCAGAGCCTCTTGCTGTGCCTGTGACACTTGCCTTGTTGGTTCGAAGAGAAGGCGGCCTGAAAATTGTGACTTCTTGCTGCACAGAAGAAGCTGCGAGGTTTGGCTGCCTGTGTTGCTACGGAGAGAGGCAGCTGCGCTATAGTACGCCCAGGACCATCAGAAGCCTGTGCAGCCTGAGAGCTGTTGTGGTCCTTTGGTCTGATCAGTGGCTGAGAGTCGTTTCGCTGCGGCTGTGAGTTACGGCTGGGTGGCTTGCCGAAGCTCGTTGCGAAGGCCAGTGCGGGCTTTGCCCCGATGGGGAGTTGGTATGCCCGGCATTGATCAGGGGCACTGTGTGCAACCGAAGAAGCACGGAACACGACCCATCGCGGCTTGGGGGCTTGACGTGTGACTCGGGGCATCTGCCGGGGATGACGTTTCCCTTCAGCGACTCAGCCAAAATGCCGCCAACCCTCTCCTTGATCACAGCGGCTTCTGAGCACTGCCAGGGCACAGGACGGAAGAGGGCCGAGCCGAGGAGTCCTGACGGCAGCACTTTGCTGAGTGTTCTTGAAAGCCATTTTGGGCTGCGGTGGGCATTCGCAAGCCCTTCAAGCGGTCGGCGACTCATCCCTCAAGCTGCGAAACCCTTACCCGCCCTGCGGCTGTGCAGCACCACCTTGTCAGGTGCCGGCGGCCGGCTCTGCAAGCTTGCGTCGTAGGCCTAGTCCAGTCAGCACGGAGGACATATGCAAACTTTTGCTCTATTCTTAACAGCCTTGTACTGCTAAATACTCATCTATTCGTGATGAGGTGATCATGAGATGTTTCTGCACGTAGCAGGTGGAATGCTGGAGCATGGGAGTCACCTCGAGGAGCTGCCGGCGGAAGCTGGCCCAGGAGGAGTCCAGGGCTGCCGCGAAGGCTCCTCAGAATTCCCATGGGGGGGGTTTCGGGGGTTTAGGGGGTTTAGGGTTTGGGGTTTTGGGGTTTAGGGTTTGGGGTTTTGGGGGAAAGAAGTGAATATTGAGGGGTGCTGATATAGATAAGTACCATGGAACACCCAAGGACACAGCGAAGACCGAGGTAGTTCTGGATTGGACTTGTAGAGCAAGCAAGGAACGTAGTTACAAGCTTTACGCTCATCGATCGGAAGACAGGATATGCTGATGAAACTCCAAAAGCCATGAAACGACAAAAGACAAGCACCAAAAAACACGCCAGGTCCAGCTGCCCTCATGACCCCGAATATTAGCTAAAATTCCAAACGCATCGGCCAAGCCGGCTTATCACGCTAAAAACAGACGGATTCCAAGAATATGTGTAAGTTGTCTCAGTAACTAGGCCTTCAGCGTCTAGAGTACGGAGACTTTAGGCCCCTTTCCCGATTACCAGTAGCAGCTGCACCCCCTGAATTCCTAAACCCATTAAACCCAGTCAGCCCGTTAAACCCATTTTGCGGCCTGAGGGCCCCCTCCTCAAACACCACTGCTCCATTCGAGGGTCCATTGTGGGATCAGCGGATTCAATGATTGTTTGAGTCGGTTCTGGGCCTTCAACCGGTTTTTGAGCGTTGTGGTTTCGATGTAGCTCGCGTGAGCATGTTTCTCGATTCTTCCGAATGATCCCGACCGATTTTTCCTCGAAATCAAGGAGATCGCGACAACCAGGTCGTAGGCTCTACGGGTTCTAAGGACTTGGGCCTGATGCTTTTGAGGCTTTCAGGCGCCCTTTGAAGCAGTCTGCTCTGCAGCGCTGCAGCTTGTCGGGGTACAGGAAATCGAGGCAACGATCTGTCGATGGCGAGTCGATGGTTCTCGAATCTTCACGAAGACGCATCCGTGAGCCCGACGACCCAGCAGGAACAGCTGGACTCAATTGTAAGCCCGAGGCCCGGCGGCATGTCATGCGCGAGGCCGGTTGGTGGCTCCATGGCCCGTGATGCGGACTTGCAGAGGTCAAGGGTAACGGCGTGGGGGCTCAAAAGGGTCTAGGGTGCATGAAGCACACAGGTCTGGAGGTCTGCTCCATTAGTGGTCTTAGTATGTTCCCCGAGCATGGTCAATCCAATCCGTCTCTGGTTGTGCTGCTATGCCTATGTTAGCCGAGGCCTAGTCGTTGTTCCAGATACGCCTGGCTGGCCGAGCAATGGTTTGCAGCGAACTGAGTGTGGCGGCCGGCATGAGTTCTACGCTTTTTTGCTCGTCGGAGCCAGCCAATGGAGTTGCAAGAGTCCCTTGCGGGCGGGCATACTCACGCAACCTGCAAAAACCATCCAGCTCTGTAGCGCCGACCCCCCAGCAACTCGAATGCGCAGCAATGAGGCTGCAAGCATGAGACCTCGCCTTTGTTTATTCTGTGCACATTGCAGTCGAGACCGAAGCTCGAATGATTGCAGAGAGCGCAAGTGAGCAGTTACTTTCAGAATCCAAGCCTGTGCATGCTTTTCAAGACTCGTCCGTCGTGTTTTAAGGCTTTTGACCTGCGCAAGCAACACATCCATAAACAAATGGACCACCCTCCCGAAGTCTGCGGCGTTCACTTTCTTCTCCGGGCGATACAAGCTCTCCCACATCCTGCGCAGCCTCACTTTGTGAGCGCGCAGGGGTGCCACAATCGCTGCACTGAGACTGCGCATCTTATATGTATCGGTCCTGCCGCTGTGGTGTTCAGGGTGGATGCACGCATCGCCTGCGTGTAGCTGAAGCTGTGCATTGGGGGGTGCCGCCGGTATCAAACACCATGGCTCATGGCATCCGACCAAAAAAAAGGCGTAAAAAACGTTTGTTTTGGCCGATTTTGATTGCTCAAACTCCACGCTGTGCAAGGAACGATCCCCGGCACCAGTGTCACCTGTGGCCCTATGAGGTGTAGTGCGAGCGTCAAAGCCGAGGGGGCTGCCCCCCTAATCGGCGCAACCTGTTGCCAATGAGTGCTCAAGATCCTTACCTGAAGCAACGCCTCAGCCACCTTGACCAGCACTTGAGCTGCCTCCTCTGTGTGCAAAGATCATTCTTTCGTGACAGCGCCAGCAGGACTCTCGTGTCAGATTTGAGCTGTATGCGGAGAAGGTGCTTAGATTTGGCACACATGACCTGGTATATGGCTGAGGGAATGCGGGCCTGATCAGTTTCAAACAGAACCTGGTCGTGGCGATTCTTGTTCTGCCGACACCTAGATAGCCACCATGACTGGGCTGTGCCTTTTTTGGGCTTCTTCGGGTTTCTTTTTGGGGTTTAAACGGCAGGGTCGGCCCGCACCGGAGGCCCTGAATGTAAAGCATGCTAAAGATGCTACATATGTGCATGTGTCTGTCAGTGTATGTATGAACACAATCAAAGACGATGATGTTCCAAGATGTTCCAAGCTTGGCCTGGTTTCATGACTCGCGGCAGACCGCACAGTCCCAGTGCTGGCAGAGTTTAAACGCCAAGGTGTGCAGCGCTGCGGATCATTGCGGATCACTTGCAGCAACCCCGAACACGAGACCATAAAAGGCTCTGCAGCTCTGCACACAGACAATGGCTGTGTTCAACGATATATAACGGTATGTTTGACCTTCAGGTGTTGTCACAAAGACAGGGGGGGGGCCGAAATGCCCTTCCGAATCCAGATGCCTGAACTGTCAAACAAGACCAGGCACGGATCCCAAAATAGAGACAGGGAGAGCTGAGCTGAGCAGAGCTGAATGAGTGAACTGGACCCACTTCTTCCAAGGCGTAAACGTGCAGCTGCTCCCCGCAATCGATTCAGTCAGTTGAAGTACGCTGCTACGCTCCTTGCCAAGAGCTTCACAGGGCTTTACGCAGGTCATGCACTTCAAGGTCCATCGCATCGTGATCAATGAATGTGACCGAAAATCACCACTCGCTTGCTTTCAAACCATGCTTCAAAAGCTCACGTCAAGCAGGCAGAATCCCCTGTACCTGTGCCCCCTAATCTTGCCTCCGTCCCGGGACGAAGACAGTAGCTGCCTGACTCGGAAAGGGTTCAAGACCAACTCCCATCATGTTGACTTGCCAAGTATCGATCTCCCCTCAAGAAACTTGGTAGCCCAGTAACCGTATTATAATACGGGTACCCGAGACGGCCCCTTCTAAACTGGGCTGCCAATCCAATGCGGCTCCCAGTCACCAAGTACATATCCCCCCAAGCTGCCCTTGAATTTGTGGAGGCTGTCTAGAGTCTATAGAAAGGTGTTATTTTGTGGGGGTTGGGGGTTTGATGCTTAGGGTGATTTCTGGGCTCCCGTGTGGTTGGGTTTGGGGGGCTCAGGGGTTTCACAGTTTGGGTGTCGGACAGGTGGGGGGACGCGGCCCAGGCCTAGATAGCGATCAGGCTCAGCTTCAGTGGCATGTAGAAACTAGAAGTTTAGAGTTGCTCTCGGGCCCCCAAGCAGTTTCGAGTTTAGCACGCTCTTGGGGCCCGCGAGACCAAACGCCCACATGGGATTGCGAGCTCTTACAGGTTTGAAACTCCTAAAGTTCTCAAGGCCCTACGTGTGTCCCTGAACCCGAACTGCCCAAGCTGGCCTCAGATATCGCGGCACCGGGACCCAGTGGATACCACGGATTTGGGAGACTGCAGCTCGCTCACCTTGAACCATTCCCAATCTTGAACCCCTCTTCGTTCCCACTTTGTCATTGAAGTGGCTCGTGCTATTCAGACATAGGTGGCAGAGAACTTAAGGAAGTCAAAGGCATGTCAACAGCAAGTGGTTTAACCATGTCTCAAGGAGCCCAAGCGATTGGCATCCCTTGGTCCTGCCTCAGCCGACTGCAAGTTCGGAAAAGCACCTGGCACGGTAGCAGGAAGGGTCATGGGGCGGAAACACAGCTACTTTTAAAAGGCATTGCAAACCCTAAGCCCTAAGCCCTCAAATGCTGAACCCTGCGCGAAGCCTTCCGGTGCGCTAGAAGGCATCGGTGGCTTCCTCGAGAGTACATTATCGAGACCACGACCGTTGGCCGCGTCCTGGCAGCAGCGCTGTCACCACTCTTACACTTGTTGAGCTTGTGCAACCTCACTTGGAGGTTCAACCAATTATACCTGTACTTATAAGCCACTTAGAAGCCCCTAGTGCCCACATATGAACCTCCAAGCACCATCGTCCTGAGTAAAGGCAGTGTTGGGCACAGGGTCCGGCCGCAAAGCGCCGTCCAAGTCAATCACCTCTCCAGGCAGCTCTCAGAATCTGCATCTTGGAGTCTTGAACGCCAAGCCCTGCAAGGCCCTCCTACTCCCAGAACGTTGAGACTTGGACCCTCCGAATCCCTCCGGAACCACCGAATTCCAGCCCCCAAATACACCGTAGAGCCTTTTCAACGCGGAGAGCTTGGCGCCTTAGGATCTTCAAGCGGCGCCTCCGACACCCGGCGGCCTTCCGCCACCTTCACGTCATGAGTGACCGTGGGTGTACATCTTCGACTTAGAGGTTTGGTCCAACTTGTGGGCCCTTGTAACCCGAAGCCGGAAGTATTCTTCTCTCATCATAGAAGCACTGAAATGGAAAGCGCGAATCCTCAGCAAGGCCTAGAAATGTCTGTCGAGCCCTCTCTCTTTTTTGTTGCGGGCGGGGGGGAGGAGGAGGGGGGCGAGACGAATGAGGTTGCCGGTAGGTGGTTACCCTTGAGGGTTTGCAGCATCACATCAACTTCACGACAGGCGACAGATGCGACTTGGTAGACGCTGGCCAATGCCGCCATGGAGTGCAGCACCACGTCTCGGAATTGTGCTTGCTCATCCTTCAAGTCCTCAGCTTCAAAGCTTTCGGCTACTAAGTGCAAACCAGTGTGTGAAGCTCCACCCCTCGAGTACCGTGTGTCCTCTGAACACTCAGGAACTGTGCGCCGGCGTAGCATGGCGTAGCATGGCGTAGCATGGCGTAGCATGGCGTAGCTGCAGCCATGCGGCCGCAAGCATGCCCTGAATCGCCTGCGTCTTCAAATGAGTGGCGACGGTGTCACCTCGAAGCAGAAACTTTCTACGTGGGCCACGTGGTCTTCGAAAACTGCAAGGTTTCGAGCACGACAACTTAAAACCCTTTCTGTGAGGCAGAATCCCAGCCGGGCAGTGTATGCAACACGCAGAGGCGGCTTTGTATTGGGCTTGATGAAAACGAAATTTCGAAAGAAGCTGTGCTGGCATCGCACGTGAGCTTTTCAATCTTAAGAGCCTAACCAGCAGCTTTTTGGGTCGTCCTCCTTCCTCATTGTGCAACTTCCTCGCAGCGCCCAAGTTCCGATAAGAAAAGTCAGCGCACGGCTGTGCAACTCCACACTTCAGGACCCGACCCTAAAAAGGGAACTTCCGGTGCTTGCGGTAAGGGACAAATACAAAGGAGCTGCCGCCCTCGTATTCCCTGAATGCACAAGGCCCAGGTACTCTTCGTCAACTCTCCACGAATCTTCAGCAAACCTTGCACCTGCCGGCAGGTCCCATCTAGAGAACGGAAAGCCTTGAAGGGTTGCGGTCGGGAAGTTTTGCACTTCAGGGATCTGAGTGATCCAAGTTCAAAGCCTTCTACGCTGAAGACTTGGGCCATTGGGTGGATCTTCGAAGTGTTTTGAGACATGCTGAGACTAGGCATCGCTCAGACAATCATAGCGCAACCTCTGTGCTGAAAACATCAGCATTCCAACCACTTGCAGCTCGATTCAACTGACCAACATGCTTCTTTTTGGACATCCGGTAGCTCTCAGGATCAAAAAGCCAGCTTCTCAGACGGGTGTCCAGACCACATTTAGAATACCAGCTGAAACAGGCAAAACCCTGGGAGCGCCAGCTCCGTCACGTGCAACGTTCCGCTGCCATCAGCATCAATCACCTGCCGACAGAACTCACAAAATCGAAGCCGGCTAAATTAGCTGCTGTTGCTAAACAACCGATCCCGTGAGAAGAGCTGTTGTCCACTAGAAAGCCCTCTCACCACTCAGCAAAAGGTCCCCCCAGCCCCCCCGGCCCCCCCCATACTCATGGCATCTCCGACAGCAAGTGGCCAAGCGCCTCAAACAGGTTTGCACGATCTGATGGCAGGTCCAGGTCATTCATGAGCTTCTGGACATTCTGGTCCTGTGCCAACATGGCCTGCCTTGCCTCACCGACGGAGTTGCAACATTGATCCTTCTACGAGCATGGGACCTCTCCAAATCTCTCCGAGTTCGGTCCTGAATGACCAGCAGGAACAGCTCTTTGGTAATGGCCTGGGAGATTCGGGGCAGCTTCACTAAACTTCTGGCCATGGGATGCCCCAGTTTAAGCCGCGGGCAATGTTGTGACGGATGTCTTCGTCGGTGAACGAGCTGGTGCCGAAGTTCAGGCGGGACTTGTCCTCAAGTCATGCGTGACTCTGCAGCTTGTGAACTTGCACATTGCACAGAAGGCTTGCGGCTACCGACGCGAATTTCCGTCCATCACTTTCCGGTTGTGAGGATTGAGGGATTGCCCTGCGACCTCTCTGTGACCTCTGGGCATACCTTGGGCAAACTCTGCAGAAGTTCTTTCCAAATCCTTTCTCGACTGCCGATTTGCCTCCGGGGCTCCTCATCTCTGGTGTCATGGAACAAGCGATATGCCTCGGCGAACTTCTTGAGAAGCTCTCCTGACCGGCTCAGATAAGGATTCGCTGCCGAAACTGGGCTGCTACCAGGTCGTTAGCATTTGCGATTTGCGGAATCCCTAGTACACAGAGGAAGCAAGTGTGTCAAGACCACAAAACCACTTTGCTTCAGCTGACACGCCTGGTCGGACAATTGAGAGCAGAGTGTTCGCCGTCCGTGGGAGCAACTCCACTATGTACTTGCAGCTTTTTCATCAGGTATGCAACAAGGACCGAGATATGAGGCAATATGAGGGTCAGGGCCTCAAGGTGTGACAGGGAGAAAGCGGTTGACTCGTACTCACTGCTCTTGCTATCAGTACAACCGCCCGTATGAATTGTACAATACTACACCGTATTATAATAGAGAGAGCACAGTGAACAAGATGAACAAGCGAATCCGCCAAAAGCCCCCTTAGATGCAGTAAATTCTAAGCCCACCCATGAATTTGCTACATTTAAAAGGGTCTTTTGCCCTCATAACAATAAGAAGTATTACTGCCAAGTGAACCGCGCCTTCATTGCGCTCACGCGGCATCAACATCATTATAATGGGCCCCAAAAGCAGTACTCATCGCGTATATAGTGCGCCTGCGAACGAAGGAAGCGTACGAACACGTCGTTTATCGCGCGCAAACTGCATTAACTATAAGTGCGCCGGGGGTCGTACAGCATTATTACTAACGATCCCTGCGCACGCACTATGTTCTTCTCTTAGCGTGCGATTCTAATGTCAAGAAAATATTCATAACCCGCAGGAACGTGCTACTCCTAAGCTGCCGCGAGGTGGCGTGTGGTCCGGGCAATGCGGATGGATTCTCCTGGGCACGTCCATTGTATACAGGCCGTCTGCTAGCTGCCAGTTGCGTAGCGAGTGTATGGTTCAAAAGATTGAAGGGGTTCCCTAAACCCTAAACCCTAAACCTAAACCCTAAACCCTAAACCCTAAACCCTAAACTCCATGTATTGCTATCTGTGGGTCTCATGTGCGACTCTACCAGCTGCTGGGCAAAAGGATGCAAGAAGGTCACATTCACCAACTGGAACCCAGTGTCGTGCATACTGCTCCGCAGTCGTCGCTTCCGTCTCCTGGCAGCTTTCATACGGGACTTGAGACTCACATTGCTTTTTCTCACCTGACTGCTGGCAAGGCAAGGGCAAGCTGTTGAAGCCTACTGTCTGAAATGCTTTGGGAGATGCACTTTTTTTTGCAACCTCATCTGTCCTTGGCAGCACGCATGGTGATGTCCACATAGACCTCTGCAGCATGGGTCTTTGCATTTCGGGAAACCCAGACTTGATTTGGCAAGGCTGATGGCTTCCTTCTGAATTTGAGGGCTTACGACAATAAGGGGCCCTAATAAAAACTCCCAAATCGTAGGATCCTAATCAGGTACCCTCTTCTCGTAAACTCCCATTTGTTGCCGGGTCGATCCGAAGAGGCCGCCCCTAGCAACCCAGATGCCAGACGAACTGCTAGTGCGTGACAAGTGGCTGCGAGGATCACATTGAAGATTCCTGGGCCATGAGCATCTCTGAGTGAATGCCTACGTTATGGTCACTTTCTTCGGTCTCCTTGATCTAAAAGAACCAAGGGAGCACCGCAGAGTTGATTAAATTCACAGAAGTGACCCCGAAATTCAAAAACGACGGCCAACCTGCAGGTACCTACCCTAAACCCTAAACCCTAAACCCTAAACCCTAAACCCTAAACCCTGTAGCCACCGGTCTGCAGCCTGGGATCCCATGGAGACCAACATGTAGCTCAGCACGTAGGAGAGGACGAAGGGCCAGCCGAACACCGAGGACATCACTGAGGCAATGGGTGCACCTCTCAACTTCTTTTGGGGTTTTCGGGTTTAGGGTTTTAGGGTTTTGTAGGTTTTAGGGTTTTAGGGTTTTAGGTTTAGGGTTTAGGGTTTTCGGGTTTAGGGCGGGGAAGGCAGAACGCCAAGGCCCCAGATGCTGTGTACACTAAGTGCCAATATAGGGGGGGGGGGGGGGCTTCCCCAAATAGGGGTCCCCCCTAACATAACCACCCGAAATGGCATAATCCTCATTATAAACCTCAAAAAGGGGGCACCCCCATTTTCGGAAATCCCCCACTCATGCCTGAGTTTGCAAAGCATTCGCCAGAGAAGCAGCGGAAGGAAGTGAACATAGACCTGGGCTCCGGGGCTTCGGGTTTTGGAGCTGAGGCCGGGGGGGAGGCCTGTTCCTCTGTGGGAATGCATGTGATCAAACACTCTTGCGATGCAGAACGACTTCCAGCAGAAAGAATCCGGAAACTCTTTCATCTTGGCTGATTGGTGCTGAATGGTGCGGAATGCCCATTTTGATTGCTGCTAAACCCCACCAGATCCACCCACTCAAGCCCCAAAATGGCGATCAAAGGAAAGGACTTGTACCATCAAGGTGCTGAGGGATGTTCTCAAAGTGCCCCTGCAAGTCTCCTGGCCGAGGGTTTGGGGGGTGTTTGGGGCTTAATGAGATTTTATGACGAAGTCATCTTCACTTGCCATGCCTGCTGTGGATGCTTGGGCCCGTATGGCCCATGAACCCCTGGAACCCGAACCCGACAGCAAGAGGCTGAAAACTCGTAGTGGTGAGCTCAGTAAAGGCCGTGTCCAGGAGTTCGATGATATCGGCCGATGGTCATCGTGGCAAAGCCGGCGATGACGTAGAGCACCTGACTTTGCCAGCAGGTCTAAGTTCAAAGAGCCTGCTTAGGGTTTAGGGTTTAGGGTTTAGGGTTTCGGGTTTAGGGTTTAGGGTTTAGGGTTTCGGGTTTCGGGTTTCGAATTTAGGGTTCAGGCCAGCCTTCGAATCATTCCTCACAGGCTGCCTGCCGTGCCGGTGTAACCAATACTTCCAGCTCTAAACGCCCCTCACAGCAATCCACAAAACCGTAAGACCAAAACCCTAAACCCTAAACCCTAAACCCTAAACCCTAAACCCTAAACCAAAAACCCTAAATCCAAAACCCTAAACCCTAAACATCCAGGCACCGCGAAGAGCAGCGCAAAGGAGAGCAGCAGCGTGCGGATTCCCCCAACCAAGCCCTTCACCATCAGACGCAGCTCCTGAGACCACACGGGGGTTTCCGAAAATAGGGGGTTTAGGGTTTAGGGTTTAAGGGTACCATCTAGGGGTCCTTATTTTCAGGGAGTCCCATTCGGGGGGCTCATTTAGGGGTCCCCTATTTGCGTGAACTGCCAGATTGAGACAAGGAACAAAGATCTGCTTCAAGGCATGCGCTCTGACCAAACAGACCCATTCCGGCCAAACCCAATCTGAAACCCCAACCTGCTCTTAGGGTTTAGGGTTTAGGGTAGGATGCCTTGTAGCCGTTGTAGCCCGGAATCAATTTCTGTTCTAGCGGTCACAAAGCAAGGAGAACTTTTGCCTTTGATGCGACATGGCCTAATGGTTGGATGCAGATGCACGCATGGCTCTCAGATGTAGGGTTGCTCTCTGAGCTGTCCTTCATGTAGTTCAGGCGAAATACTTTCCTGAGCTGAGCTCAACTCTCACACAACAACACGCAGGCAGGAACACGGGCTGAGACTTCGGCTTAGATGTTCCAAACAACAAACTTGTTGACAAGTTCGCAAGGCTTCCGCTTCGTCACTTAGACCCAAACCTCGGACACTCCGGCAAAACTTCCCGAGTGCAGCTTGGGCATCACGACACGCACCAGGCGGATGAGGCGGCAGAAGCGCAGTAGAGAGGCGCCGAACATGTCTGAGCCCTCCTGAGAGAGCATCTTAGGACAAGAGGTGCCTTTGGCTCATTTTCGGAACCGGAACCATTCTGCCTCGTTTTAAAGCAGCGTCTTAAATCGGATCTCCGAATGCTGCGCGTCAAGATCTGCAGTTCCCTTGATTGCGGGCAGCATGTTTGGCCGTACCCCGAGCAAGGCCTAGGGTGTCGTGGATGCATGACGTGACGTGAAGCTTGTCCTGCATGAAGAGCTGGAAGCTCACATCCGTGATGGCCTGACTCCGGTTACAGCTTGATGTACGATGGCATGCATTCATTTGACATGTTGGCAGAGTGTGGGGGCTTTCTTCGGCGGCTATGCGCCCGTCTTTGTACATTAGCACGGTGAACCTTCCAACGTCAACAGGATTCAACTGGCAACTGCATTCGTGCTCAAGTTTCTTAGGAACCCGCAGTGCACACCAGAAAGAGGTCGAACACGTTCCACAAACGCTCCTGAGTTGCAAACGTTGCAGCTTGGCAAATCTAAGTCATCTGTCTCATGTGCAGGTCCCCCGCTAGTAAAGGGGTGGTTTGCACTTAAAACTGCTCGGCTGGCCCGGCAATCCTTGTTCATGATCGATGTCCATTATCAAAGGCTTCCGGAACCGCATCCATAAACTCATCCATGTAGTAGCAACAATAAATGGGTGGCAAAAACATTCGGGCAAACTTCTGCAATTCAGCCTTAGTTTGGTGAGCCCAGAGACCCCCCCCTCCGACGACCAAAACACATTTCTTTGACGGACTTCTTCACATCACACTACCACAGTATGATCAGCTCGCGATCTGTGTAAGAGTACGCCTCGGTACCAAAACAGTACATTCTTAAATTACATTACATTATTTTTCATGTTACAAAGATTAAACACATTAACGTTTACTATATTAAACATTACTCTGACATTGTATATTGTTGTATTCTTTTTTGTATTTAGTGCAGTACTTTCTTGCTCATATAGCATTCTACCAATGTATCATGAGCAGGCCAGCCAGTGAGATTCCAGGGCTACCAAGCTCGTGGGGCCGTCGAACCCTGAACCCACTCAATGATATGATGGTCTAGTATTGTCCTTAATGGCATAACAAGGTGATGAAACATAAGAAGCCTAATGCAGCAAGAATACAAGTGAAATATAATCTCATAATGTCATTGTCGCACTGCAAAAAATGTGTCAGCATAATAAGGTAGTAACCGACGAACACAAAAAATATCATTATGATGCTAATAGAATATGACAATAGAATATCATCATTGTATAACAACATCACCATACCACGATGCCATTCTTGAATGATATAAGAAAACCATATCACCATATAATCGTATAATTCAGTATAAAAGTAGCATGATACTACAATAGCATTATTCTTTTTTGCAATACAGTAACAATACAACTAATGATATTAGTTTCGTCATGGTGCCTGGTCAGTGGGCTTGAAGCTTGGCTACGGCAGAAAATGGCGCGCAGCTTCTAGTCACCCATCCGAACTTCTCTCAAACAAAGCAAGATCATGTAACAGTATGGTGTTATATCAGTACAATACTACTATAATATTCCTTATAAATATAATCATCTACTGCTCAACAGGGGGCCAAAGGAGTCCAAACCCTGTGAAGGCTGAACGTATCTGAACGTGCCGCCGGCGTGCCGCTGAGCAGAAGAAGCCCCGAAGGCCGCCAGACAGCCATACTCTGAGGCAGCATTCCAGTACCAGTAGGATGGCCTCTTGAGGGCGGTTTTTGAGGGTTTCAGCCTCTCAGTTCTGAGCAATAGGAATGCTTCGGCACGGCTCTTGAGTTTAGGGCCTCGGGTTGTTCAGCTTATGGTTCAGCAGAACTGGCGGCAGAGACGTCAACAAGGGCTGCGGAGATACAACGGTTCTGGGCATGATGCTGAGAGCTTGGCAAGTGCGCTCGGCCTAAAGTTAAGCTGCCTCTGCCACTTCCAGAGAAGTCCGTCTTACGACCCTTCAGGCCACCTCAAAGGCAGTAATTTACTGCCCCATGAAGTTGAAACCCGCTTCCTAATCAGCAATGTGAAGCACGAACAGTCCATACATGATTTGTCTTGTCTCTCGATCATGTCCAGTCACGAAGATCAACTCCACGTATGGCCAGCCGGACCAATGCTCGAAGTTGGGATCAGTCTGGAAGCCGATCATGATGCCATTCCTGCAAAGACACAAGGCTTCTCTACCCTTCATTCACTGCAGTCTCTTTCCCGTGCTTTGAAAGTCCACACCAAGCTACGATGCCCCGCAGACAACGCAAGAAGCCAAACTTTGCAGCTCTGCAAACCCTCAGAACTGAAAAAAAGAAACATTCGTGACAGGCTAGCCGTTGCAAGCATGGATCACCAGAATGAGTATGGCCACCATGGGTTCGATGTAGAACCTTTGAAGCGCCCAACGCTGCAATCGGTGCTCAAAAGCCCATCTTTAAACACCCTCGCGGTGAAGGCATGTGCAGGCTAAAAACTTGCAGGTATAAAGGTACGAGCTGCAAGTTGCACCCCCCCCAACACAAAGAAAAACTTTCTGTCGAGGTGCAGGGCGTCCACTGCCTCAGGGGGTGCGGCCAAATCATTGATGCGAACCTGTGTCGGGGAGCGCTTCCGCTGAGTCCGGGCTTGGCTTGCTTCCAGCAGCAGAGGGGATTCCACATGAAGGCTCTCAAAGCATCCCGAGTAACCCCTTAGAATCGAGGGCAGCACGGAAGGGTTTTTTTTGGGTCCAAGATGCAAATGTCAGCTCGGCCACCAGCTTGTTGGTATCGCCGGCCAGGAGGATCTCTCGCATGGCCTCTGAACAGAATATCAGAATTCTGGACGCAACCTTCGAGTCTTGCCTCGTAGCTGCTACAAATGCTACAAAGTAACGGCCATGGTGGGACTGGGCATGTTGCCAATTCCTTGTGATCACATGCGGGACAGTGTGGCCGGACCAACGTGAGCCTGCGATCACCGAGCCGCGAATTGTGTCTGGCTGCGTACCCGGAGCCCTGTCTGGCCTGGAACTGCGTCAGCAAGCGTGGGTGGAAGAGCCGTCGGTGAAGTTCCGCATCCTTCGCAGGGGTGCTTGCAGCTTTTGGGGGTAAGGGTCAGCCTCAGCTCTTCTTGAGGGCTTAGTGGGGCTCCAGTCTACTTTAGAAACTTAAGCACAAGTAGCCTGCGGCACGGATCTTAGCCTGGGGTACATCCTACGTGCAACTTCTGAGATTCTTAACGTATCTTGGCAGCTTCAGAGCTTACTCACCTGCATGACTTGCTGCCTTGTGGAGAAAGATGTCCATGAGGGCTTTGGCAGGCACAACGTTGAAGTCATAGGTCCGATGCTCATCAATGGATCCGGCAAGTTCGGATTGAGAGCCCTGAAGGAGCGGGCAGTTGACTGGCAAAGGCAGCAAAGGCAGCGGCAAGTCTGGATCTATCTCCCTCCCTCCCTCCCTCCCTCCCTCCCTCCTTCCATCTCTCTGTCTCTCTCGCTCTCTTCTTCTACCCAGCGAAGAGGCCCCCCCCCCAGGAGAGAGGAACCCCGGCCACGCTGGCCCGCTGCTCTGTCTTGGTGAAAAGACGGGTTTGTTACACATTGGTAATCCCGTTTGTTTGGACGAAAGGTGTTGGTTCTTCTAGACTCAGGCCCCTCACTTGTCGACCCCCTCGTGTTGATCCTCTTCAGTGGCCCCCTCGTCCTCCTCCTGTGCATCGTCTTGGGCGTCGATTTGCGTGCTCTGCATCTGTCCTCCTGGCTGGCGCTCTTCTTGACCAGCTGGACCCGCGGACGAAGTCGCTCCTTCGTGGCGCCCTCTTGGTTGGACCCCCGAGGCGGTCTCACTCGCCCGCAGGGCCTCCAAGTGCCTCCACTCAATGGCCTCCTTGAGGAACTGCTGGTATCGGAAAGGCTCCCCGGGTTGACGTGGACGATGCCATGGGCGCCATGGGCGTAGGAGGCAGTTGGGCCACGGTCTTTTCCAGTAGCCTGGGGCCCTCACCGGCCACGGCCCCCCTGGCGTTGTTGGTCTTTCGGCCGGCTCCGTCCAGACCCCTCCAAGACGTTGTGGCGTCTCCGGCAGGTTGTGTGTGTCCAGGTCCATGGCCACCTCGATCTCCTCGTCCGTTGTGGCGTGCTCCCGCTCGCTGTGGTTCTCCTGCTCGTCCAAGCCCCCAGCCTGCTGCGTGTCCGACCCCTCCGTCAGGTCGACGAGGGTCTGCTCTCCCTCCAGGTTCGCTCCCCTACTTGTCGCGGCTTGGCTCGGGTCCTTCACGTCCTCCATGTTGTGCTCTATGAGCTTGGCCCCTTTCCACCGGGCCCCCTTGGAATGCAGGGTTTCCAGGTATCCTTGCCAGATCCTCCCCATCGTTTCTATCTCGGCCTTGTTTCGCCAAGCGCGCTCTTGTCGCCATCTGGACATGATCTGGTAGAGGACGGTGAGGTGCAACGTCGGCTCGCCCTCTTCCTCGAGGAGCAGTGCTCACCACACTGTCCACTTCAATCTCCATGCCGCCTGTCGCTGTGGCCCCCACCATCCATCGGTTGAGAGCCATCGTAACCGCGGCCACGTGGTGATGCTGTTGGTGTGCCTGCATCTGGGCGGTCCCCTCCGGCGGTCGGTTGGCCCCCCGGCCGTCTTCTTCCGCGTGGTACTCGTCGATGGTTTTCTGCACCCATTCTTCATGTAGAGCTCGGTCTTGTTCCCATTCGTCTTGCAGCGCACGCTCCTCTTCCAGCTCCCTTTCAACCCTTTGTTGCTCTTCCAGGTCGCAGTCCGCGTCACAGGCGTGGGTCTCCGCTGCCTCACCCTCGCCTTCTCCGATTTGTGGTCCTCCATGATTGTGTTCTTCGCCTTCAGGAGGTCCCCCACTCCCTTGCGCGTTCTCGGTGAGGTCGGTGTAGTCGGTGTGGTTTTCTGGGTCCCCATCTCCTCTCTTCCTCTTTGTCCTTTGCACCCATGCCACTTCATCTCCTTCGTCTGCGGTCTCGTCCCCATAGCTCTTGCTCTGGCGGTCATCGTCCTTGTGCTCATAGTCGGGCGGGTCGTCATCGTCGGGCAGGTCGTTGGCGTAGTCGTTCATGGTGTTCCCCGTGTCTGGTGGGCGGCGGCCCGCCAGCCCCCATTGAAGCAGAGCCTGGTCCTCCTTGTCGTCCTTGTGTTCGCTGGCCACGTGTCCGTCTTCTTGGTGTTGCCGTTCATGTTGTGTGGGCTGGTGCTCCAGGCTATCCAGCAGGGCATCAATGATATCCTCCGCCTCCTCCACCAGGTCCGGCGGCGTGTTCGCGTTCACTACGTTGTTGGGCCCCTCCGTTTGTCCTGCTTGCTGGCATTGTTCCGGCTGTTGGCCTCGCCCATCAGGCTGGTCCCCTTGCGGTTGATCAGGAAGGTCCGGCTCGGGGGGATCGCGTTGCTCCGGGTCTCGCTGTTCTTCTCCATCGTGCCAGGGTCTTGGCCGGTGCCGATGGCGGTTGAGCATGGCACTCCATTCCTCACCCGCCCCCGGCGTCGGAGTGCTGCCACTACGGCGGACCAGTTCGCTCCATTCCGTGTGCCAAGCCCGTTCCCATTGTTGCCAGTCAGCCCACTGGCGAGCTTTGCGTTCTTGTCGCACTGGTCCCTGTCCCCCGTCGTGCCTCGGTCTGTGCTGGGCCCCCGATGTCCACGTGCTCCACGAAGACCAGCCACCCCAGCTCGCAGAAGTCCCGGATGTAGTTGGCCCACTTGCCCAGGAGGTAGACGACGAGGCAGAGCTGGTAGAGGGGTTCCCGCGGCTTTGTTGGTGACCTCCCTGTTGGCTGGCCCCCATGCGCGTGGCCTTGCCTTTCTTAGGCTCCTCCGTGGCTCGGCTGTCCTGGTGAGCCCCCCGTCTGGTCCTCGTCGCTCTGCACTTGTGGTAGTCCCCCGTGCGGTTGTCCTTGGTGTTCTCGTTGGTCGCGTTCTCGGCCTCCTTGAAATTGCCCTCCGTAGTCCGCCGCGTCGTCCCAGTTCCAAATGCTCCAGGGGGCCCCCTTCACTACCAGGATGCCCAGCAGCGGCCGGAGCAGCAGCAGGAGCAGCCCCATGTCCAGGTAGCACAGAAGGAGGCGGTGGGGCGAAGTTGGTGCAGGGCACAGGCAGGGACCAAGACGGCTGCGGAGTCGGTGGCGGTGAAGTCCCCCTTGTGGCTCTGTCATCTCACTTACTTCAAGGGCTCTCTCTCACTCTGTTCTCGGTGGCCTCCCCCATGGACTGAAATTTTTCCAACGACCTAGGCTTTCGAACTCATCTCGAGGCGTCATTCGCTGATCGTTGCCGCTAACCAAAGAGGGCTCCTTGGGAGACCCCCGCTGTCGAGGTGAAAAAACGGCGAGGTGGGACGGGGAGGCAGTCACGGCCCCCACGTCACGGCGCCCCCCCTGGTTGCAGCATCAGGGAGGTCGGTTTCACGGTTCTCTGTCTTTTGCATTTCCGGGAACCTCCTGTCCGCGGCTTTGCTTTCTTCCTCTTCTGTTTGTTGGGGGCCAAGTTCTGGAGTTGGAGCCGTTGAGCCAGTTTTTTGGACAGCTGCTCGTCAGCGCGCTCCCCCAGTTCAGCTTCAAGGGCCGCCTGTGCGTTGGAGGCCCACGGGAGGTCTTGGGACTTCACCCAAGCTCTCTCCTTGAGCTTCCACGCTTTGCGGTCTTGGGCAGCCTCCATCCAGTCGTCGACCTCCAGGAAGGCGTTGATGTCGTTCTGGACCTCCCTGCCCGCATTAAAGCGGCCCGGGTGTCGGCGGCCCCCTCTCTTTTGTTGCTCCGCCTTCCACCAAACCGGCCCCCTCCACCTGAGGAGTTGTTTGGCCCGGCTGTTCTGTCTGGCCACGTGGCCGTACAACCTCCAAACCTGCCGTAGAACGAAGGTGGAAAAGCGTTCCTGTTGGTGGAGGTGAAGCCGAGCGCGTGAAACCCGGAGGCTCCGCATCTCGTATTCCACAAAGGGCTCCCCTTGCTTCCTCCTCAGGCCTGCCATCACCCGCACTAGGCGGAGTTGCTGTGTGTTCAAGGCCGCCAAGAGGTTGCGCCCCGGCGGCATCGCCGCCGCTTGCCATAAAGCGGCCCCCCTCACAACAGCGTGGAAACTTTCCCACTTACAGGTGAGCGGCATCTTTCCCGCGAAAACAGCTTTGTGGGCCCAAAAGACTTGGCGCATCTTGGCGTTGACCTCCGCCGCAATGTCCGAGGGCCCCCTTCGGAAGCCCTGTTGAGTGCCCAGAACACGAATCAGTGTCCCCGGCTTCAGGAAGGAGACCGTCTTGCCCCCGATGACGAGGGTGCGCTTGTCGCCTTCCACGCTGGTCAGCACCTGGGTCTTGTCCCCCTGAAAGTCCAGTCCGTTGTCCGCCGCCTTGCGCTCCACCGCTGTGAGCAGGGCTTGCAGTCGACTCAGGCAGAAATGCCAGAGGTACATGTCGTCCGCGAAGGTGGCCAGGTTGAAGGGCATTTCCCACCCTGGCTCCTCTTGCGGCTTGGCCATGTTAAACTCTTCCGCCACTTCATTTGCCAGCTCGGCGATGAGTGCTGCGAATAGCACTGGCGACTCAGGGGCCCCCTGTTTGACTCCATTGCTTTGTCTGACCAGCAACTGTTGGTCTAAAAACTCCACGTGGACCCCCAGGTGGCACACCATCTCGATCAACAAACGCGCCTCCTTAGGGCGCGCGGCAAGCTTTCGTGCTATGAAAGCCAGGAGTCTCGGAATGCGGATGCTGTCAAAGGCCTTCCTTATATCGATCTTGACCAAGAAGGTCTCCTGTTTCCATTCTTCGCACACCCTGAGCATGCGCCCCAGGCCGATTGCCAGTTCCAGGGGCTGCTTCGAGGGCGACGCCCACTGTAGATCGTGCGTGGTCCCCAGCAGCGGTGTCACCCGAGTCAGCGTGAGTTGGCTGAGAAGCTTCAGCAGGGCCGAAGACAAGGTGATGGGTCGTAGGTCCCCCCACCATGTCGGCTCCGCCTTTTTTGCCATCATGAACGTGGACGTGCAGTACAGGTCATCTGTCGTGAACCCCAGTTTCAGGAAGTCGTTGAGCTCCTCCAAAACAAAGCCCCCCCACACCTCGTCCTTCATGATAATTCGCAGCGCTTCGTAGGTGATGCCATCTGGGCCTGCTGCCCTGCCGGATTTCCATTTGGCCATGACCCTGTGCACTTCCTCCATGGTGAAGCCGCAAAAAGGGGCCGGGATCACCGCGAGGGTGAGCCTCGCTTCATCTCGAGCAGCGTCGTTCTCGGCCAGACTGTCCCTGAAGAAGATCCCCTCCAGGTACTCCGTCATGTTGTCGGTCCAGTTGTCGTAGCGCTGGGCCAGGCGGGGTTCCCATAGCTTACGGGGCCCCGATCCAAAGAGCTTCCTCCAGGCCCCCCAGCTGCCTCTAGTGGCCCAAAACGTGAGGCTCTTGAGCCACTTACGTTTCTCACTCTTCCGCACAGAGTGAACCTCCTTCCACAGCGCCCTCGAGGCTGCCCCTTCTGTTCGTTGGGCCGCTTGCCGCAGCCTTCCCAGGTGCGCGCTTTCCCTGAAACGCGTAGACTCTTTGGGCACGATGAGTCTCTGCGAAAGGTTGGCGACCGACTCAACCAGCAGTCCTTCCCCCGCGGAAGGCGGGGCCGTTGCACGGAGCTGCGCTGCTGCTTTGTCAGGCATCACTGGCACCCCTTTCCTCAGCTTACAGGGTCGGGGGTCACGAGTTTGCGGGAGCTGCACCACCTGAAGCTCTACTGCATCGTGGTCGGAGGACATCTCATGCCTGGACTCCTCTAGCACGCCAGCCTCGAGCATGCACAGGCCTTTTGCAAAGATGTAGTCCAAACGGCGTGGTCTCATTTGGTCGTTGTAGGGGTGGTAGGTTGGCGCGGCCCAGCTAGACTCCGCGGAAACCAGTCCAAGCTCCTGGAAGAAAGCAGCCACCACTTCTCCTCTTGCTCTTGCGGTGGCCCCCCCAAAGGCCCCCCTTCCCTCCCCCAGTGTCAATGTTTCGTTGAGGTCACCTCCACATACGAGTCGAGAAAGACCGTGCAGAGGCTTGGTCGAGTCATACCAGTTGCGGAGTAGTTCTCCAGCTTGCTGCAATGTAGTCCAATGGGGCAGGTGGCACGACATGAGCCCCACCACGCCCAACGACGTCGTGCGCACTTTGGCCCAACTGAGTCCCAGGGTCCCCCCACATGCCAACACCGTGTGTGAACCTTGAAGATTTCGTCGCCGAAGAAGAATGCCCGTGCTCCTCCAATCTGCGTGTGACCAAGCTTTGACGAGAAAATGGTCCTGCAGGGTCTGGGCTTGGCAGCTCTCTTCCCCCAAGAGGGGGATGTGCTTGCCCAAAGGCCGCGGCCCTTTCTTACTCGCCGTTGTTTGTGCAGCGGGGATTTCCCCCTGTTTTGGTTGCGGTATCTCTTGCAAGAAGACGAATTCCAGGCGGTCCCCCTCAGAAGTGGCCACGAGGTAGTCGACGAGGTCGCCTTCAGCGTCCAAGCCTCCCACGTTCCACGTTCTGAAGCAGTGGTGAAACTCACTCGGCGTGGATCAGCGGAGCTGGGCCTCGAGGTCCCCCCAGGGGGCCTCGATGTCACTCTTCTGCTTGCCGAGCTTTTCTGCGATCTTTTGCATGTCCAGCCAGCCGTGCTTGGTGCCGTGCGTCTCCCTGGCAAGTGGCCCCGCCGTCGTTGCCGAAGCAATCCTGGCTCCCCACAACCAGACGGTCCCCGACGACCACTCGCACTCGACCTTGGCCTCCTTGTCCAGCGTCAGCACGAGCCGCTTGACTTTGCCTGCGTAGGCCGCCCTCTGTCTTTGCTCCTGGGTTTGACTCCAGGCCCCCCAGAGCCTTCGAGGGTTGCCGTCATCCCTGGTCCCCACCTGCACGTTGGCCTCCCGGATCTGCTTTAACACCTTCGCGAAGCGCTCGTTGGTCTCCCGCTCATCCTCCCCCTCTTTGGGCTGAAGCGGCACTATGGCCGTGCCCCGTCTGATCCCCGTCGCGAACATGGTGAGGGGGTCAAAGTCCAGCTGCAGCTTGGCGACTTGTTCGGTGAGCTGTGCCAACAGTTCATCACGGGGGGTGTCGCGGTCATAGCCCCCCAGGACGATGGCGCGCCTTCTTGTAGCGGACCCCGCAGTGCTTGCCGAACCCGTCGCGGTCGTAGAAGAAGGCCCCCCACTTTCGAGGAGAGCCACTCGCGCCTCCAGTCGAGCAAGTCCATCTCTCTCGCTCTCTCTGTCTCTCTCTTTCTCTCTCTCTCTCTCTCTCTCTTGCTTGCTTGCTTGCTTGCTTGCTTGCTTGCTTGCAGCACGCATGACCACCCTAGGGAGGTCGCCCCAAGGGGCATGCTCTATCGAGTCAGTCGGTGTGAAATGGAGGTTTCTGTGGAGGTCGGACATACCAGGCGAGATAATACCGAACATGGGCAGTGCAGCTTCGCGGTTTTGGGCTCATGGACTCTCTCTCTCTCTCTCTTTCTCTCTTTCTTTCTTTCTTTCTTATTTCTTTCTTGTTCTCCGAAGGAGATCTTGACAGGCAACCAGCTCGTCATTGAAGGTTTCGCGGGTCATCTCGACGGCGAGTCCACCCCCCTCAGCCTAGCTCCGTTTCTCCGGAGTTGCCTTTCCACCATTGCCGAACATGTCGTTCTCAGCGCCCCTGCCAATAATGTCCCGCCCCCTGGGTCCAAAAAATGCCCTGCTGGCGGAGAAGACCTAGTACTAAAACAAGTTGTAGGCCCACCCCCCCCCCCCCCCCCCCCTTCCTCGAAGAACCGCAGCCCTGGCTCGATCACGCGTAGGTGTTGTGATCTCCTAGTGGGTTTCGAATGGCGTTCTCCCTCACACACTGCTTAAACCGCACACGGCTTGAGCTTGAGCCAGCAATCTCTCTTGCTCTCTTTGTCCCTCTCCGTCTCTCTCCGTCTCTCTGCGTGTCTTTCCGTCTCTCTCCGTCTCTCTTCTTCTTCTTCTTCTTCTTCTTCTTGTTCTTGTTCTTGTTCTACCCAGCGAAGGTGCCTCTCTCTCTCTCTCTGTCTCTCTCGCTGCACAACTTGAGAGCAAGAAAGAGAAAGTCCCATTTGTGTGCCTTCCTCATGCTTCCCATCCTCTCTGATGGCCATTGCCAGACTGCTTTGCCCAAGTCGCCATGTTCCTGCATCAGTACTGCCCGACAGGGTCCACAAGGGGTGGCCCATTCTGACAACCAAACCTGTCAACACTGCTAAACATGGACCATGGGGACCTGCTGTGTCAGCCTGGACATGGGTTTAGGGTTTAGGATTTAGATTTTAGGGTTTAGGGTTTCAGGGCTTTAGGGTTTAGGGCTCATCATCTGAATATAATTCATACTACTAACAATACTAATCATGTTAATACTTCTGCAATGTATGTGTGTCTTGGCCATTCGTGCCGCGTTACTACTGCGAAACTGCCGAAGTTGCGGGTGGGTTCTAAGCTTTGCAACGATCAATGCCAATTAAGAGACTTTGAGCAGTAGGTGCAAATTAGATTATAATGCCCCATAATGCCCCTGTTTAACCCCCACTTGCACCGAATTCGAGCTTCGCCCCTTCTCAAAAGGTTTCTTAGCCATTGGAGGGCATTTTTCACTTTTGTTGTTGTTTCTCTTCTTGTTGTTCATTCACAAGATACGTAGTGCACTCGACAAGCAGCCATCGTAAATCATGTATTGAAGGTGATAACGATAATGTATTTGCGGCGTTCCCTATGGTATTAGCCTGAATTCTCCTACGACCGGATTCTAGTTTTACACCCACGCTTCACTTTGGGCTGTGGTTGCGGTGTTAACCGTAACTTTTCATTTTCCGCTTCTATGTTGCCTCGTCTGCAACTGGTTTACTCCACTTCAGCTGTTCAGTTAGGAGATGTGTCCGTTTAATGAGCTAGACAAAGACAATACTACTTAAACAGTCGAAGGGCCGTTTAGTTACAGTAGCTTTGACAGAGTTGACCTTTAACAGTTCACACTTGACTTGCTAAACAGATATGTTTCTAGATGAGGGGACTTGAAACAAGTAGGAGCCAAAGTAAACTAAATGATCTATTGATAGGAATGGCTTGAAATTCACAAAGCTAGAAAACCATGAAACTCATTACACCATAGATCAGTGGGGTGGACTTGCAGTATTCGTATTATACAACCGAAAAGGGAAGAAGAGCACTGTTCAGAGAACTGTCCGCTACAAATAACTGATTTTATCATTTGCATTTGTTAAGCTTTTATGTGAGAGCTGGAAAGGGCAGACTAGAATACTTAGGGGCGAATTCTTGCAATCATGTGTCGTATATGAATGCAATGTTCATCCATAGAAAGGTGATAGGACCGTTGCAGTAGTCAAACTACGAAGGTTAGCCCTGAATATGCTGCGGAATCTGTTTGATTTTTCGATAATTTGTTGGGTCAAAGAACGGCATTCTACTAAAGTGTTAAATTGGGTGGGGAGGTACACAAGTACAATTCAAACCCAATATCTGTGTAACTTGATCAGGCAACAATTGTTAACCAAAGAGCCGAAACCGAATCTACGAGCTTTCCCCCGTAAAATGCTCAGCTTAATCGAGCAATCCATACTTCACACACGAACGGGCAATTAATCTAGCGTTGCATTCCAAGAACTCAAGTATGGAAAAGAGGGAGGTAGATAAACGTAATCAGGGGCCAATTGTAACCCTTTTACGAATATAATCCTTTATGTTCTTTTTAAGTAACAACGGTGTCAGTTCCGGACTTGATTTAGTAATTCCCAGCAGTCGAAGGGTTGGGTAACCCGGAGGCCGGAAAAGACCGGGACGCCGGAACGGACCGGGACGTGGGAACGGAACCTCAGACAAACGAACCCAGTGGGTAAGATGAGTGATGGTCCGCAATAGCGAAACGATCCAAACCAGTATTTGGAAGCACACCAGGCGACAAATACGACGGGGTGAACGGGTGATTTGCTCAGAGGCCAGATGAAGTATTTATATGAATTACTTTCAAAGGCGAAAGGGTAATATAGTTAAAGCAATTGACTTAAAATTGTAGGTGCTACCCGCCCCTGCCGCGCCCCCCTGAGGATCTAGTGGTTCTTCACCAAACAGGAGAATGGAGACTAGGAATACATCAAGCAATGGCTTTTAGACGGTCCCATCCCTTTCCAAATTTCCATATTTCCCAGATGCCGCAATTTGCCCCCCCGCATCTCCAACTTTCCATATTTCTAAATTTTATCTTCTCACCATCCAAATTTCAGTAGGTGTTTTGAAACTGCAAAATTTTCAGGTTTTTCTTACCGGTCCGTTTCAAAGTTTCCAACTTTCCAGATTACTGAATTTGCTTCCCCCACTTTCATTTCCAAATTTGCCCCCCCCCCCCCCCCCACCACTACCTTCCCCATATAATGTACCAAGTGAGCCAGGGTTTGCAAATTTTGGAAAGTTGAATAAGTGGAAACCTGGAAATTTGGGAACCTGCAAAGGAGATGGGCAAAGCACATCCAGAAACTTGGAAACGGAAAGCCTGAACGACCATAGACCGTGTTTGAAACGGGGCGAAGACGAGCATGCATGCACCGGTAAGTGTACCTGTGTGTAGACATCAATTGTATATACGTACATGCGTCATGCTGCCTGTGCAGGGCTCGTCGCACCTTGCTACTTGCAAGCTGTCAAAAACCATGGAACAGCGGGGTGAGACAATGTGCGCAGCTTCGGCTTCACCGATATAATTTAATTTGTGTAGACTTAGCAACGCCAAACACATGGGTAGTCCTCTAAGTTATTTTGGGGTCCTCATTCTAAGGGTGCCGTGCTATATAGGGGACGACTCAAAAACGGATCGGAACTTAGAGAACTACCGACATCGAAGTCTCGCTGCGAAGCCTGGGCCGAGAAAACGCTGTTGGAGGACCATCCGCGGTTCAGCTGGGACTCCTGGGAGTCAAAGTATCTGGGGAGTGCTACACCCGCAAAACAAAAATCCCTGCGCCTGCTGCTTGACAAACCGGAGGCTGATAAAGGCAGCCATCTCGTTCACAAGATCATTCATGTCCTCCGAAGTTTCACATTAACTCAGGAATTCGGCAGAGCCGTAGCGCACTTCAATGCACCGTCATGGAAGCACCGTCGGACGGACCCCAGGAGAAAAGGGGCCTCGACCGCGTAAGTCGTCAGACCCAGCGATGTGACGGCATCATGGAGGTTCCTGGCATCAGCCGTGTGTTCCATGGCTTCTCGGCAACTCAGATGGGCTTCCCTGGATTTTCAGAGGGCCTTGGGATGACTTTGGAAGCCTTTGTTTCGGGCCTGCATCGTTATTCTCGAAATGATGGCTCTAGAGGGTCTGGGAGGGTCTGGGAGGCTAGGGAGGTTCCAGGGACCATGTGAGAACACCTCGTCGCAGCAGGGGCTTCGGTGTGCAGCCCAGGCACTTTCCTGTAACCAGCTGCTGCGACGAGAGAATGTTTAATCGCACCTCAGGGAACGCACAGGCCTCACCTTTGGCCTAAACGGCTCCGCAGCCTAGAATCCCTAGAATTTGGGATGCTGATGTCTTAGAGACCAGCGAGGAGCTCATTTTTCGTTAACAGGGTCTCAAGGGCGGAACCATTCACGACATTCTGATAGCTAAGCCGCTCGAAAGAACAGGGCGAGAGAGGTGAACACACGGTCAAGGCAAGACTGACAGGTGAGATAGTAAGAGTCGTAAGAGTGAGTGAAGGAACCAAACAAGGCAGGCGACGTGACTGAGGGCTCCAAGTTCCGGGATGATACGGTCGTGAAGGGGGTTCTTGTATTCATAAGACTCCGCCCCAGATGTGGTGGAATCTCTCGCTAATTGAAACAGTGCGTGAAGGACATTACTATTGGACCGTCCAGGTTAACGACTAAAGCTGCAACACCGGCTGCGGTTGGAAAGCTACTGCAAGACTGCGCAGCGGGCACTGGCAAATCTCATCGTGGCTACTCTCTTGGCTCCTACTCATTTCTGACCGTGTTAAAACTCCCGCAGATCCCAAATCGGCAGTTCAGCTTGTGCTCAGCATACGCGGCGGCCTGCAATCTTTGTCGAACATTCTTCTGCTTTGCTGGATCGGCAACCTCACTGGACATCGGTAACCTAAACCGGGCTTGTGCTAGAGGTCAGTGTATAAGCCTGCCACATTTTCCTTGCTGCTAACTGCTATCTCAAAGGTCGGTAGTCTGCTTTCTACTGCACTGAGTATATTGCAGAGCTCCCAGCTTATAGGCTTAAGCGGCTTAGAGTTGAGGGCTGCAATGGGCTGCAGGTCCCAGGCCTCGGCCCTATCACGAGTCTCTGTACTAACACCCTGCTAAATCATGGGTTCCCTGCCTGCTCTTTCCGTTCCGGGAGGGGGGGAAGGGGGGGGGGGGGAGTTTGATAGAGCGGAATTGTGCAGCGAAAGCAGCCAGATCCAAGCAAAACCAAACCCGAGTCAATGACGATGACCCACCAACACGCCACTACCCCGGCTGCAAGCCTTCTCGAGCTTCTCGTGGTCCTGTCTTTGGTCTGTTTCGACTGATCTTGCAGTCTTGCGGTTACGGCCCGGCACTCAAAAGCACATGGCTGCAATCGTGACCCTGCCTCCAAGTGAGGGGTCAGGCTAGCGGAAGGTACCTCCAGGGATTCTGCCCAATGCTGAGAGGCAAGCCCGCAGCACTTAAATCAAATGCTAGTCAGCCGCTAGTCTCGCCCGAATTCCTGAATTGATGAAGCAGTCTCGGGCTAGGGGTGGGTTTGTGAAAATAGGGGAGCCAAAAACAGAACCACAAATAGTAGGATCCCCGTATAATCAGGAGCTCAATAAGGCACCCCTAGTTTATGCTACAATCTCAGAAGCCAAGGCCACCTTGCCGACCGGCTCAACCGCGATTTGATGGCTGGCCTCCGTACCTGTGATGAGAGCCCCTAGCTTTCTTTTCTCTTTCTTTTTGGGGCACGTGGACCCATTGAGACCCCCTTTCTTCCCATTTCCCTGATGCACTTCGATTCTACCCCCCCCCCCGCCCCCCAGAGCAATTCGCCGACTCTGCCTCCCCCGCACCGCAACGGTTCTTTTTCGCGAGCTCTTTCTCTCCCTCCCTCCCTCCCTCCCTCTCTCTCTCCCTCTCTCTTTCTTCTGTTTTACTATCTTTCTTTATGCCTTTTTACTTATTTGTATTTGTTTTTATGCTTATTTGTCTGTCTTTTCTTTCTTTATTTCTTTCTTTCTTCCTTCCTTCCTTTCTTTCGTTCTTTCTTTCTGTCTCTCTCTCTCTCTCTCTCGCTGCAAGCATAACCCCTCGAGTGGGATCGCGCCAAGGCCCCCTTCAGTACGAGTGCTGGTGAGACTGATGGGCTCACTCTCTTCATGATTACGGTTTTGTTCTTTCTCTCTTTGAAGCCGGCGGCCGCGGCGGCCGCGGCGGCCGCAGCAGCAGCAGCAGCAGCAGCAGCGGCGGCGGCGGCGGCGGCGGCGGCGGCGGCGGCGGCGGCAACATCAACAGCAGCAGCAGCAGCAACATCAACAGCAGCATCAACAACAGCAACGGCAACAACAGCAGCAGCAGCAACCACCAGCACCACAGTACCACCAGTACCACCAGTACCACCAGCACCACCAGCACCACCAGCACCACCAGCACCACCAGCACCACCAGCACCACCAGAACCACCAGCACCACCAGCACCACCAGCACCACCAGCACCACCACAACGAGCACAAGCACAACGAACACCACGAGCACAACGAGCACAACATTCAACAACCACAACAAACGCAACAACCACATCAACGAAAAGAACCACAACCCACAAAAAACGACCACGACCACGACCACGACGACGACGACGACGACGACAAACAGAAAATGACCAACCAAGCAAACAAACCACCACCTACACCAACCAGCAACGACCGGCATTGGCCAACACATGTGAAACCGCCACTCACAGTTGCCAATACCTTCCTCATAGCTCCGCGCACCTTCCTCGCTGTAGTTTTGCACGCCGTTCACTGCCGTCGCGAGCTTGTACTTCCTTGTGTTGAAGATGCACGTGTACCGAGTTCGATAAAACTCTGCGTACGCTGAACTCATCCCTTGTCAAGCAGGCTCAGTTACACACCTCTTTAGGAAGCTGGTCTCAAGAACAACTTGCAACTTTGCAGGCGACTTTATGGTGAAACTCTGCTGAAGCTGAAGTTCGTGGCCATCATCTGCACCTGGACGTAGGAGTAGAGGCAATAACACCAATGCAAGAAGCAGGTTCAGTAGCAGCATCGGTAGATGCAGTAGCAGCATCGACACCTAGCTGTGAATGTTACATCAGAAATTTGGGATGGGCTTGCGCCATGCTGGTCCTGTGAAGCTCATAACCCTCAGGCTTTAAACACAAACAATCAGACTCAAAGCAAGGTCGCTGGGGCTGTGTGATTCTGCTAGAAGCAACAGTTGCACTCCATGCTCACATACCTGGCGTAGAGAAAGTTGAGTTGGGAGGCCCGCTTGTTTTCAAAGCAGCCTCCCGTCTTTCTCCATGCAACTGCGACCCCAAATTGCCCTCAAAAGCCCCACCTCCATTCTTCGCAAGGTTTCCAGCTGCGTGGACGATGTCGCATCCGTGGGTATTGCGGTGCTAGCATGCGCCTGCAATGTCAAGAATTGTCAAGAATAGCATATACTCGTTCGACCGGTGCAACTTCCTTGAGTGTAGGTCAATTCGAACATATCAGGTGCAATGCTACGGACAGGTTGTGAGATGTGTTTTGCCTGAGGTCCTTAGCTGTTGTGACGCCCTGAACCCACCACGATAATTCTCGGCCGCTACAATATACTTTGCCAATTGGCTGCGCAGCGGCCGTATCGAACCGCTTCGCTCGAGTCGTTAACAGATCGGACGTTGAATGGGGATGGCGAGAGCAGAGGGTTGACGCTTCCTTGACCATTTGAGGCTTGCAGGGATGATGGCGCTGCCATCCCTTAAGCGTCCAAGCAACATCCACGGAGGTCTCATGAACACTTTGCAAGATCGTAGCTTTGTACTATGCCTCTCTCTCTCTCTCTCTCTCTCTCTAGGGATGAGATGCTGCTGGAGTCCAGTGACCATTGACAACCTCAGATCATGGTCAGAATTCCCTGCCACCCAGTGACGTCAGGCCTTTCTAGGCACCAGGCGGCCGAACCACCAAATTGCGCCCTCAACCCTGACTGAGCCCTGAATGAGCCATGTAGAGCCTCGAGGAGAGTCTCGCGAAAGCACTGCCATGCGGCATCAAGCACCTGTAGAGCTACGGGAACATCACTCGTTTGGATTGTAACTCAAAAACACTCAGGGTGATGTCACGGTTCCGTTTGCAAGTGTCCAACGCTGGCGTAACAAGGCGGTTCCCTACAAAGGGAAGCTAGATTTGCGAGGTCAATGGTCAAGTGCCTAGCCAAGTTCATGCCATTCCCCAGATGATGACGGTCAAGAAGCCCTTGTATAGTTCAGCGACAGTGCTGCTTAAGAAAACATTGGCTTTAAGAACATGAGGGGCTCGGCCGAGACCTACCCAAAAGGCTTTCCAGGGCCTCATGGAGGGGACGTGCAAGTTGACCCCGGGAAGCTCAGGCCCTCGTGGAAGGGATGCTTTCACAGGACATGGAGAGACGACTGTTATTGGAAAACAGCTTTGACAAACAAACGGAAAGACGAGAAACGTGAGAATGCAAATGCAAACACTGGCCAACATGTCTTCGATTGATTTAGCGGAAACTTCGCGCCTATACAAAAGGAAGTGCAAACAGCGGTGAGAAGCAAGCACGTGTTTTGAAGAACAACAGCGACAAACAAGCTGAGCAAATAAAAGCTGTGAGAACGAAAACTGCAACCAGCTTCTTTGGTCAGGCAAGCCGCTGGTCTGATGACTCTCTCTGCTGCACCCCGCTCCCCGCACCCCACCCTTCCCCCCACCCCCCCGCTCCACCCATTCCCCGCCCACACGTCGGTTTCTGCCAGCGTACGCAACGAGCCCACTGGGCACACTCCCCACCTATTCTTGTTAAAGTGGACCTGCCATTGCTTTGATGGCTTCCTCCACACGCGTAGCTTGTGAAGTTTACCTTTTCGAGGGGAATTGGCTGTTAGAAGTGTCCTATGCGTGCATTCTGTGACGTCTGACTTCGTCTCAGCTTCCGCACACTCAACCCCCCGGGTGTGGCGTTGTGGTTCTGAAAAACTAGAACTCTCGCTTGCCTATCCAGCGCTGTTACTGTAATGCTTCTACTGGTGTTTTCACCTTTACCCAAGCGCGCCGCAACTCTGCACATCCACGTCAAGCGAAACTGCGAACCAGACTAAGTAAAGCCGACTACGCCATGCCCCGACCTGTGCGAAAGGCTCGTTCAGCAGTGGCGGTTCATCCATGGCCACCAAGGCCGCCACCAAGGGGCTGGTCTGACAAACTTTGCTTTTGTCAAACATTGTCTTGCCGTAACATGACTGCTGGACACTATTATGCTCTCACCTGTGGGTCTCTAGCCGCTCGAGTTCAAGCTTCGCGGCCGACTGTTTCCATCATGAGTTTCATTGGACCGGAAGTCTGATCATGCCGTGAGGAGAGCCGAGAAACAAAACACAGAAGCCAGCATAGCAGAGGCTCGAAATGGATGGCCTCTCCAAAATCAAGAGTGCTCAGTGAATGGAAGTGCTGCATAATTGACCTTTCAAGCTGGGTTACTGCATGCAGTCCGGTTGAGGAGCTCCGGCTACCCAAGAAAACAAAGCTGCCTCTTCAGAAATCTCACGGCAGCCTGGTGCACACAAGCCCGGGAGGAATACCTGTTTTGCTGCCACGGACTCTGCGACGCGACCGCTGGCAGAAGGAACTACCCCGCTTGGCTCGAAGTTGCGTCCCTAAATCAGCCATGGCAAATAATGAGCGCAACCACTGCAACATCAAATTAGGTGTTCTGGGCATGGCTGGAGAAGCTGAGCGGGGATATGGCCACAGACCCACGTAAAGCCTAAACTGGGCCTAAACCCCTCTCGCCTTATGTGAGCCCTCACCAGTGCTTTCAAGCGCTGTGGGACATGACGGATTGGACAAGATAGAATTGCGTGCTTCGCAAGATCAGATGATCTTTGGTGGCTCCAGATTCTGCGGGCACTCTGCTTCCGACGACTGTCATCACGAGGTATGTGATGAGCTGAATGCTTTTGGAGGTTTTCGCTGGAATTCACAGACCCGGGGCCACCAGACATAAAACATGGAAACGATCCGTATGATCTTGGTGTGGCTGGCCTCTTGATTGAGCTTCAGTCTGACTTGAAATGCCCAGTGCCAGTTCCTGCCGTGATGGACATTCTCCAGTCCGAAGACGATGACTCCACACTGGCTAATTGTGCCGTAGCCCATAGTGACTTCGGACCATGTCAAATCCCCAAAGCGATCAACCCTCGATCGCTGAACAAAGACGGAAGGCCGAAACCCAGCATGACGTAGTGACGTAGTCAGCTCAAGCAGAGAGCTGCGCCAGACCCTTCGTGTTGAGATTCTACGCTCGCTGCGCGTTCGCGCAAGAAGTGAAACCTTCAAACAGCAGCATGAGCCCCTTGCCAAATCAGGTACATGGACATTCGTTTTGGATCGATATGATGATATGATCGATCTCGTGACTGTTGTCCTCCTATCCGCACAGCCGCCTGAGGGGGTCTGCACGTGTTCGCGGCAAGATTATATAATCGGCTAGCATTGTTGTCGTGTTGACCTCGTGTTGGTTCCGCAAGGCGAGTGCTTGTATCGCTGACTCACCATCATCCTTTAATACCCTCACCGCAGGTTCATATTTCGACAGTTGGCAGGATTGCCTGCCTTCTGGCCTACGTGGCTACGATGCAGGTATCCTTAAGCTGGGTGGCTTTCATGCTCTGCTGTCATTGAGCACGAGCCCGTCGCCCGTAGGCTCACAGGTCCGCCTTTTGGTGCACTGCACCCGCGGGGAAGTTCTGGATCATACGCGATTCGAGGCCAGACAATGTGTTGCGCATCTCCTGGGCGCTGAGGAGGTGAAGCAGCCCTGCCCTACACTGTGCAGACCTATTGGTATTCCGGGGCAATCTGAGGTAAGGGACCCATTTGAAAGACTTTGAAATCAGGTTGTCAGGCATCAGTCATCAGGTCGGGACAGTCGAGGAGACACCCTGACAAGGCTCCCCAAAACCCCAGACGTCTAACGTCCTAAACATCCGAAACGGTCCTAAACCCCTTCCAGACCCTAAATCCTAAACCCCTCATGCACTCCAGGGCTCCGAGACCATTTCTTGGAGCGCCTTCGTCGCGAGGAGTGTCGCCACCGTGTCGCTTTTCTTGACATCTCCGCGGATCTTCAACATCCCCTGGAATAGGGATGAATAAGGCTTGCTGCTCCTAGGGTTCGACATGGCCATGCAACGGCATGAGCGCTGTGGCGGCCACTTGACAAGTTTTAGGGTGTGCTGAGAACGTCAGTCGTGCAGAGAACTCGTTTGCTGGATCCCTTGCCTGAACCAGCTCCGTTACATCCATGGTTCCACTGCCATCTGCATCAATGACCTTGTCAGGACTCGATACTTCAGAGGGTTCCCTGAGCCGTAAGAATAGGGGGTGTAGTGGTGGTTCATCGGGTTCAAAGCTGGGCAAGTGCCGTTTGGACTGCGCGCGCGCGTAGTGGAGCACGAAGGGAAGACTCCGAACCCCAACTCCCCCCCACCCCCCCCCCCCCACCCCCCCAACCCCCCCCCCCCCCCTTGTTTGTGAAGGCCAGGTGAGTAGGCTGCAACCTCCCTGGGCTGTGGCAACGAATGCGTGTGGGCAAACCTACACTCCTGCGCGAAAATAAAGCAGCTTTGCCAGTGCTTCCTTGTGCAAGGTACACCTATAGGTTGTGGCTAGTCAGCTAGTCTGATGAGGTAAGATTCCAAACCCAAAGATGTAATTAATGATGTGCCATGCATGTGTGGGGCCTGCGTCACGGCCATTCTGCAAAGATCATACGTTTGGCACGTGCCAGTATGTATCCTGGCACACAGTGCAATGCATGTGTGCCTGATGCGTAATTACCTCATGTTCGCCTGTCAAGCTGGCCTCGAAAAGGTTTGCCCTGTCAGGCGGGAGGTCAAGCTCGTCCATCAGTGACTGGACGGTGCGATCCTGGCAGTCGGATGCTTTCGAGCCCGTATCATGGTCGTAGGGTGCCACAGTTGCACATTATGCCGAGATCCTCCGAGGGCTCTCACAGGTTCTTGACGTTTCTTGTGCGGTTGTCCGATGAGCAATGCACAGAGCCCCGACTTGCGAACCTCCAATGGCTGATCCCAGATATTCCCGGACCATTAGGCGCCTGGATCACCAGCAAGAACAGCTCCTTGCTGAAGGCCTTTGGACATACGCCGTATCCGTATCCAACACAGGCCAATTGGGCTGTACGAACTAAGCTTCAGGACTTTTAGGAACCTCAGCACATTCCCCCTTTTTTGTTGTTCCGGGGAGGCACCCCCCCGATGCTCTGCAGCAGCGTGCTCTGAACACTGCAACAATGCTAGTGGCGACTGCTCAACGCCCTGTGTATCAAGACCATCTTCTTGGGCTCCAGCGATGTCATTAATGTCTTCGTCTGTGTAGGCGATGGTATTCTGGGTCTCTATCTTGAACTTTTGTCTGTCCTGAGCATGCCGAATTCCACATGTCATACGAAGGTTACCCTCTACGTGGCACCTATGGTCCCGCAACGTTCAGAAGTGGCCGGCCGGCACCCTGCTGCTGACCATAGCCTTTCTGCATCTTTCTACACTTGCCTTCGGACAATTCTTTGGGCGTGGCTGGCGTAACCGGCGTATCTGCCCTCTTTGGGGCCATTAGTGACACAGAGGGCACGCTTCGCATCGCTTCGCAAGTCCTGAATGGCCCTCTGCCTTCCTGCGCACAAGCCTCCCAAAGATTCCCAAAAGGTGGCGTCAAGATTCGATCCGTCAAAGGACCTGAAAGTCCTGAACCCCGAGACATCCTGGGCACAGCCCTTTGTATCGCCCAGCAGCTGGTTCGTCAAAGTCTTGATAGAGGCGGTAAGCCTGGAGCGAGAACATGAACAGCTGTGCATGCACCGGGGCCCCATTTAGAACAGCGTTGGGCTGAAGTCGCAAAGACCGCCTCCATTCCCAACCCATTGCACCTCCCCTGCTCCGACGAAACAACACAAGGCCTGCGCAAACTTCTTCAACAACTCGCCTCGGAAGCAGCATCAGATCTTCGAGCGCGCCTCATGAAAACCTTTCCCCTACTCAGCCCTACTCATCTCCATCCGACTCCATCCCCCCAGCACTTGGCGAGCAGCACCACATCTCACAAAGTGGCATCGAATGCTCCAGGATTGCTCCAAGCCCCTTGGGCCCCCAGCGAGTAGTTCGAGCAATGCGAATCGACTCGCGCGCATGCTGCTCAGACGTCACGGCCTCCGTCTCCTGAGGTCGCAGGGGCTTGAGATCCGATGTCGAGCTTCGGCCGTGATACTGGCTCGCAGCCCAAAGCCTACGCATGCAAAAGCCTAAGCACCAAAAGCCTCGAAAAATGTTGTCAATCATGTTCGATGGTGCGACTGCGATGCCATCAGTTTGCTGCAAGCCCCAAATACACCCTACTTAAGACACCACCGGACCTCAAATCGGAACTGGCACCTGTAGACTTGCAAGACAACATCCCAGTGCAAAGGCGAAAACAGGCGCACGCGCCTTCGCAGCTCTCATGGTGATGTCCACATACACCTCGGTTGACACTTTGGGCCACCAGACTGGGCATGAAGACTTAAGCGGTGAGGTCAAGTGAGTGCACTACTTAGGGTAGGCTTGCTCCAGGGAACAAATAACAGCAAGCACATTCCTGAAAGGAACTAACGATGATGATTAAGATCATCAACGCCGCGACCACCATGCACCCGCAGCCATCATCATCATCATCATCATCATCATCATCATCATCATCATCATCATCATCATCGCCGCCGCTGCCGCCGCCGCCATCACCGTCATTTTCATCGTCATCAGTACCATCATCAACATTAAAGCAACAAGGTAGCAATATGTAGCAATAGTAGTACAACTGCAACGATAGCAGTAGTAGAAAGGACATAGCGGTACCACCTGATAAGCTTTGGGACGTGCGTGCCACCTTCCAGCAGCGCTCACTCTGCAAAATAGAAGTACATGTAATACCGCAACCTGAGGCCACTCTGATCTCTTCAGAAGGGATGCCGCCAGGATAACGTTGAAGATACCTTGTCTGCTGTCATGCTATTTTCGGAAGTCACTGCACTGCCAGCCTACCTGGACATCTGCCTATTTCTTGAGAAGTTGATACTTACCATTTACGGTCTGCGGATTGCAGTAGGCTTCTCGCGGCTGAGGACTTCTTCTGTTGCTGCGACAGCACACTGGTTGAGTAGGCCCTTCTTGCCGAGCATTGTGCTTGTGCACTCAGGGGAGTTTTTTCAAATAACTACAAGTCATACGCAGGAAAAAAAAGAGCCCGAGGTGGAAGGTTTCAACTTGCCTTGGCCAAGGGACCCATGCTGACGAGCATGTAAGTGATAACGTAGCAGATGACGAAAATGAAGCCAAATTCCTGCAGGTTTGGCATCACGTGGAATGGCAAAAGCCTAGCATTCTTGAACCCTCATATGTTACATGTTCTCAACTCATGCCACAGGCTGTCGCAAGCCCACCTCATAACACGCACAACCCGCGTCCTCGGCCAGCAGAGCATGAATCGGCTCACCTTCCCAAGGAAGGCGATTCGTGGTCTCTTCTTTGCGGCCGTAGATATGTAGCTAAAAGGGCTTGACACGCTCGACACTTTTGAGGGCTCGGGGCTTGTCAGGCCCTGCTGGTAGCTTTTTTTTGGGGTGGGCTTTGGGGTACTGGTAGGGCCTCGCTCGGGTTTAGAGTTTAGAATTGCCACAAACTGTTCGAGTTCAGGAATGGCCTCTCCGTACTGCTTTGGTTTCGCCAACTGCTCATCGTTTCGGGCTCACAGTTTACTACTCCCTGTCGGTGTTCGGGCTGGCCACGCCCGCCCCCTCTAGGGCTCTTTTGTCGAACTCCAGCGTTGCAGGAGCTGGAGGTACACCAAAATGCACAGGCACGGACGCAAAGAAGCAGCTTGCTGGAATGAGATGGAGACTGCGCGAACGAGCACTGATACTGATCCACCCGTGAAAGGAGTTGTAGAATCAAAGAACCAGTTGTAGCAGCAGATATAGCATCAATATGAAAAGCCATGAAGTCAGTGGTAACACGTATACCGACAGGTATGGTCTATGGCAGCAGTCAGAATAATGAAGGCATGAACCTTCTGTCGAGTGGCCTCTTCTTGAGATGCACTCCCCGCTGTAGCAGCGAAAGGCAGTGAACATCGACCTTCAGTAGCTTTTCACGAGAAAAGTTGTGTCATATCAGTAGATGCCGCCACTCTATAGAGTCTACTCTAGAGGCCCCTGGAATAATGAGCCCCGGCACCCTGCTCAAGTAAAGCAAAGCACGCCAAAGCCGCCTTTAGAAGTCGTTGCTGCCAGAAGGCTGCGGAAGATCTACAAAGAGCTCTTCGAGCCCCAGCCGTGCCGTAGCGATGTCTCGCCCGATGGTCATGGTGGCAAATCCTGGAAGCTTCAGCGGAGACTTGCGCTAAGCTCCGAAGCACTACAAGTCTTTCAGCTCGTAAAGTACCCTGTGGGTAGGCCCTCCACCGTCCTCCTGCGCATGTACAGTGAGTCAGTGAATTGCAGGTGCTTTTTTTGGGCCCCCTTGTAGCCCTGACTGGTGTCCTGAAATCACATAGAGGACCGTAAACAGCAAAGCGAAGGCCAGAAGCAAAGTCCGCAGACCTCCGCATGAGCTGACGCACACTGTGAAGCTTCCAGTGTTCCAGCATGCGAGAAGCACAGGTTTTGGAGAACTTGGCGAGATTTGGCGAGCTCTGGACACTTCATCGAACCGTGGAACCAATTTGCCGGTTCTCCAAGATTTAGACTCCATGTCATGGTCCCTTTTGGGGTGAGTGCCCGTACTGAGGACCCTTCTACTAGAGGAACCCCCGCAGCCCCGGTGTCCACCTGCCACCAGCCCCTTCACCATGAGCCGCAGCTCCTCCGCCAGGCGCAGTACAAAGTTCCCTTTTCAAGAGTCCTTACTTTGGGGTTTAGGGTTTAGGGTGCCGTATTGTGGGGCGTCTTTTAAAGTCCTTACCAGAGGGTTTTAATTAGGGCTTAGGGTGCCGTAGTGTGGGGGTTTTGCTTAAAGTCCTTACTATAGGGGTTTGGGGTTCAGGGTGCCGAACGTGTGGAGACCCGAAAGGGACCCCCTAGTTTAGGAAACTACCCGTCGTGTAATTAATCGTCAACTTCTACCAACCATCATGCTTCTAGAACATGTCTGGTGTAAAGTTCGAAAATACAAGGCTCTCAATCCTTCTCTCGGCAGGTTCCTGTGGAGGACTACACAGGGTGCCACATTCCCTTTTTCGCTACGAAGAATCCGTGAGGAAGGCTTAGCCCAAACCCAAAGCTGTATAAACCCTATCCTATACCGTACAACCCTCAACCCTAAGCCCCAATAACCAGCAAACCACTAAGCCCTCAGTCCCATGCATGAAGGCCTTGCCTAGGGTGCAGATGTGGGTTGGGGTTGGTTGGCTTGTTGAACGCCGCCAGGGTGTGTTGGGAAGCGTTTTGCGACGGTCTAATCCTGCAGGTTAGTGGTAAATCGGGACATCACCTGCGCGAAGCCACCGGTGGTTGCTTAACAACAGCTTGCTGCCTTCTGATTTCTGCAGGACTGCAGCAAGCCTAGCAACATGTTCAAGCAAGCGCTCCTTCATGCACTTCAGGCGGAACACTTTCCTGAGCCCACAGCATGTTTGGGATCATGAGATGTCATCAGGACTCTTCTACGAAGTTCTGCGAAGTGTGAGGCCTTAGCATGCTGCCACGATACACGACGCGCACCAGCCGGATCAGGCGGCAGAAGCGGAGAAGGGAAGATGTTCCCCTTAGACGTTTCGAGGTTTTGGGTGCGAGGCACCCCTTTCCCCACCATCAAGTGCTAAGACATCACAGAGTTTTACAGTTTTAGGGTGTCGAGCCTGTGTAGAGAGTCGGGGTTCAGGGTGCTCAGGGACGTTTGCGGGCCCTTGCATGCCCCCGTCATCAGCACCTTCTGGTCACACGGTGGTCGTTTTCAATATGACGACCTTATGCCTGCAGGACTTAATTGAAATCGTCTCACACTGTACTCGAAAGCTGGACAGATCAAAAGGAAAGCTGATATTGAGGGCTTCTTACTTGGGCCGCCATGCTTCGCTGCTTTGCGGCAATACCACACCAAGAACCTGCAAAACCTGATGGTGTTGCCGTTCCTCCTCCTTACTGGCTACAAGCTAAACCACTTTCCAGGGTCACTCCGTACTGCACTGCACAGGCCGGTTTTGTTTGTACATCCTCATAGCTTCCTCATCAACATGTCGCAGAATGCCTGATCAGCCAACTGGAGCTACTTCCTGCAAACCATTCGAAGCTGGCAACCCCCGGCAAGCCCTAAATCCTTTTCTGTCAGAAGGGGGTGAAACGGCAAGTGAGAGCTCATGAGCCCCGTTTCTGACATCGTGATCGGGCAAGCGCAGGCAGAAGCTCTTCTTGAGATAGCCAAGCCAAGACAAGAAGGCCCTACACAACCATCTGAACCAGGCTAAAGGCAGCCAAGCCAAGAAGCATGTTCTGATCTACGTCGCCAATGGCCTCGCATGTGGTGCTCTTCCAGCGGGGACAAGCAAGCTGGATGATCGACTCTGGGCAGCTACAGGATTCTCAAACTCTACAGCTGGCTGTTTTCACAACGAGACCAACCTAGATTCACATCGGAGATGGGGGGCCATTTTGAGAAACTCTTGCTGCCCCAAAGTTGGCCTACTCTGCTAGGCCAGCATCTAGAATCTTAGACCCGTGCCCCCACCCTTTCCCGTAGGCTCCTGACACAAGTGAGCCTTGGGGCCTCCTCCGGAATGAGAAAAGTATTATATGTGCAAAACGGGGTAGAAATTACTCCGCTAGCCGGCGTAATGAAAGCGACACTTCGCGGCACTGAAACTTTCGGCCCAGGGATGTATGCAGGAAAGACCAACCTCGGATGAATGATTGCATGGTTGCATATATGTAGAGTATGTAGAGGTGGAGTGGACAGGGAATGGATGTGATTGGAAGGTGCACGAGCCCACCAGCCCATCCCTGAATGCAAAGCTCCAAGCATCACAAGCCATGCTGCCTGGATGACGACATCTGTCACGCCGGTCAACATCAGAAAGAAGTCAAACCTTGAATGTGGTCGTTGTTGAGAACCGGCATGCAGCAGAAACTGCAGCAACGAGCAAAGCCAAAGCGGACCAGCCCTGCTTCTTCAGGGCACCTAGCCTTTCATCTGATGCGATGCCGAGAGTGTTGGGATAACCGACATGGCCCACACCTAACTCTGACTCTCCATTCTTGTGCCTGGGCTTTCACACCCTGCTTGAGGTCCTACCAGGTCCTACTGTGCAAACATGCAAGGCAAGAGGCCAGTTCCATATCCAGTCGGGGCCACAGGCAAACTCGCGAGGCCCAGAAAGGTAGAAGCGCAAGCCGCCTTATTGACACTTTCTGAGGGTATCACGTGTGCTGGAACAGATCCTCGAGACGTTTTTGCAGTTGAATCATGAGTGAGCAACAAAACAGGAATCAATCTCGGAACAGCGCTAGCCGCTAGCCAACCTCGGAAGACAAAGCAACTTGCAACCCCCTGCGTTCAAGTCATGCTTTGGGGGCAGGTCGTGGTATCAAGCTAGCCGAACCCGCTCCAGCAACCGCTTCGGCATCCCCTGATGTTGCTCACTTTTTTTGCATCGACCTATACTAGACTCAAAGCAGAGATGTGTGCTTCGGTTTCGGGTCTCGTTGTCTGGCGGTTGCTGTTGCTGTAGTGGTCGTTGGCCCGGTAACATGTGCTGATTGACTTCTTGCCGTGGACCTCCATTTCCTTGCATTGCGCCCTGGCATCCTTGCTCTGAGGGCAAAGTCGACACCTGTGCAATTTGTTCGCATCATGTTCATATCCTAAGTTCCTTGTGCAGTCGAGGGGTGTAGTGAACTTGAGAGTCCGGGGTCGGTCGGAGAGTAGACAATGCATTCGTGGCATCCTCTTTCACTCTTGGCTTCCAAAGCACTTTCCAGGAGCAAGAAGAATGCCAGCACTCCTGCAATCAATCCCTTGCCGATCAGCAAGAGTTTTGCCGTGCTGCACTGGGCTGTTCTACAGGAAGTCTCAGGAAGGAAACAAGGGCTCCTCTGCAAGACTTGCCAAGTATCCCCAATTACCATGCAGCCCTGCCGTCCTTCGATGTAGGGCCAGCCACCCCAGTCTTCCCACCTCTTGTCCGTCTGAAAGCCGATCATGATGCCATTCGCCTAACGTGCGGCTCAGGTGGACAAGCTCTTGCGTTGGGATGGTCAAGAGGTGTTGCGCAGGTATGCGCAGGTTCATCTGCAGATCACTTGGGGCAGTAGTGTAAGCTCTTCCGGTTCTCCGCAGCTCTTGTAATCAAGCGTCTGATGAAAACAACTGACCGGTGATGGACTTGGACATTACTGCGTGTCAACTGAACTCGAGTCCCATGCCAAGTAAAGGTAAGGGCCCAGATGCGATGATGAGACAGGAGACGAACGGCTCGATGTACATGAGCCTTGAGCAGGGTCGGAATAAACAAGATCCCACCACAAAAGCCACCCAACCGCCACCTCTCCCCCCCCGCCCCCCGAACTTCCTCAACCCTGAACCTCAAAACCAAAACCCTAAACCCTAAAAATAGCCTCAACCCCTAAACCCCGAACCCCAAAACCCGAAGCCCTAAACCCTGGAAAATGTCCTCAGACCCTCTAAAATCTGGACCCACCCCCCCCCAAAACCCAAACAAATGGTCCACTAAGAGGCGGGTTGATGGACTCTGGAGGCGCCGCAAGGTCATTGATGCGCACCTAAGCTTCCCAAAAGGCGTGCTTCGACTTCCGGGGAGGTTTTCGCTTGTTTTAGTGCGGGCTGCTAAGGGTTAAGACCCTCTGGAGCTTGGGGATGTTGGGGTTTTGGGGCTTTTTCAGGGTTCTTAACTTAGAGGACTTGGGGAGTTTGAGGGAGCTCGAGCTGTGCGTTTTCGTTTTGAACTCACGTGCGACTTAGCTGAAGCCAAACGTATCATAACCTTGCATGAAATCACTACTTTTCTTACAATGGAAAACACCTTTGTATGCATTAGCAAAATTCAAAAACCTGCGTGACGATTGACTTGAAAAGTGCGTTTGGGGGGCGCGCGCAAGGGGCGTGCACCCCGCTTGCTCGCCTGCGCGCCCCGCACGTTCACTCAGAAAAAGGCCAAATTCTGGGCGAGCGAGTGGGGCGAGCCCCGCGCACCTCGGGCACCTCTCGGGCACCTCTCGCACGCCTCGCCTGCGCGTGCTCGCATTCTTTCAATGACTTGCTGCCCAAGGAACGAACGTCAGTTCTGCCACCAGCCGATTCGTGTCTCCAGCCAAAAGAATCTCTTTCATTGCCTGTCAGGGCAGTTTTCCAAAGTCCAACTATCTGCTGCTTTACCTAAGAGCCTTGGCATTCAGAAGTCCAAACCAAAGCTACCATATCGTACCATCCTGGATCATCCTTGGAACAGAGGCTCCGAAGCTCACGGCCTGAAACTGCGTCCGGTTAAACGGCCCGAAAATCTTCTTGTGAAGGTCGGGGTCGCGTGCCAGGAAAAGATCCATCAATGCCTGCACGTTAAGCTCTTGAGCACTGCCACGCCAAGCGTAGACGTCTAAACGCCAGCAATGGCCTTAAGGGGCGAACATCTAACACGTCAGTTAACCTAGCACTTCGTATTCTTCAAGCATTCTTTGAAGCAGGACACCTTGCTTACAGCGTTTTATTTCCAACAGCCGAAGGGTTGGGTTTGTATCTCTAAAGGTGGGGAGCCAAATGAGACTCCGGAGCCCAAACCGGAACGGCACGGGCGAGAGGACTATGCAACTTTGTGCCACGCCTGCATACATACGACGGATACCTTCCTTGAATACGGTTGCACGGTGTACATCTAGAGAAGCCCTAGGGTAGTCCAACTTATGCACATCGTCGGTGTCTTGAAAGTACCGTCCTACTACTCTGAGCGGCGGTGTAATGCCCTTTCTTCAGCTTCTGTCTCCGTTCGGGATGTCCTGTGTTCGCCCCGCCAAGCCAAGACAAAGGACATCCGAAGCCCCTAAACCCTAAAGCCTGAACCCTGAACCCTAAAACCCTAAACCCTAAGCCCTAAACCCTAAACCCTAAACCCTAAAGCCTGAACCCTGAACCCTAAACCCTAAGCCAGCAAGCGGCCTGAATGGGAACAACATTAGCATTGGCTTTGGCAGGGAGGTCGTGGGTCTGGATCTCCCGGCTGGCCTGTGCTTGCTCAGGTTTTTGAGGGTTTACGATAGTTGGGGTTATGGGGTTTAGGGTTTAAGGCCCGCCGGGTGGGGGGGGTCCCCCGGAACCAGCATGCTAGTTACACCCGCCCAAGCCGGAGGCTCTTAAATCCGGGCGCGCCCGAGGTGTATCGCCGCTTGGCGCCAGCCCTAGCTTTAGCTACGCCGGGTGGCGTCATAGCCGCCCGGCTTGGAAGCCAACATCCGGCTCCAAATTGGGCTTCCGAAGGGCATCATTTTTAAGGAACATTTTTGGTTGCGAAAAACGCGCTATTCTTCAACGAAATTGGGCTCCTGGACTTATTTTTTGGGTGCCCCCACGGGGGTCCCAAGCACGACCCCGGAGAGCATCATCACGGCCACCCCAGATGACCCCAAAACGAGCGCGCATCATGAGCATCAGCGGGTGGGGCCTCGGGTTTCGGATGCGGCTGGGAGCTTGGAAAACGCAATTTTCGCTGTAAATACCGGGGTTTTCGTGCTGTGATGGACCGTTTTCAAGCCGCCACCGGGACGCGCATTAGCAGCATCAGCGGGACCCTTGGGGGGGAGGCCCCCAAGGGCTGCGGCAGGGCTGCGTACAAGCCTTGCCACATGCAGAACGGCACCCAGGCCTCACGTGCTCACTTGCGTGCGCGCGCGCGCGCCGGCGCCGAAAAGGCTGTCATTCTCGCGCGCGCGGGGGGCGCGCACATGTGCAAGTGAGGAGCAGACGAAAAGGGAGCAGTTCAAGCCTATAGTCCGTCCTCTCCAGTGGCTCCTGTGCTCTTGCTGAAGTTGTTGCTCTTCGTTGCTGCTGTTGCTGCTGTTGCTGCTGTTGCTGCTGTTGCTGTTGTTGCTGCTGTTGCTGCTGTTGCTGCTGTTGCTGCTGTTGCTGCTGTTGCTGCTGCTGCTGCTGCTGTTGCTGTTGTTGTTGTTGTTGTTGTTGTTGTTGTTGTTGTTGTTGTTGTTGTTGTTGTTGTTGTTGCTGTTGTTGTTGTTGTTGTTGCTGTTGTTGCCGCCGCCATCGCCATCGCCGCCGTCGCCGCCGTCGTCGTGGATGTCGTTCTTGTTGTTCTTGGTTGGTGTTGCTCTTGCTGTTGCTCCCCTGGTCGGCACGGGGCGCGCCCGGCTGTGGGCGACAACCCCTTTAGACTATAAGGGGATCGTACAAAGTGGGGGCCTTCTCTTAGAGGTCCCCGATTTTCATAAACTCCTAAATCACTGGAGCTTGTGGTCTTGATTACTACAACCCGTTGTGTTCCCAGCATGGCAGAGACCTCCAACCTCTTGCAGGCCAAGCGGCAGACCGTGAGAACTCTGCCTCTTTGGGCCAATTCCAGACCGGGCGGCCGTAGTTCTTCTCGTTTTCCTCAGCACTGGTCCGAGGGTCTAGGGTTTGGGGTTTAGGAACCCCAAAGCCCAAAAGCGTAAGCCCCATACTTTAAGCAGTCTGCGCGCGACCCTGCCGAAGCCTTCTTGTGTCGACACCGCTCCATGCAGCCAATCAGCCCAAAACATGCCACCGCCACCGTGGGAGCCGGGTGAATTGGAGCGAGAAAATTGGGCATCCTTGTCCTTGGGAGATCGGAAGACATGATTGAGGGTCGTGCGGGGCCTTTTTGTAAATTCTGAGGTATCTTCACAGATGCCTGTGCTGGTGCTTTCGGGGTCGGTGTGGCAACGGCGGAGATGTCAAAAGGCGACCGGGCAGCTTTCGCAACAAATTTCAGATCAATGTAGTCAGCCAGCTGGTTCACCAGGTCGTTACAATGCTCCTGTGGAGGTATGGCAGGGCTGCAGTGCATGATGCCCAAACCATGCCATCGAATCTTCGGGTCCCAGGATAGGCAGGGTGTTCGAATCGAGCTCTGCGCTCAAGTGTTCGGGGCAGCTTGCCCTACCAATTGCCCGCACAACACTTTGCAACGATACTTCCGCAAGCACAGCCCGAAGACCTGGCTCACAAGAAAACCAGGCTGGCCCTTTGAAAACATGGTCCTGAAGATGATCTTCTTAAACCCAGCAGGAGAAAATATGACATGTCCCAATGGCCTACCTAGAAAACCAAGCCATAGCATCTCATCCGGAAGATCATCACTGCAGTGCTCCTCCGTATAAGTCGTCAGGCCAAGAGCTTCTATCGCATCGTGCAAGCTCCTGAGAGAACTTCTGCTGCTCAAGAAGTGGAGATGCCCCAGCTTCAGGCATCTCTGGAGATAGACTCCAGCCCTTTTAAATAAAGACCCTGAGGCACAGAAGGCCCGCAAAACCTGACATGGGGGTTTACGATATTAGAGGGTACCTTGTTGGGGTCCTTATTGTAAGGGGATCCTACTATTTGGGCTATGTTAGGTGTCCACTGTCATTATCGTAAACCCCCCTTGTTACCTGATAGTACCCGGCCCGAGCGGCTTCCCTGAGATCAACTTCTTCAAGCTGACCGCTCCCAAGCGGAGGCGCAACCGATGGCGCACTGCGTTAGTCTGCTGATCCTGGGAAGCGGGGAAGCGACAACACAGCCTCTCTCCTGCTTCCAGGTTTAGGGTTTGGGGTTTAGGGTTTCTGCTATTCAGCCCAGACTGCGCAAGAAGAGCGCCAAGGCTGGGATGACATCCAAAAGTGAGATGGCCCTCCCTCCCTGTGCAGTCGTGCTACGCGCGCAGCGATCTCCACGCCTTGTTCGTCAACACCGCTTGTGGCCTTGATCACTTCAGCCAAAACCAATCTGTTGCAACCGTCAGCTAGTTATTGGTCATGTACTTTCTGTCACGCGGTGGTGTGGGGGGCGGGGGGGGTTCTCTGTGTGGATCTGCCGGTCGGCACGTTGCACGACAAGCCTACTTCCTTTGCACAAACCTCACATCTCAACCCTAAACACCTCAAAGCCTGCAAACCTATCGCCCTAAACCCTAAACCCTAAACCCTAAACCCCCTAAACCCTAAACCCTAAACCCTAAACCCCAAACCCTAAACCCTAAACCCTAATCTGTGCGGAGCAGCGGAGATTCTGGAGACTCGGCTCTTCGCGAGCTTGTCAAAATCGACCGTGGCCTGCACGCCGCCGCTGGCTGGACCGGCTCAGCTTGAAAGAGGGTTTGGCAGGAGGGTTTAGGGTTTAGGGTTTAGGGTTTAGGGGCTAGAGAGACTGAATCCCGAACCGATGTCAGGACGCGGTGAGCGAGCACAACCGAGGCCCTCGGATCAGCGTATTCCGGCACAGCTGCATACACCCGGTATCACCCGATGCTGCCTCCATGCTCATGCTCTGGTGCCCGTCACTGATGGACTTCAGGTTCTCTTCGCTATCAGCGTCGCCCTGCCACAAATACATCGGAAACGTCCTAAACTGCCGCAAAACCCTCAACTATCCTCAACTCAATTGACAGGAGGCCATGGGAGCTCAATGTTGGAACCTTGGGAAGTACTAGCTCTAACTCAGAATGCGCTGGGGCTGGTGCTTGTGCATTCGATACCGTCTCCTCCGCGGAGGCCACGGAAACCTGCCATCTTTCCAAAAAGGGGGGGGGACTCGGCGGCTATCAAGGACATGCAGCGTCCGCAGAAGGGGGACTTGACAAAGAAGAGTCAAATGCGTTTGAGTCCTTCTCAGAATCTCTGCCCCGTCATGTGGTATCTTCAGTATCCAAGCCGGTATCTAATCGCTTCCAACGGGTCGCAACTATGCAATGGGAATGGCCATAGGGCTCAGATCATGCCAGACCCGTCCTCATTCGATCGAGAAGTCGCTGGTGCCTCGCGGGGAACCTGCGTGCCGAGGTCTGTATTTCGCGGCAACCCTGGATTGCGTTGGACAATGATGGAGTGGCATCTTTATGCAGTGACCGACAGTCCGACAGTGAAAGTTTGGCCGACGTGCCCGAGCCTGCTGCTCGCCAACTGCTAGCCTCTCACAAGTCGAAGTTGAAAAAAAACTCATGACCCCAACGCCAATGAACCTGTATACTTTGCATACTTCAAGCCTCTTCTTCTAACGCTCACGTCCATGCATGCACCTCTACGTTCAACCAAGGGCAGTAGCAGTGCAAGCCTCCTGACATGATGTCGTCAAGCTTGTATATTATAGTTGGCAGCAGCACTCAGACATCGGAGCCTCCCCCCCCCCCCCCGCCCCCCCTCCTTGCTGTTGGCCAGTAGGGAATGAGGGGCCCTATATAATCCCCAAAAGGGTACATACATATATATATATATATGTATATAAATATTTTTCTGTAAATATGTATATATATATATACACATATTAATATGTATATGTACATATATATGGGGCCCTACTTCCCTCATTCCCTGCTAGCCCGGGGGCCTTTGCGGCTGCGTGTTGAGGAGGAGCTGCGCTCGGCTGGAGTCTTTGATCTCGGCAGTAGCTTTTGGATTCAGTGGTTTAGGGTTTAGGGCTGTAAAGTAGGGAGGCAGTGCAGGCTGAGCCCTGACTTTTAACGCCAACAACGCTTTGTGCTCACTGCGCTTGATGAGTCTGAAAGTTCATGCTGTGGAGGTCAAGGAATTTTACTGGAACATGAAACTTTGAGTTCTGACTCATGGTCATTCAGGTATGTCATGGTGACGAGGGTCTTTCTCTTCCGGAAGTGCCCCAGTTTGCATGGGATTTTGGTGCCCGAGTGGCAGAGGGGTGCGCCGGGGCTTGGTTCCTACACTTGTCCAAAGGAGATCATAGTCGCGGTTGTATGTGCTGCCTACGATGTACTTTTCTGTTCTGCCAACCCTAAACCCTAAACCCTAAACCCTAAACCCTAAACCCTAAACCCTAAACCACAGGAACCAATACATCCAAGATGCTTGTAGAAGTGGCTCATCGGATGCACTGCCATCTGGGAGAAGCGCGTCGCCATTTAGGCCCTGGACCTGGCTGCAGGAGGGCAGCTTCTCTCTCCGCGGGAAAGCAAGCATTCCTACAAGGAAGGCGGCCGCGATTTGTTCAAGCTAGGCTCGGGGTTTTTGCTGCGCATTCCATGCAGCTGTAGGACGAAATTCATGCCCTTGCCCACAACACACACACACACTCACACACGCGCTCTCTCTGTGGTCTGGCTTCCCTCCCGAAGCCCCAAATTCGAAACCAAAACGAGGACCGAACCTTGCCGTTCGTGGAGCGCAGTTCTCGCAGCTCGTGCTCAAGCAAACGAATTTTCCTGCCGGCAATGCGCAACCGACGACGGATCCTTTCCCGTTGCTTTCATTAAATTAGGGTCGCGGCTGAACGTCCATACTCCTAGAGCTTTTGTCTGGGAAGCATCGATGCAACCAGACTGGGGTCCAGAGGAAAGCTTGACATGGGCACAGGGAGGCCCATGAACGAGTAGAAGCCCTGCAGGTGCCCAAGAAACCCCTCAAAGAAGCTGTCACACCAGCATCTCCTAATCAGAACCCCCCAGCCCTTTTAATTCAACCCTAAGTCAGAACCCCTAAACCCTAAACCCTAAACCCTAAACCCTAAACCCTAAACCCTAAACCCTAAACCCTAAACTGCGGAAGGGCTCCCAGGAGAGCCTGGTGACGGAGTCAGGGCCAAGGTGAGCAGCTTGGCTGTCCACGTAGGCCTCCCCCAGCTGTTTCAAAGTGGTTTGTCCAAAGAGTCATATGCTCGACGCATGGGCATCCGCAACAGCTGAGAATATAAATATAAGTGTAAATATAAATATAAAGAAGTAAATAAATAAATATAAACATAAATACAAATACAAATACAAATATGAATATAAATATAAATAAAGAAACATGTGTATATATATATATTTATTTATATGCATATTTATATTTATGTCTATCTGTACCTATCCATCTATACATGTACATATATATGTATATGTATATCGTGGTATCATTAATGTAGTATATTGTAATGTATTCTGGCATAATCGACCATAGCGTACTGTCTACTCTACGATGTTCTTCTATGCTCGCCGCTGAGAGTCCACAGGAAGATGAACTCTACATAACTTATATTACATGAGTAGTTTCCTCATACTTCTCTCATGGGATCTTCACTTTCACCGCAATATGAGCCGCAGCTTCAAAGCCCAAAAATGCCCTGCATGTGAGGGGTTAGGGGTTTGGAGGGTTTTGGGTGTTGGGCTTCAGTTTCGCGAACAAATCCTAACAAAAACCATGTGGCGGAAGCGGTCTGGCCTCGAGCATTTGCTTTCGGAAAGCACCCCAGGAAGCATCCTCACTGCCCGGGCTGCGATACTATGATCTTCTATGAGGGTTTGAGACCTTTCATCAGTGCCCGACAGACTTTGGCCTCTGCAACGCTTGTACATCCAGCCCCTGATTGCCACCCAAAGGGCCAGGAAGTGCGCAAACGCCGCCTGGCCAGAATGATCCGCCATGGGTGTCTGCCTTGCCTAATACAGGCAACGGGTGAAATCCTGAATTGTACGAGTCAGGCTGTGCAGAGTCCGGCCCTTGGGGCACCGTGGCTGCAATGTGATTGACGGGGTGGGTGACCTCCCTATATGCGGGATTGGTGCTCTTGCAAGCTTCTAAGCTTGAGCCGTCAGTTCTGGTACCATGTATCCTGAAACGGGTCAGCAGTGATGTGACACTTTCACATTGCGTACTGCGTGCGCTCCTGATGACTGCTCGGAACCTCATGCAGGAAATGCTAGAATCCTTTGATCTTGTACCAGCAATTCAAGTGCAAGCGCTGTACCTGGAGATGGACATCTCAGAGTGATTCCATGTGCTTACGGCAGCCTCATGTTCTCGCCAAGTAGCCAAGAAGAGTGCCAAACAACAAACTGCGTTCTTCGAACTCGGATACACGCGACGTTTTGAACCACAGCCCTCAAGCAACATGTCTGAGTCTTCGCCCAGGGGAGCCTGACCTTAAACCCCGCACAATGGCGGGCAGGCCGACCTAGAAGAATTCTGCAACGCCCAGCTGGCTGAAAACTGTCCGCTCGCACGGAAGCTGAGAAGCTCGGCGGACAAGCTCACCTTGCTGTCTTTTTGTGGCTCCTCTGAAGGGGCTATCTCCATATCACCCCTACAATTATTCAAAAGGCTTGGAATAACCCACTGCAATTGCCACAACTATGCGCCTTCCGGGTATCTATTGTAGATTTGGGTGTTAAGATGTGTTAAGTATTGTACTGTAAGTTGGGTCTAATTTTGGGGAGGTTCGACAAGCAGAGAGCCTGTCCTCTCTGGACACAGCACGCGCCGACGCGCGGCGAGCACGTTGAGCAACGGCAAGCAGCAGCAAATAGCAGCAAGGACAAAATCACAGTAAGTGCGCAGGCCCAGATCAGATGCACAAATCCCTGTGGGCCCGTATGCGATATGCTTCCATTGCTGGCTCGCTTACACTGAAAAATCGCAGCCGAGGACGTGCCTGTGAGGCACTCTCTGCGAACTCGTTGCAAACTCTTTGCTGAGTCGGGATCTCTGGCACTTCAAGCACTTCAAAAAGCCCCGCTTGGCGGGGTATGAGGTCCTTCGAAGGTTGATTCCTGTGCGCGGCTTTGTGCTGTTTTGCTGGCCGTCGCGTCTGCAAGGGGTTGAACTGCTTGATGATCCTGTCCCTATCAGGGTTGCGGGGCCTAGGAGCCAATCTCTGACAGTCAGATCTGCAAAGTCAATGCTCTACTTGCCAGCATTGCCGAGAACTGGAGCCCGAGGCCCTGGGCTCTCCACCCATGTTGGGACAGCTAACCCAGAACCAAAAGCAAATCATACATTTGCGACCCGTGGTCTTGCCCTTTGGGAAGACGACTTGGATGGGGACGGAGAGCAGGTAGTGCACCGGTGTAGCTCCTGTCTGAGCTCCTGTTGGGGTTCTGGGCAGGATGTTACAAAGGATCTGCTTTTCTTCTACCAGCTTCTGCTAAGGTCTGCAGTCCGCTGTGGCTGACAAGCTCCAAACCTGGACCTCTCCCTCTCCTGCCTGACGGAGAGTATCGTTGGCTTGCTTCTGGTCCTCCTTGAACTCCTTGTAGGGCAAAATGCGAGCTGGAACTGAAGCCGAGGATACCCGGTTGATTTCTGCCAGTCCCTCAACCGCATAATGTGAAGACTCTAAAGCTGCACGGCCGGAACATACAGCTTCCGAATGCAGAATGAAACTTGATGTCCTGACGCTCGTTGCTCGAAACTTCGGGGTCCGAGGGTCCGTTCGGAAGGGCTGTTTTGACGTTAGAGAGTGGCGATCCACTCAAACCGAGATTATTGCAATAGATGCTTGACCTCGATAGGTGCCTGACTGCAACTCATAGCAACTCTCTCCTGCCTTCATCCCCCCCCCCCCCCCCCCCCCCCCCCCCCCCCCCCCCCCCCCGGCATAATGCCCGAGCACACTCAGAAATGTCAAAAGCGCCAAAGCCCTACCAGTAAGTGATCCAACCCAAACGTGCGGCACAAGCGTCTAGTACCATACTCTGCACAGCTTTCGCTGCCAGAAGTGCTGCGACAGTGTCGGATTTGTTGATCTCACCCCGGATCTTCAGCAGGCCCTGAAAGCTTCAAGGTGTGTTTACGGTTGGAAACTGCAGCAGAGCTTGAAGCTTCCACACATAGTCAGGCTGGTGTTGTCGGTACTCAACATCGAACTCTCATGTTCCCAGTTCTCTCAGGCAAAACATCCTGCTGAAGTCGTTGGACGGTGCTTACGCGCAATCACGCACAATCGAAGAATCAGACAAAAGACATGTACTAGTACAAAGGCTTTAATCATCTTTCATCACTTTCGGGGATGGCAGAAAAGCCTGAACCAGCTCAGTGATGTGAAGGGTCCCGCTACCATCGGCGTCGATCACCTTGGGTGGACTCGGTAGCTTGTATCTGAGAACCTTTCTCTATCTCGGGATGACACTATCACCTAAGGGATTCTAGATGAGGCAATCGGATCGCTCATGCTACTGGTCTTGCCATGGAAAGGTAGTGGTGATATTTGGGGGAGTACCTGCGAATGGGCAGGCTAGCGGTAGGCCAGTGGCATTACCACCCAACTTCGCTATGGGTATTTTTAGGTGCTGGGCAGCAAGGTGGCACAGCGATTTTGATGAAATGAATGTCAGGAAGGTCTCGTTGCCCCAAACCCCCTTTGAATCAAGCCCTGAAGTTCAAGATCAAGTCCTACCTCGAAGAGGTTGGCACGGTCAGGGGGTAGGTCCAGCTCGTCCATGAGTTGCTGGACACCTCCGGTATGCAGCCGCCCTTTTTTGATACAGGTACGATACCAAAACCAAGGCCGTTACCTTCAAGAAGCGCAGCAATCTAAGAAGGGACGTTCATGTTCGAAAGATGTACAGTTTCGATCACTTCACTGATGGGGTGAACGGGGGAAGATTCATTTGACCCCCATCTCCAATACGCAGAGCTACGACCTGTTTGCGCCATGCGCGTTCTGTCACGCAGAACTACCTGGGTCATTCTAAGCTTTAAAAGTTCCCTTTTGGGAGGCCTGGTTCCTGAGCCATCATCCGCATTGTCATTGTTATAATTCTTACTGTTGATTTTTAACAGATGGATATTATGGCTATTGCGCTTGCTATGGAGAAGAGAACTTCATAGTATGAGCAGGCCACTACACCTACAACCATGTCTACGGCTAAACCAAAGGCGGTCTGTTGGAGTTCTGGAGTTCACCAGGCCTCGATCCTGGATAACCAGCAGGAAAAGTTCCTTCGTGATCGCCTGAGGAGGCTCTTGATTGACCCTGCTGTACGTTGTGCGGAGTTCCTCGACCTAGTTCCCAGTATGGTTAGGCATGCTTTGGCACATGCAACAAGATTCAGGAGGAGATATGCAGATGCAAACTCAAAGGCGAGAACTTCAGGACCTCTGTTTTGAGCCCGGCTTTCTGGCAATTCTCTGTGAAAGGTCCAGCGCAGCACTACACGGCTCCAAGTCAACAAGCAACTCTCCTTTCACGAAAGCCGTGCTCTCTGAATCTCACATGAATTTCTAGAAAGAACAAAAAAAGTAAAACATGAACTGAGTTTGGAGCAATGCCGTCGTGGACATCATCCTGAGACATCTTGACAGCATCTTGAGCAGGACTTGAGTGCGTGGTCCAGAACGAATGATGATTCCAACGACGGCCTGGCCTTTTGGCAGAATTGGCTAAGCAAGGTGAAGATAACATGCAGGTTGGCCAATGCTTGTGCGAATGCAAGAACTGCAAAGGGTTTGCAGCCTCCTAGCTAAGCAGGATGCCTGTTGCTACTTCGATTTTCATACGCCCATGCCCTTAGCCCTTCACGGCACCCACAACACCGTAAGAGCGACAGTGACAAGGCTCGTCTGTGAATATGCCCGTCCGTGTTCTCATGTTGAAGCCAGAATGACGGCCGCCTTCTCTGGAATCCAAGGCCTCATCAGAATGCAGAACAATGTGGATCGTGCTTCCGAAGACTTCTCTCTGGCTACTGGGCAACTCAATATTCCTGATTAACACTTATACAATACCTCCACGACTGTGAGGATGTCTGCAAAAGTGCCACACAACCCAAACCAAGGCCCATCTGCCACGACAGTCCTCTACACGGACTCTACACGGGCCCCAAGCAAAGGCACTAAAGTAAAGGCATCAGCCCATGTAATGCCTGGTCTCAACCAGGGATTGGCCAGGGCACACTCTCCTCTTTCTCCAGGTCCTCTCAATCAGAGGACTGACTTCGGTTCCCCGGATGAAGACTACCGGTTCTGGAGTCGTGGATCTATGACCACATGCGATCGCGGGCAAGCTAAGAAGGGTGCGCTTTGACCGGAAGGTGGAGACGGAAGTAGGTCCAAACTCAAAGAGAACAGGGTTAGAAGCCCAAAAGGATTGTATGGGGAGCAAAAAAAGCCTGGACCTGAAGGTGGGATGGTTTCGGCAGCAACGAGGACTGCGCCTAAATGGTGATAGGAATCAGTCCTGTAACTCCTGTGAACACTAAGTAAGCACTCTATAAAACCCCGAGCCCAAGCCCCATAACTCTAAGCCCCAAGGCCCCATAACCCCAGCGCCCTGAGCCCTGAAGTGGTCCTGGAAGAGCCTGAAGGCTGCAGCAAACTTCTTCAGCAGCTCGCCTGTTGTGCAGTCTTGCCCTCCAGCGACTTCTGTCTGGAGGGCTTTAGGGCGTAGGCATCGTGTGTGAAGCATGTGGCATGGGTCGAAAGAGTGCAAGAGCGTAGCCGAAGCCGGCCGAAGCCTCTAAATCAGAATCCTTAAGCTCTTAACCTTGAAACGGCATGGCGAGGCCGCTAGGGAGGAAGGACATGAAGCAGCAAGAAGTGGATGGGCCCATCTGGCACCGCCATAAACATCGCTTGGAAACATCTGCAGAGGCTCGCTCGGCTCTAAAGCGCGGAGCCTGAGGTACGTTCACTCTTGGGCCTTGGGGTGACTGATGTACATTGTGTTGCATGGCTTCGCTATATTATTTCGCGACAAAAATTGTGAACCATTCTTGAGGTCACTTGTGGAAGGCTGACCTTGACTTTACTTTGGCATCCCAGGTGCGTGTAGTGCGGGCGATTCGGATGGACTCGCGCGCATGCTGTTCAGCAGTGGTCGCTTCTGTCTCCTCAGGCGACTGTATGATTTGGAAGTGGGGTTAGGTTTTTAGCCCGGAAGCCCTAAAGCTGAACTCCTAAACCTCAAGCCCTACGTACACCTCAACGGGGCATCTGGAACGGCGGCAAGTGCGCGCAAGTACTAGCACTATGCCAGTACATTCCGAGAATTGACACTTAATCGCTGGGTCCAAGTAGCCTTGGCTGCTTTCATCGTGATTTCGACATACACCTCAGGACCCAAAGCTGGGTTTCTGACGAGGCCTGGGAGAAGGCTTGCTAGATTGGATCCTTGAGTCCCTACAGATGGCCTCAGCTGTTGCTCCTAAGCCTGAACTGGCGCGAACTTACCAAGACTGCAGGTGTCGTTTGCCATAGCGCACACCCATGAACGGACTCTTTCATCCTGGCGATTGTAGTTTGGAATGGATGCATCGTCTTCTGCTGGGAGTTGCCACTAGGGGCTAAGTTCTACGGAGCCATGTAAAGCTCCAGCGATGTGCTTTGTAGCGCCCTTGTTGCCTTCGGTCGCATGGACGGCCAAGCTGAACAAACTGAGCGCCAAGTTACAGCCAAGATCACATTGAAAATGCCTCGGTTTGGACTGTGTGAGGAGCAACTCCGCACGAGCTGAAGACCTATCGGTCAAGGACACAGCCCATCCTTGTCAATGAGCTGCCTCCAGGCAAATTCATGCAAAGTATCCTAGGTGGACAGATCGAAGCACGTAACCGAAAAAGAGTCAGAGAGGTATCGAAGCTTGTGTATGCAGAACGACTTGCAAAGCTGCAGCACGCCCCTGCTAACGCCTTTTCTTCTGCTTGCAGCTGCGCTGCCCATGGAGACCAGCATGTAGCTAATGATGTAGCAGGCAACGAACCTAGGCACCAAGTCAGCTTTTATCTTCCCCGCAACAACTTCATCTGCGACACATGATAACTGTGACCGACGAGCCTCGAAATCTTAGGAAAAAACAGAGCTCTGATGCTCTCTCTTGCTCCTCTGTTCGCTTGCCTTCTCTCTCTTCTTTTGCGGGCATCTATGAGAGATCGTGCCCCCACCCTGCCGCCCACTGAACACAACAAACCCCGACTTAAGAACTCGGCACTGGCACGAGAAGCAATCGAAGGAGCCGTGCAGGGGCCGACCAACAAATCAAATTGTTCGCTTGCTTTGCGACTCCATCAGCACGTGCTTGCACCAAGAAGCGGCCATCCGAACTCGGCGGTCAGCAAGTAGGTGATCGGATACCCTGCAGACATTGAATCTGACAGGCTACGGCGAACTACGTGCGGCAAAACCGATAGCCATACCTTGCCATGTGGTAAACCCACGTCCGCGGAAACGACTACTATTAGGACTACTATCTACAAGTAGCGACTGCTCAGATCGAGATCGTGAGCCAACACAAAGAAACCATCGCGCAGCAGGTTGTGACTGCTGCCATCGAAGCCACCCACAAATGCAACAAGTAGCAGCTGACTGTGCCGTGACATCCAGAAGGAGTTGTGTGCAGTAATTACCCCTTCACACCCGCCCTCCTGCCCCCCCCCGCCCTCCCCACCGCATATTGCGATTCTTCATGCAATGGCGAGGGGAGGGGGGGGGGCCAGGACACCGGCGAACTCAAGAGCCACCTGCTCCCGTTCGTGCTGTTGCAGCCTACGTGCACCGCACCCCGCACCTAAACACCTTCGAAGGGCTAACCGCAAGGACTCGTCGACTCGCAGCCTTATGGCTGCTGCCGCCGCCCCCAAGGCTAGCAGTCGCAACTAAGCCCAGCTCATGACAGAACCAAGCCTTTCTCAGAGACGCAATCTCCAGTGAAGCATCGGAATGCCGTGAACATGGACCTGGGAGGCATGAGTGTGGGGCTATGTAGGTCTGTTCATTCTTCCTAGATATAGGCCTATGGGGGTACTCTTTGGTCTTGCTAGGAAGGGAAGGGTGGGGGGAGCGGGGGCAGGGAGGGCATTCTTAACCTACCCTACTACTGTCCGTAGGGACGGGTGCCGCGATCTAAGACACCGTATACGGTTCTTCAGATTGATGCAGGTCTTCTATCCAGAAGTAGTGCCCCCCCGGCCCCCCCCCCCGTCCGCCTCGCCTTCCTACGGGAATAACATTTCAGGAGGCTATAAGCTTCAAATGCTGAAGCTGAAGAGTTCAGGAGGCTACAAGCTTCAAAGGCTGAAGCTCCGTGCGAGCAAGAAGCATCGGCAAGTTGTAGAAGTAGTCTTGCAAGACGAGTCCTTCCACTGTTGCGCCGGTTATACCTGGCATCAAACGCTGAGGCCGAGGTTCGGGAATGCGGAAGTGGTTTAAGTTGCCTGCATCGACAAAAAGCGAGCCCGAGCTGTGTCCCTCCCAGCACAAAACCCTCAGGTGACTTTGGTTACCCTAGACCCTAAACCATAAAACCCTAAACCCTAAACCCTAAACCCTACACCCTCAACCCTACTTGCTGGGGCTGTTTGGGGGATTGGAAGCTGCCATGGTGGCCTCCAAAGCTCATGGTGGCGAAGCCTGCGATCCTGAGTCGCCGGGTTCGGGGCATGGTTACGGTGACCAGTATGGAATGTGTTGTGGTGAAACAGGGTACTGTCTATGAATGAGTCTATAGCGTAGTACATACATACATACATACAGACAGACATACATATATACATACATACATACATAAATATATACATACATACATACATACATACATACATACATACATACATACATACATACATACATACATACATACATACATACATATATACACACATTGGTCCGTATCTCGCTGGACTCGCGCGCCTGCGTCTTTCCCAGCCGAGCTCCGTCAACTCCACCCCCCTCCCCCGCCCACGCTCGGCAATTGAAAACAACTTGTTGGCGGCGTCTTCCACTGAAAAGATCTTAACGGCGTTCCGAGTGGCTGTCTGCCACGCTAGTTGTAGGGTATGTGTCTTAATTTACTCGGCCATGGCTGTTTGTGGACCTCATGTTTCGGGGTGGCTCCCGCAAACCTATTGGTGGTGGCGTGAGCCTTGTACGGTGGTGCTTGATGTTGACAGGGTCTGCCATGTAAAATTGGGTGGACCGACAGGGCGCCCATTTCCCCAGGGCGCCCATTTCCCCAGTCATATGGACAGGTCTAAATGCTGTCGAGGTCGCACGTAGATCACGGAGACGAGCAAAGTGAAGGCAAGAACCAGCGTCCGAATGCCAGCGACCAAGCCCTGCTCGGTACCCGCACTCACAATAACAAGTTGTTCGTAGCGGTTGCAGTGTACATCCAGCTCTTGTGCAGAAGCTTCGAGCTGCAGCTATTGCTTCAAGGCACTCTAACGACTGTCAACGCTGCAGCCCGACCCTAGCGCCCCAAACAAGCATGCATCTACTGGCACTATGCGCGGTGCAACCTGTTCTGCCCCATCATCCACCTTCACCATCAGTCTCAGGTCCTTCATGAACTTGAGCCGGAACACTTTCCTCATCAGAAGCACCAACTACCAACTGATTTTTGACATAGCTTTTGGTACAGGAGGAAGAAAGGGCCTACGACGCTGCTGTCGACCTCTCCCTCATGTACCCTGCATTCCGGCTGTTGGCTGTTTCGGAGCCGCAGGGAGTTGTGGCTCGGGAGCTTCAAGATGCTTCAAGTGTGTCCTATGTTGAATCCGCAGTTCTTGGAGGGGATGTGAAGCACAGAACTTCTGCTTCTCACCCTAAGCCTTAAGCCATAAACTCTTCAGCACAGGCCATGCGACACGATGCGCACCAGGCGAATGAGGCGGCAGAACCGCAGGAGGGAGAGCTCGCGCCCTTTCGGGTTGTGTTTAACATTGGGTTGCCCTAAACCCCAAACCCCAAACCCCAAACCCCAAACCCTAAACCCTAAACCCTAGACATTTCGAGAGGCATCTTTTGACTGTTTCAGCGGGGGCAGCCCAAACCCGCCCTGGGCCACACTTGAACCCAAATGGGGGTTTACGATATGAGGGGTACCTGGGGTCGAGGGGATCTACCTCTTTGAGGGTCTTTTTAAGGGTCCCTTCTTCTCGTAAACCCCCCAAATCCGAACTCCAAGCCCTCCCTGAAACCCCAACCAGGGTTTAGGGTTTAGGGTTTAGGGTTTAGGGCATAACACCCGTCACTGGCCTGTGATGTCTGTCAGCGGCGGCCCGGTACTGGCAAACTGGACGGTGACCTGGAGCTTCAGAAGGGTCGAGCTGCCGGGTTCCAGGGTGTTGTGGGTTTAGGGTTTAGTGTTTAGGGTTTAGGGGGTTTAGGGTTTAGGGGGTTCCAGGGAGTTGTGGGGTTTTGGATTGAAGGCTCAACGGGAGTTTTAAGCTGGAAAAGGGTGACGTGCTTTTATTTTGGCAGTGTGGTTGTCGATTCCAAAAGATTCCAGAGGATCCAGGTCCTTTGGGACGCGTTGAAGTTTTTGTGTGCGGGTGGAGTGAAAGGGAGGCCACGTACCAGGTGCTGCATTCTCCAGCATTGTGTGGCTCATGTCTTGGCGTCTTGCCCCCCATTGGTATCCTTCAGCGGATCAAAAAACCCTCCGATGCCCAATGCTGACGACTCAGAAATTTCAGCAAGACCGGATGTTGCATGATGTTGCGTGCAATGGTAGCATCGACAACTCTGTAGAGACGAGTCATCACAGCAATGCAACTTTATGCCATTCGCGATTAGTGACTAGCCCATTTGGGCTTGAGAAACGAGAGGAGGTTCGACAAAATCTCTACCGCCCAAAACGACAAGAGACGAAACGAGGGGAGTGGAATACAGACAAAGTCACTACTCCTCAACTTCCTAGAGTAATTCGAATGATTATCGAATCATAACTACGTTAGAACAATGAAACACAAGTAACGACTTAAAGAAACGAGAGGGATGTAATGAAGACACAACCTTGATGATGAACACAGCTTTGCCCAACAATCCCTAGCAGAAGCCCGGTCTGTGCATTCAAGGCGAAAGTGACTTCAATGGGGTGCTTCATCCAGGTGAAGGGCAAAGCACAACCAATCAATCCATATATGGCAGTTTCCAAAAATAGTGGTACCCTTCTTGGTGGGTCTCCTTAAGGGGGATTCTGTTCTATTTGGGGCATAAAAGGGGTTCCCCAATTTGGGGAAATTCCTAGATAGCAGGTGCCTGCAAGAAAGGACTTGCCTCTCGAAGCCTCCAACCTTCGAAGCTGTGGCTCGGACGTCCGCCATGCTCGTGACGCAGAGGACCACGTCAAACCTTTCAAAGGGCAGGGCGCAGCTTGAGTCGACAGACTGTGAGACTTCATGTGTCAACCTCTGGTCCGCGAGTGGTCCCACTTCTGTTGAAAGATCTTACGCGTTATAGCCGGCATAGCCGTGAAACAGAATGCCCACCGTGAGGCCCAGGCCAATTCCACACCCGGTCATCTCCGAGCCAGAAGCCTGCATCTGGCTTTCGAGGAGAGACATCGCTTCTTCCGTTCGTCCCAGGTTCATGCAGCTATAGAAGTATAACTGTCAACACCTGCAAGTTCGAAAAAACTCCTCCTGGTGACAAGCTGAAGCTGCTTCAATCGCGACGTCCGCCGCTGCACGTGGTCGAGATATCAGATATCCACACCCTAAACCCTAAACCCTAAACCAGTTATAACCCGCCGTTTGGGGGGCAAGCTCGCCTCTGCAAGTCAGGAAGTGCACGCGCAACGCGATTTCCTTGACATCGCAACACTCTTCGAAGGGACAGAGAGCACCTTTGTAGGAGAAGCATCCTAAACCCTAAACCCTAAACCCTAAATCCTAAACCCTAAACCCTATAAGCCACAAAAGTCCAGAAGTCCGGGGTGCCAAGAGCAGAACACAAGCAAAGCCGAGCTCGACGTAGGCCCAGCCTCGCCACCCGCACTCGAATACCCCGTTTGCCCTTTTTTTTGTTCGGCCCAAGGGTTTAGGGTTTAGGGGGGTTTAGGGTTTAGGGTTTAGGGTTTAGGGTTTAGGGTTTAGGGTTTAGGGTTTAGGGTTTAGGGTTTAGGGTTTAGGGTTTAGGGTTTAGGGTTTAGGGTTTAGGGTTTAGGGCTTAGGGCTTAGGGCTTAGGGCTTATGGCTTAGGGGAAAGTATAAAGGGGTGGGGAGTTCGGTGGGGTAATGGGGCTAGGGGGTCCTTTGAAACTGCCATCATCGAATCTGTTGCTGGTCAGATATGCTCCAAGGGAAGCCCCAAAGATCCCCAAAACCACCCGTGAAAAGTTCACCTTGGGATGTTACCCCCTATTTCCTAACAGTCCTTAATAGGAACTACATACAGTACCCCCTATTAGTACCGATTAAGGACTGTTAGTTTCCAGGGGGGGAACATCCCAGAGCTCACCCTCTTTTTGAACCCTAAACCCTAAACCCTAAACCCTAAACCCTAAACCCTAAACCCTAAACCCTAAACCCTAAACCCTAAACCCTAAACCCTAAACCCTAAACCCTAAACCCTAAACGATGTATCGTGTGGCCCTCCCATGGCTCGAAGCTCGGGTCCGTCTGAAAGCCGATCCTCAGTTTTGAGGGTTCCTTAGGGTCCTTTTTGGGGTTCTTTTAGGGTTCCTTAGGGTTCCCTAGGGTCTTTTAGGGTTCCTTGGAGTTCTTTTAGGATTCTTTAGGGTTCCTTAGGGTCCTTTTGGGTTGCTTAGGGTTCTTTAGGGTTCCTTGCGGTTCTTAGGGCTCAGGGTGTAGGGAGGTGTTTCCAGATGTTTCGGGCAATAGCCCTGAGAAGGCACCAACTGCCACCTTGTGTCATAATCCCGTTGGCAAGGATTAGGATTGCCACCAGTGGTTCCACATACCTGAGACATTGAAAGGCCACTCGAGGGATCAAGAGCATTCTTCTGACGGCTTTGCATACATAATCATGGTTGAGAACTTTGAGATACTTTGAGAACCCATCCGAAGCGTTCGCAATCCTTACAAGAATCTCGAAATGCCGAAACCATGCAAACCCACATGCTGAGCTGCAGCGTGAGACGAAGGCTTCTCTCTTGTCCGACCCTTGCAAGCTCTCCCCCCAGTATCGGGTTTGCCTTTTGTGGTGTTCCCCTCGATCCATTGGCCTTCGCTAAGGGGCCCGAAGCACGCAAACGATCTCACATGCACCAAAGCCTATACACTGGGCCTGCACCCCCAACACCCAAGACTTTGCTTCCACTCCAGGCTCTGTGTGGCCCGAGGTGGTAGGCCAGGTGGCATCAGCGGATGTAGCGGTTCTGGGGGCGCTGCTAGGTCGTTAATGCGTACCTCAAAGCAAACTTTCGTGTGAAAGCTGAAAGGCTGTTGGGGGTTGCAGCGGTTTCAAGCAGCTACTCTCTTCCTTCCAAGCCCTCTTCTTTCTTCAAGGGACTTGCTGCAATCGGTCTCGGGCCCGTATCTGGCTTCATGTCAAAGGAGATCTTCCACTCACTTTGCGCTCACACACCCAGCCCTGTTGCAAAGGTCAGCTCCGCAACCAGGCGGTTGGTGTCACCGGCGAGTAAGATCTCGCGGATCGCCTGGGAGGCGTGTTGTGCAGGGTCCAACACAACGCTGTTGACTCCCAAGAGGACCTTTGATTGGCGCCTCTCAGCTCTTGAGCCCAGGGAAAAGCCGGGAAAAGCCAGGCCAATGAGACCCTTCCTTACAGGCACCTACAGAGTTAACGGAGAAAGGAGCTCGCACAGCGCCATTCTCATCCTAGCGCCATCCTAGGAGTACCTGCAAGCTGGCCTGGAACTGCTTGACGCCAGTTTGGCCGAAGATGCGCTTGTGGATCTCGGAGTCCTTCAAGAAAGCCACAAAATCGTCTCAGGCCAATTGAAGGGGAGCTAATCGGTGAGATAAGTGCTCGTCCTTCTCCTCTACTTTTCAGATATTGCACTGCGCAAATACTGCATTCTGCATGGATCCAGTCACCGGCAACGCGCAACGCAATTTTCAGCGTAGTCGTAGTGGGCGTTTATGTTTTGGTTGTCGTCGTAGTCATCGACGTAGTTGCAGGAGGAGGAGGAGGAGGGGAGTAGGGGTAGGGGTCTGGTAGGAGTTGGAGTTGGAGGCGGCTAGAATGCTAGAGAATTCTTGTTGCAGGAAGAGGAGGCTGAATGCATTTTTCTGATGATAGTTGTCACAACCAGGACGTGGACGATGACGGCCTCTTTAATTGCGACCCTCGAAGCACATGTTTCCAATCGAAGGGACTGAAGAACCGGAAAACGTGGTGCATTCATAGCGGTCTCAAGACATGGTCTACAAACATGCAAGTGGAGTACCACTCTGCTGTTCTGGAGAGTTCTGGTCACAAGGGCTTGCGCTCCCATGCACCGCACCAAGCACCGCCTGTCCTGTGCCAAGAAGAGCTCCATCCTCGGTTCGGGACAGCTTGGGGGACTAGCCTGGGCTGAAACGCATGGCCGACACGAAGGAATGCAATCGAGGCACAGCGCAGAGGCAGGCACGACGTTGAAGGTTCGCTCCGCCTGTGATGGTGCTACCCAACGATGTACTGTATCCATGAACGGCCAGCCCCGAACTTACTGAAGCGATCCAATAGAACACTACATCTAGTTTAAACCTCACTGCTCACTGCTTCACAAGTAGTAACCACTCTGCACCATGGTGCATCAAGCTTGGAGATCTACACCCTACACTAGCAGCCGACCATTAGGGGCACCACCAAGTACTCCCTGGATCCCAAAAACGGAGTACTAGGGTACATTGCGTGGATCCCCTGTTCAAGACTCAATAGCTACGTGGTCTATCCACAGTTGCCTGAGGCTCGAAGCCAGTCAGGGAGGCGCTGCGCCGGACGGTCTGAAGAGGCAAAGGCCGAAGAGCGTTCGCGGTGTAGGGTTTAGGGTTTAGGGTTTAGGGTTTAGGGTTTAGGGTTTCGGGTTCTACAAAGCGCTGCAGCTGTGGAAGCTTCACGCAGACTGGAACATTCTTTCTACATTCTACATTCACTGCATTGCCATTTTTTCTACCAGCACACACGTCTTTCAGCATGAGGCCTACAGAGGTTTGCCTACAGGCTTTCATCATGCCGTTCCCTGGTCAGGCCTGGCACGCTCTAAGCAATGGGGTAAGGGCTCCATGCACTTGGATTCCACAAACGGTTCTCCCAGCCGTTGCCGTCGGCCGAGGGCTTTCATCTTCAAAACCATCCTCCTTTCTAGGCACCTCTTTGAACCCACAGCCCGAGGTTCATGGCTAACGGTACCAACAAGTCGTGCGACATCCAGACCGACCTGTACCGAGTCCAAGGTGCAACGAAGTACTCCTGGAGTGATGGCCACTCCCAAATCGGCTTCCCAAAGCGCTCGACTTCATCCTTAGACCCGAGCAACCCTGAGAACGACGAAGGTATTCCCAAGCCACTGGTGTGGATAGAGCCGGTATCATAACATCTTTCAAAGGGTTCCAAACAGGTCTATTGATGGAGTTTAGGCCCACCTGCTCTTGAATACCCCCCCCCCCCCCCACAAAGCGGCCGTGCTCCGGAAACAACTCCCCTCCTCCGGTGACACTATTGCAGTGCAGCCGCCCCAGTCTCCCAGGAAAATATGGTCTGCCTCCTCGTCCTTCTGTCCACTTCCTGGACTGAGACTCTGACTTGTTGGTGTCTATATGTGTCTATGAACAGACGTATTGATTCTGCCCTGCACAGGCTGCTGCTCGTCGAGTTTACGACCTCAAGCCTGTCCTCGAAGCGGAGGTTGATGAAATCCGCGACCAGGTTAACCTCAGGTCAGTGAGCCGGCCAACAGGCTCTCGACAAGCTCCCGAACCCTGGGCAGTTTATGCTAAAGTGCTGTCTCAATTTCATTCTGCTTAGCCTAAACCCTCAACCCTAAACCCTAAACCCCCTAAATCCCCTAAACCGGAAACCCTTCTCCCAACCCAGCTCAGATCAGAGGGTCAGCGCCAGGCCACCATCTCATTGATGTCATCGATGGAGTACCGAGTAAGGCCCAGAGCATGCACGGCATCATGCAGAGTCTTTCCAGACACCAACTTCCTCGGCTTGCAGAGAGTCGACTGAGATTCCATGCACGTGCAAAGCTCTCGGCCTGCGTACCCCGTTTGCAAAAAGAGAGTGTCTTCGTTGAGAAACAACATTGCGAACAACATTGCGCAGTGCCCCGGCCAGGGGGTGGCCAAGATCACCCCTCGCCACCCCCCCAACCCCCCCCCCCACTCCCCCTCTCCCCAAATTGGAATGAATCAGAGCCTGAGGCACCAACTGCCCAAGCGCCAAGCTTCAAGTTGCTTAGCGAGCGGCTTCTCGCCCGCCATAAACTCATCCCGAAGACTTTCGGAACAACAAAGCCGAGCGACGCCGTGGACAGTGCGCCCAAGCGAACGCGGAGTCTGTGGCGGATCGCGCGCGACTCAGCCTCGCTAAGCCCAATCAAACCTGGCCGGGGTTTGGAGACTCTCACGGTGTGAGCTGGCAGACTTACATCCCAAGCTGCTCCAAATCCCACACCCACTTTGTGTCTTTTGGGGCAGTGTTCGAGGATGTCCTACTCAACCCCCCGACGCCAGCAATCTGAGCTCCTAAGCCGCCCCCTGAGCCACCCTCAGTCTTGCAGTTCGCAGTCCCTAAGCCGCCAGTAACCCTGCGAAGTGTAAAGCATAGAGCCATGAATTGAACTTCTCTCCCGATTCTAAGAATAATTCACCATACCCCAAACCCATACCCCTTAGCCTATAAAAGGAGAATATAAGAGTCTAATAAGGGAGGAATTTAGCAGACCCCCCTAAATACTTTTTGGGGTATGCCCAAGGGGTATGTTGAACATTCTTAGACCGATTTTTCTGTGTGTTATGATTCTTTGTTTGTTGAACGTCCTCATGATACATGTCCAGTGTACTTCTACCAGGATTAATGAGAACGATCCTGCCGATGCGCAACACTCATTTATTAAAGCTCATGCTTTGGGATGTTCCCCCTTATGCTGACAGTCCTTAAGAGTGATTCCAATACGCGGTACTACTTGAGAGCAGGGCGAACGAAAGCTAGGGCGCAGGTGTGAAGACCGCGCTGCTCAGCCCTGAAATGATAAGTAACAATGCTGACCTAAGGGGGGGCGGGGGGGGGGGTCCTAAGGGGGGGCGGGCCCCCCCCCACCTTATCGGGAACATGGGGGCCCCCCCCCCCCCCCCTTAGGTCCACCAGCCTCCAAGGATTTCTTGTGTGGTTACCCCCAGAGGGGGGGGGGGGGGGGCCCCCCCCCCCCCCCCCATGGCAGCTTAAACCTCCGATATATCGGAGATAAGGCCCCTGAGTGCTGTTTGACCCAAGAACAAACTGGTAAACAAGAACTCCCGCAAGCTCCAAAGGAGCTAGCTTTCGTAATAATCCCTATTAAGGACCGCTAGTACAAGGGGGAACATCCCAACTCATGTTGCTTCTCGCCCCCTAAAAAGCATGCCAGGCTGGCCGGATGTCAGGAAGGATGGCGAGGCGCAGCCCTAAGCAGCACGTGCGGGTGGAGCTCACTGATTCGCCCCGCTTGGGCACTGTAAGTCGTAAGGTTTCATGAAGACAGAAAATAGAAGAGACAAATAGGACCATAGTTTAGAGCACTCCTCTCTCAGCGAACTTCTCGAGCATTCGCTTGAACATGTAGAGACAGACAGAGAGAGAGAGGAGAGAGCGAGAGAGAGCGAGAGAGAGCGAGAGAGAGAGAGAGAGAGAGAAATGCTCAGGCATGGGGTCGAGCAGACGAGGTCAAATCCTTAACATACATCGAACATCTTCTCCTCCCCCTCTCCCCTCGACCGAGGACGAACTCGCAAAGCGAGCCATCGCGCTCCGCGGGGCGCAAAGGCTTAAACGAGTTTGGCGTGAGTGAACCCTTCACGAGCTTAGCGCCCGACAGATGGGCCTTCGCTCATTCAAATTTTCAACATCAGCCCGAACAAGCGAGAGGAAGGGGAAGTTTCAAAACATCATAGACAGACGGAAGCGCTCTATCAATCATGAGCCAACGATCGTCACTCAACATCTGGCTCAAGTTGATCCTGGTTTTGCTCCAGATAGTGGCCCTCCCTTCCGCCCTGGTACGCACCGGCCATGTGACGACTTGCGCAGTGCTGTATTTACACCAGTGCCGACCGCGACAACAGCGATATATGGCGATATGCAGGCTGTACGAAGTAGTGCAACCTCAAGTTGAGCCCACAGTTCATGCCGGCACATGCTGATCTGCGAAGAGTGGTGCGCAGATGCCGTCACCGAAGCTGCCCGGCAAGAAGAATCCCAAGAATGTAGTCCACACATGCCTTGAAAAGAGCGGCGTTGTCGCCGAAGGTGGCCAAAGGTGGACGAAGAAAGAGCAAACGATCGAGCGATTTTTAGCCAACATGGCCACAATCACACGTCAAAGATTGGAAGCGTGATCGCAGTGAGCACAAGAGTGGACCTGCCATCCCAGACCAACCCAACCACAATTAGGAGAACCCCCCTCCCACAAGAGACGCCCGCAGCATCTTGTAAGCAAACTTCGGCTTCAGGGCAGAGAGTCCTTGGGGCTCAGGTTTCAGGGTTGAGTCTGAGGGTTTTCGGGGTCTGGAGTTTTGCTTCAGAGTCGTCTCGGGTGTTGCCTATAGCTCCTCTCTTCAGCCTGGATGCGAGACCATGGGAGCCCACGGAGTCCGACTTGTTGGTGGCAAACTTCTTCATCTGGGCATTGTCAACAGCTTCAGGACCCGAGTCTAGAGACTCGAGAAGATGGCTCACACTCTCTCGAGAATGCAGCCAGGAAGCTGCCTCTATTTCCTGGACAGGAAATGGGCAAGCCAGAATTGCAAAAGTGCGAGGAGCCATGAGAAGTCCCCCTTTAGGGGTGTGGGGTGGGGGTTGGGGCGGGCTGATGTGGGAGCATTCACGCATGCACGACTCTCTGCACAAGATCAAGAATATCAAGACCCCTGCCGGCCACACCTACCGCATGTCCCTGTCACAGAGGCTCATATCCGATCTTCGTCTCCAAAGCCCATGACTTCCCCCCACCCCCTTCGGCCCGACCTGGCTTAGCACTCCCTCTGCATCTGCCGGAATAACACCCTTGCAGGGGCTGCAGGTAAAGAGAGGTGTGGGGTTGTGGGAGGCTCAGCTACAAAATCTGGAGACCTGAGGTACAGTACACCACACACCACCGAAACAGTCAATGCCAGGCTGCCCAGCTGCGAACAACTGTTTGCATAGCAAGGTGTCTGCTGTCTGCTATCCGTGCGGACGTTCGAGTCGGCGTTGGTTGTCATCAAGTCCATCAAGCATTGTTGGCCTACTCTTGACTTATTCTCTCGGCAACAACTGCCATCTGAATCACTATGTGAAACCCTCAAAGCAACTTGAACCCCAAACCGCAGACCCTGATACTAACAGAAGGCTTCCCAAGCCTTGTTCAAGCCATTCTTGTCGTCCTCGGTTCAAGGTCAGGCTCGCACTGTTCAGTGGCGAGTGGCTTGCGGTAGAGTGTGAAAGGTGCTCATGGCTTTCCGGAGGATGACAGTGAGACGGCTGGACTTTCGTACAAACCCTAAACCCTGTGTAGGCCTACGGCAGCGCGCAGTGAGTTGCGAATTAGAGCCCTCCTGCCAGCGCTGAGGAGTCAGACGGCATGGCATCGCTACTTGCAGCCCGAGGTACGAATTTGGGCAAGGAAGGCACCCTCGAGATCGCCTGCGAAAAAACCGACAGTATAGCGACAGGCTGAAGGGACCAGGGGCAGAACAGAGCTTTCCAACACCCAGGGGCAGAACATCAATTCCAAAAGCCCAGCCCGAAACTCTCTATAGAACGGGAGTGGGAGTTCCTAGGCTGGAGCTTCACAGCACAGTCGCCTCACCGTCACCATCATCGGAATCTCCGGGACCTACCACCCGACCTGCAGAGAGTCCACAACTCAGATCAACCTCACATGGGGGTGGCTCTCTACAGTGGGGTCCCTTTTGTGGTCCCATATATTGTACGGCACCCCCGTAGTAAGGATCCAAGCAGGGACCCACATTTAGAGAACTAACCACATAGCGGGCAAGCCGCCGAAGAATTCATCAGAAGCCAGCGCCGGATCAGGCGCCCCTGCCGCGCTTAAGCCGCAACTAAAGGTGGTTTACGAGACTAGGGGCACCTTCTTGTGGTCGTTATTGTAAGGGAATCCTACTATTTGGGGTCGATATGAGGGGTCCCCTATTTTAGGTAAACCTCCTCAACATCAGTTGGGTGCTGAGCTCTGTTATAGGGCCTCAGGGCTTAGGGTTCGGAAGGTTTTCGATGTAACAAAAGTCTAAACCTTGGGGTTCATAACGGCCGACATGCACTGGCCGTTGAAGCCCCTGAACCCGCTGTGCGCCTTGCTGGCCAACCTCGGTGGGGCAGAACAAGGCGTCCAGCAGATACGCAGAGACTCCATATGCCAAGACAAACCATTTGGAGTCCAGAGGAGACTCACGTGCATGTCATGCATCTCGCTTAAGCAGCTTTGTGTCTGAATGGGTGTGTCCTGACCATGAGGACAGCTGCAATACAAAAACTCTTAAGAGCCATGTGGCACTGTGCAGATCCGATTTGAGCATGAGCGTTGCTTCGTGGTACTCCGGGAAAGCCTTGCAGGAGGTCTTGGATTTGCCACCGGTGCCGAAACTATCTGACTGCTTTTTTAAGTGGAAATATGTCGGTAAATACGACTGCATATGGCCCTCTGCGGGCATCACATGGAGGCAGCTGATCGGACTGAGAAGGTGAGCACATGCCGCAGGGCTCTGCATGAATGGAGGCATTGACGGCAAGGCATGCAATGAGGGATGCGCATGTCAGGGTGTAGTGCGGGACAGGGATGCAAACTCATCACAGAGAAGCGCAATGTTTTCATGGTAAGGAGTAGCGGTGTGAAGCGTCAAGAACGGGGTTTGACTGTGACACTTGTTCTAAACCAGGGTCCCTTTGAGGATCATTTTCACACACACTGATTCTGAATCGTACCTACAAGTGGTCCCTGTCAAAAACCCGGTGAAATCTGACTCTTATGGGCAAACGTGATGCCTCGAGGACCTGCGCTCGAAAACTGCTCCAAGCATCCTGGAACAGTGGGCTGCCAGACGTCAAGAAGCTCTGGAAAATACCGAAGGCAAGCACCGTGGGAGCAGCTCGTGTATTTTTGAACTCTGAGATGGAGCATGCCTAAATATTACATTAGATTACATTATATTACATTATATCTTATATATCTTTTTTTTGAGGGGAGTCTTGCAAGCAGAACGGCATCGCCACCGTGTGGGCTCTGAGATGGATCGGGTGGAGGCCCGCATATACCCCATACGTAGATTTCCCCCCCCCCCCCCCCCCCCCCCCCCCCCCCAAAATTAGGGTTGAAGGTTTGCAGTTCAGGGTTGAAGAACTGGGGTTTAGGGGCCAGCCCCGCCCCCCCCCCCCCCTCGGCTGTGGTGTGGTTGGGGGATTTGTGTAAGGTTTGGAAGGGCGGATACCTTTGGGCTGGGGGGATACCAGGGGGGCTGGCGAACCGAGAGCCGATGTCCAAAATGTACTTGGGGAACCTATGCAGGTAACTTAGTGCAATTCGCTTCCCTGAGCCCTAAGCCCTAAGCCCTAAGCCCTAAGCCCCAAGCCCTAGGCCCTAGGTCCTAAGCCCTAAGCCCTAAGCCCTAAGCCCTAAACCCTAGTTGGCGTAAACTTGTCAAGGGAGGAAAAATTGAGCAAGCCGAGGGTCTGAAGATCTTTCACCAATTACACTTCTTTATGGCAATCTAAGGGGTCGACTTTCGTCCTCACTCTGCTACAACTCTGCTAATTACACTTGTTTGTTGGTTAAGATTGGTTGTTTAGTTACCGTAATGAGCCCTTAAGCAGATTAGCCTTCCTGCACCCTGTAGTAATTTAAGGGGCAAACTGGATTTTTAGCAGGCACTTGCGGCATTTGTAGAGAGCCGCTAAACCGTCACCCTAAAACTTCGAGGAGATACTTCTTTTAGAAGACATAATAATTTTTTCATGGCTATATCGAAATCTGCAATGCTGAAGGATAGCTGCTGGGACGCTTCCGTTTGTCGGTTTATGTGGGGTATGCAGTAATGAAGAGCTAGTGGGTTTCTAAGGCGATTCGAGTCGCTTGCGCCAGCTTTGTGGTGGGATTTTCAGCACTTCATGTGATGCCTTGACTGAACCGAAAGACGGCGATCTCATGTCCATTATTCGTACTTTTTTGCAATGCAAGGAACGCATCAGTGCCTGGATGGCGTTAGAAACACACAATTGGCTCTTAAACGTTAAACCCTAAACCCATCAGAGATTCTCAAATCAGGCTTGCAGCGCGGAGAAAGACCACCCTCGCTCCCTCAGGTGCACGTCGTCCCTTTCCTCCTCGCGATTACGTCCATGTTACCAGCGCGTGCGAATGGCCGGAGCAGTCGTGCCCGCCCGATGGTTACGTCCATGTTACCAGTGCGCACGAATGGCCAGAGCATCCAAGCCCAGCGCGTGCGACTGGCCAGAGCATCCATGCCTGCACGGTGATTACGTCCATGTTCCCAGTAAGCAGCATGTCCATGAAGCCCAATGGCACCCATGGATCGTAATGGATCAAGACATCCGACAGATGGAAAGCAGCCGGCGCGGTCATGAGATCGGCTGTCAATATTACTTCTTCCAGGAACAGCGGATGCTGAAAAAATAATGGTGCCGCCTTCTGACGAAAAGGATAACGAAGGTCTGGAACGATGGTTTGCCAAGTACAGAAGTATAGTACTAATTTTGTACCCTATGCAAAAACCTCGCAAAACACACTAGCGCCTTCATTTTAAGACTCATGCGTCGTCTTCGGAACCACTGGAGCTAATTTTTCGCAAGCAGGCATCAGCATCCTCAGCTCATACCATGTCAGCTTTGGAAAGGAATACCTAGCGCCACACTAGCGCTATCCTAGCGCCTACATGGGGGAGAGCCTGAAACCTGCACATATGCATGGTGCCGCCTTGTGGCCAAGACATAAACCAGCAAGAGCGGAACTTCATATCGCACTTCCATCATTTATTTTACATCCATAGTATTTTGACGTCCGCCCAGACGACACCTCGAGCCCATCCGGTTAGAGAAACTGGTCACAAATCGTGACCCGATATTGTTTTCTGGATTCAACCGCGGGGATTGGTCCAAAGATACGATTCCACTGCGCCTGACACACTTTCCTACATTCCCTTTAACCCCATTCCCGACAAGTTTTTGATGTGATCGGGGGAGTTTTTTCTTGCGCTGCGCGATTTAGGCATCAGGCGGCTGGATCGAAGCTCATCAGTCCAAGGGTCGAAGCTCGCCAATGCACAGGCTCACGCGCCTAATTGTCAAGAGGCCCAAGTCTAAACCAAAGTCCCCAAACGTGTCCAAGAGATTGTAGCCTACAAGTCCAAGACTAAAAACTGCTTAGGCTTGAAGCTCTCAGCCTCCCAACTTCCAAAACTCTACGGCTTTTAGCCGTGAAATTCCAAGCTAGGCTCACCATTACGAAAATCTAGATTCCAGAAACTTTAGGCTCAAGCACCAAAAACTCCCACTGACAATCTTCTAAACTTCCAATCCAAAAAATTGATACTGGAATTGCTGTGTCCAGAAATCTTTGAAAGTTGATAGTTGGAATTACCCTAAACCCCAAACCCTAAACCCCAAACCCCAAGGCCCTAGACCCTAAACCTTGGAACACCCGTCCTCCAGGACCGACTCCAGGCGCTCACGCTCTCCCGCGGGCATGGTGGAGCCTCAATGCTCTCAAGGATGCGTGGAGGGGGGGAGGGGGAGGGAGGGAGGGAGGGAGGGAGGGGGGTGTTCAAATCTGGGGGGGTTTCCGATCATAAGGGGAAAGCCTTGGTTGGTTTTCTTTTCAAAGGATGGTGGTATTTTGGGGGTAAATAAGGGGTACCTTTCTTTTTTTTGGGGGGGGGGGGGGGAAATCTCCATCTGCACACGCAGGATGTGAAGGTCTGGGCTGCGTGCCGTCGTGCTTGTCAAAACAGGAGGTGTGCTCTGCAGACCTGCCCCAAGTCGAGAGCACATGCGAAACAGCCGGCGGTTCATGTGCTGTATCGTGAGCCCGTTCCAATCGCCTGCCCCTGCCAGAGAAAGTACATCCTTACGGCGTTTGCAGACACATCGCGTGTTCACCAGACTTTTGTTCATCCTGCTCCTTGTTCTTGCGTTGCACGATCGCTGTACAAGCAAAGCCTTGAGCCGTGCTGGGCGGGTGTTATACAACCTCAAGCGACCGAACAGGGTCTTCAAAAACCCAGGCCTCAACCCTCTCGTGTGGCTGCACAGAGGTCGCTCCAGCAGTGCAGGTGAAGGCACGAGGGACTCAGCGAACTTGGCAGATCGCAGGGCTCGCAACCATGCAGAGAATCGTTGATGCTGAGGGTGAGCAGGGGTCTTTTTTGGGCTGTTCCATTGAGTAGCCTTGGAAAAGGCGTTGGGCGCATGTTGTGCTATGGTTGGGCATGACTTCCGTTACGAGCTCGCTTAACTTCCGATCCGTCCACCCCACCCTCCAAAAGGGATAATGTACATATAGCATTCAACCAAAGCGCGCTCTGTTGCTTCTCTCCTTATTCTCCTTCTTAACCTTGCCTCCTTAACTTTTCGTCTACAACTGCCGCACCCTTTATGGCACTTAGCAGAGCTTGAGCTGAAGGGTGTCTGCGGCAGCGACACGCAGCCCTCAGCCTGATCCTTAAGGCTTGCCATTCCCAAAAGGTCCGTTTACGAATGTGCCTCGCTATCAGATTGAACGACCTCCTGTTCCGCACATGACTTGTCTCAGTCTCGCCTGCAAGACACAGCTCGAATGATCTGCTCATTTTGAAGCTACGTGTTCAAGCACAGCCTTGATACCCACGCTCAGCTCGCTTTTTTGCCTGAAAGCGTTCTCCGAGCATTGTTTGTGTTGATGAAATGCTGGTGGTCGGCCCAGATTTTGCGGACTGCATTCCTCTTTGACCGCAGAGGGCATCAAAATTAGCCCCTTGCCAGAACTTCAATGACCGAATGGTCCAGAAACGCACTGGGAACCCTCATGCGCAATCCTAATGCTCTTGCAGAGCTCTAGCTGAAAGAGTTGTAGATGCGGCGTCGATGTTGATAGAGTTTGTGGCAACAGCAAAAAGGGACCAACCCCACGCCATGCCGTGAACACTTGACCTTTTGCTACGAAGTCGAAGTCGTTTGAAGAGGAATTCGGAATTACCTTGTCGTGTCCTGAAACCCATCTTGCTCTTCATGCAACTCAATGGACATGTGGAGATGATACGACAATCAAGGATCGGGTTGTGCTTCTAACGCGCCCGCTAAATCTTTCAGGCCACCAGGTTGCTTTGCAACTGCCTGAAACTTTCTGCCGTGTGCGGCCCCCTGCACGCAGATCCCATTGCTGGCATATGCTGGCACCAACCCAACCTTGTGTTAAGCCTGTCGCGAGAGTGCCACGCTGTTCTTGTCTTCGCTGCATGTGTGGCCTCTCTTCAGCAGCCCTGTCGAACGCGCTGGTCACCCAAGTTTCTGGAGCTGGACTTGATAGTCTGAACCTATCTGAACACTATGGCCAAAGTCTTGCACAAATGAGTCCCATTACTATCTGTGAAGCCTGGAAAGCCCATAATATCCATGTCCGAAAGGCCTTATTTCCACAAGGGTCAGTGCTGGCGTGCGGAGGGGTGTGGCAACGGCTGTGATGTATCAAAAGATCAGCCGATGCCATTTGGTCCGCTCACTGTCACGAGCCACAAGATTGCATAATTACTGACAGCCTGTCATCAGGAATTCTCGGGCCAGCGCGGATTCCACATTCTGATGGGGAGCTGGTGCCTCTGGCCGACAGCATCCTCAGAGCCTCCTAAGAAGAATCGGCAAACTAACATCATAGCCTTGAAGGTTTAGGGCATTATGGCAAGAAGCAGGGTTTCAAGTGCTTGTAGCATTCGCATGCTCAAGTTTCCATAGCAGCCACCTCTTTGGCAGCACGCCAGGGAGATGACCATCTTGTGCTTTTCGGCCCGCCGTGTTCAAAACAGCTCCTAAGCCTGAAGGCTTGCTGATAAACAGCTATGGCGATGGCCCTGGGCAAGCACTAGCGTGCGTGGACAGCCTGAACACTCCCTCCTCAATGTACACTCAGAGTTGCAAAGATCGTCTGTGCAGTCGGTGATGCCCCGCCTGTTGGGGAGTTCGACCGGGCGAATCGCTGGCGGCCATTAACAGTGTTCAAAAATCCCAAACCTAACCTCGCACCCAAAGCTGGCCCTTAACACCAAGTGGGCTTCAATGCCCTTGAGCCTGTTGTCTCCAAGCTTCTTGGAGGCTGCCACTGCGTCAGTGTAGCAGTTCCCTGCCGGTGCTGACGCTTCTCCTCTCCCGTATTGCCACAACAAAACCCGTTGGTGGCAAAACTTTTCGCTGGATGCCTTTGGCCACTGGATCCTAGCTGAGTTCTGAGGTACCACTTTGGCTATCCGCTGTCCTGCTTGGACAAAGGAGAACCATCCGAACACTTACGGAACAAAACACAAATCATAATAGATCAAAACCCACCCAATGACCAAAATTGGGTTAAGTCTGCTGGGCCCAACCCCTAAACTCGACTGCCCATGGTGAGAGTCATGTCGGGTTTAGGGTTTGGGGTCTTTACGTGATGCACAAAGTGTTGCGCTGTCTATGGCCGGTTAGGTCTAGGATTAGAGGGGACCCCGCCACAAATTTTGATTGCTGTTGCAAGCAAGATGTAGAAGACTTCGAACCCCAGGAGGAAGGTTAGCTCTGCAAGGCTTTCTGTGTGTTGTCCGGATGATGATGCTGCCCAAGACTGCATGAGGCGTCATGATTTCCATGGAAGTGAAGCCCAAGACCAACATGTGATAACCAACCTTGACCTCAAGACTTCAAAAGGGTCCTCCAGGCAGGCTGAAGAAGCTTCAGAACCGTGCTCTGGAACTCCCTCTCCTCCGACCGTATTTCCTGGGCCGCACTGTCGTTGGCCAACTGGTCGGGCTTTACAGGAGGCCAGGTCCGGACGTGCGTACTCCCTGACGTGTCCATTCTCTGCCAGAAGGCAAGTGAGGTCGCATAAGTGAAATAACGCCAACAAGACCACGCTGGTCAAAACAGCTCTGTGATGCTAACATGTTCTACCTGCCTCAGGGACTCAGGGGTCAGTTCTTACAGCAGCGTCTACCAAGAAGCAATCTCCCGAATCGCCAGCAAACCACACTCTGCTGCGGAAGAGTTTCTACCAACTGGTTCTGGATCGCTTTTGTCGCGAGCAGTGTGGCGACAGCATCGCTTTTCTTGACTTCCCCACGAATCTTTAGCAAGCCCTGCAGGCAAGAAGTTTCAATCAGCCAAGGAAACTTAAGGAGCTCTCAGGCTTAAGGAAGCTCGACTTAAAAAGCCCTAGCACAACATCATGCGACGTCGGCTACCGTCATGTGGCACTGTGGAACACGTGATTTCTGCCGTTGGTGCAATGACTCGTTGTTTCACATCTGCCTGAACCAACTCCGTCACATGGAGTGTTCCACTGCCATCGGCGTCGATGATCTGCAACGTGGGGTGCAGAGGCTTCGTGGCTTCCGCGGCTTCGGACTCGAGATGATCTACAAGTACAGTCGTGGTCAGCCGAATTCAGGATCTACGTACTGCTTGCACTCTACCTTTCAACATTGGCGGCACAGCGTGAGCCGGTCCATGCTGACCAGGGATCTCGATAGCTCTCGGCATGCAAGCTGCTTGAAGGCTGGGCCTCCCTAGATAAGGACATCTCTGGCACCGGCCGTGCCAAGGCAACCTACACAATCCTAGACAAAACCCCACCACACCACACGGCCGCCAACTTCTAAAAAAACCCCAATGAACCGCCTCAAACAAGTTGGCACGGTCGTGGGGGAGCTCCAGCTCGTCCATGAGGAACTGTACAGACTGGTCCTGGTTCCGGGGGTTTTGGAGTGCAGCGTTGTTGAAAAATGTTCAAGATGGCATGGACTTTCTTGGGCACTGGTGTGTTTTTTGCCAGTTCGGGGTGCCAATGGGTTGAGCGAAAAGAGCTGGCGAGGCGGCCTGGATGGAGTTCACTACACCGGCTCACGTCGTTGGGGACGAAATGAACCCCAAAATCGGGGTCATGTGCCCTATACTACTATAAATCCGATTCAGGTACATGAACCACCAGCCCTTTTAGGGTTCCTATGGTCCCCAAGAGTCTTCAAGAATTCCTGTCACCTGCCAAGGCTTACCACGGTTACACACGGTTATACCGTGAGCGTGGTAAGCCTTGGCGGGGACAATGTGAGGACGTCTCGTCTCAAACCTTTGGGTTCTTGGGGCTCTGCATGGCGGCCATCTGCGAAGTGCGAGCTCACGTCATCCCCACCTGGATGACCAAAAGGAACAGCTCCTTGGTGATGGCCTGGGCGGTGGTGAAATTGCAACGTTTGTTCTACATTAAGGCAACCCTTTCTCGGCAACCTGGTACACATTAGTATATTAATCATATGAATCCACAAGGAACAACCCTGAGCCCTGAGCTCGACAAAAGCCATCTGCCAGGTCACAATGTGTCCATGAATGTCCTCGTCTGTGAAGTTGGACTCCATAGGGCTGAAGTCCAGGTGCTTCCGTGTGGATGTCTGAGATCAGCGGGCTGTAGGCTGTATAGGGCTTTAGGTGCAGGAGAATTCAGGGGCTAGGGCTAGGGTCTAGGGCCTTTTGCAGATATTTGGAGACTGAACATTGGGAGAAAGCTGGGTCGGCGGTAGCTGCGACTTGCAGCGGGTGGCTTAGCACTCCAAACTGCTGAGCTCTGCTTTGGGACACAATGACGCTCCTAGTACATAAGCGCATTCAGGCAACTCAGTGCCTCAATGCATGAAAGCCATCACCAGACTGGGCCACAACCCTGGCTCACAAAACCTCTATGCTGAAGCCTCAGAAGGCGTCCCCTCAAGCTGAACAACGGAGGATCCTAACCTGCACTCTGCTTCTTCGGCCCTGCTGCTGGTTCGTGGTCCTGGTCTTGGAACTGCCGGTAAGCAGCAGCAAACTTCTTCAGCAGTTCCCCTGCGCATTTCTGGGGTGCGCACAAGCCACAAAAACCGGCAGCGGAAGTGTCGCTTCTGTTGTTCATTCATCTTGCTACACTTTGTGGTTTGCATCAAAATGCTACTGCGGCTGCTTGGATAGCTACAGCCAAGATGCGCGTAGTGCGGGCGATCCGGATTGACTCGCGGGAATGCTGCTCGGCGGTCACGGCCTCCGACTCCTGTCGTGGGGTTCCGGCTCAGGTTGAGTGATGAGCCTGCTTGCATATTGAGTTGGCATTCTTACAATGCTGCTTCCAGTCAGCATTGATAGTGGTAGTACCAGGACTACTGCACATTAGAATCGGTGCAGTATCCAACCGGACACAAGCCCCTTCCACAGTCTTTGTATCTGATCAACCTGAGCTTCATGTGTATCAGGCTGCTTCCAATTCCAACGTGCCCAGCCCTGATGTCGCGCGTAGCGGGGTGGCAAAGGATGTTTCTGCTGACACGTGGAGGTGCCGCAAACCTGGAAAGAGCATTTTGCGCAAGTTTGGGCCGAGAGAGAACGGCGTGTGCAAGTTTGGGCCGAGAGAGAATGGCACCAAGTCGTTGCGGGCTGTTTCGAAGTTGTTTTTGGATGCGACCCCAGCTCCGACCTAACCTGGAAGACTGCTGTGAATGTCTTGTACGTTAGAAGAGGTCCTTGGCAGCTCTCATGGTGATGTCCACATAGACCTTTGGGAGGCAAAGTACACGTGGCCCAGAGATGCCCCAAAGAGTAGGTTTAAGTGCCTTCAGCGCACAGCGCAACTGGAACAACTGGAAGACTGAAAGCATGAGGGCGGCCAAAGGGGCCAGGATCAAACACTTGCAGGTTGAGCGCCAGCCCTTCCTCCTCCCCTTCAAGGCTTACCAGTCAGAACACGACCCTAGCCACCATGCACAAGGACTGCTAACTAGTCCAGCAACAGCCAGGATGACGTTGTAGATACCTTGGCAGGGCTTTGCCAGGAAAAATTGGTTCTTGAGTCGCTGCCGCTGCCCGAACGTGCTACATTGCCACAGTCAGCAGCAAGCTGCCGTGGGCAACTTACAACCAGCGCGGTTGGTGTGACCAAACTCAGAATGCCGACGGTTTGAGCCCCAACCAGCCTACCATCGCCGAATGCTACTGCGACTCTCATTGATGCCAGGTGGCCCAGCGAGACTAGCATATAGCCTCAGGAACAGCGTGAGCATCTTGGTCGCAGAACCCCCTGCTAGAAAGACCCAGGGCATGCATGATGGCCTGATGTGATGACTGCGCAAGATTGCTACGACAGCGCTTGCGCGCCCCTGCAGTTGTGGTGACCGGTAGCCATGGCAGTCGCCAATACCATGTCGGCTCATCACGGCAAATGTTCACAAATCTTGAAGCACTTCTTGTATGTTTCGCCGCCCTTCTTATTTCGACCACCAGCGATTCCGGCGTCCATGCAGCCAGCAACTTTCGTGAAAGAGAGCGCTTGGCGCCTATCCGATGCGTCGGTCAAGTTTTCGTACTGGCCAGCCTCATACGACTAAAATCTCCACGCCCGCCCCCCCCCCCCCCCTCCAGACTCCCTAACCCCAAACCAACCCCCCAGAATTTTCGGGAATCTTGTGGGCGAACCCCAAGATATCGGGCGCCTTCAATCCCGCCCGGGCTTCGGGTCTCCTGCAAAGGGATTCCTGAACCTGTCGGGAAGAAAGCGTATGCAGTAGGTTTACGGTTTAGCGTTTTTGGGGTTTAGGGTGAAAGGTTTGTCGTCCCGCCTGATCAAGCAGAGGAGCCTTGCGGGAAGTCTGGCTTAGGGCTTGGGATCCAGAGCCCTGCTGAGGGCCAATTCAGGGCTTCCTGCTGCAACCTACAATCCTAGAGCCATACGTGCCAAGACCAGCCAGGCAGCACACGACGTAGCCCAGGACGAAGGGCAAGCCATGAGAATCCTCCAGCACAGCGGCGATTGGCAGACCTCAACGATGCAAAGGTGTCGAGTCAAAGAAGAGCTGCAACGGCTTTACCCCCGCAGAAGTCCTGAAGCCCTGCAGCCTGTAGCTGGATTGTGAGGCTTGCTGTGGTTTCAGGGGGCACAGGAGATTTACAGGGGACAGCTGTTTAGTTGCGGGAGCCTGAACGCCGACAAGCGATCTCCGAGTTGGCTCATGTCATTGACTCTCTATTATTGGGGTTCTTCAAGCTGGGTGTTTTTGTGAGCTTTTGCGGTGAGCTTCGATATAATATTTAGAGGGTTCAGTCACTGAATGTAAGCCCCACTCAAAGAACGGTAGCAGTACAGCAACGAGCCAATTAAAGGATCCCCGACCCTCTTTGAACCCTCTGCAGAGGCGGCAGGGAGCCTGAAGCTGCGAAACACTCCCCGGAGAAGCATCTGAAGGCAGTAAACATAGACCTGAGAAAAGTGTTGCTGCGTTGCGGGTTGAAGGGCTGTAGGATGCTTTACAGCTTTCCGGTTCTGGGATGTCTTGGGCCTCAGATGTGGGGGTTGGGGATGAAGCTTTCAGAGGCATGAAGTGAGAGTGCACGTGTCGTAGAACACACATACAAGCTCTAACATAAGATACTTTGGAGACCAACGAAAGAGGCCGGTCCCGAGCATTGTAGTTGGCATACGGGCCACAGTTGCCCGCGTAGTTGTCTTTGTTTCTTAGGGTTTTTGTTGTGTTTTGGTGGGGGGAGCGGGGTGGGAGGGGGATAAGAACGTCATTCACATTGCGTCCATGCCCAAAACACTATTATTAGCAGCTTTCTCGCCTCTTTGTTGTAATACTGCGCAAGGATGTGGAACAAGACTCAAGACACGTTGTCACAAGCGCCCATGCCTTTGGCGACCATGCTCAAACCACTGGTACTTAACTTACAGCGTTTTGGCCTCTGTGTATAACGTACTGGAACAAGACACGTTCTCGCAAGCGTCCATGCTTTTGGCGACCATGCCCTCTTTGTACAACATACTGTGCAGGGCACAACATACTGTGCAAGGCTGTGGAGCAAAACACGCTGTCACAAGCGCCCATGCCTTTGGCGACCATGCCCAAAACGCTGGTATTTACTGCATTCTGGCCTGTTTGTACAACATTCCGCGCAAGGATGTGGAACAAGACACGTGTTTACAGCGTTTTCGCCTCTTTGCCCGCAAGGATGAGGAACAAGACGCATTCTCAGCAGTGTCCATGATTTTGGCGACCACGCCCCAAAACACTGGTATTTAGAGTGTTTTGCGATTCTGAGTCAAGCGACTGCTGAAAGAAACGATGTGCTCTATCCCTGTTTTGTTGTAAGGTTTAGGTGTTGGTAATGTAATTTCCAAGTAGTTTTATCCCTGGAATTTTGGTCACGATTTACGTTCTCAAATCCCCCCCAAATATGTGAAAACACTGGCAGGCGTGGGTTTAAACGCCATTCTTCTAGACATTGATCCGTGCACGAACCAACACGGCCTACACCTAGTAGTTAGAGCATTTTTTTACTCAAGTGTAGGCACCTAACTCAGTGAATTTGGTACTGTTGTGTAAGCACCTAAACCAGGATGCGGAGTTTTCAGTCTGGTTGAACGCCCAGTCACGATGGGATGTTCTGGAAATGATTCGTCAGCCCAAGTTCCGCGACGCGAGTGTCCTGCATGCCCGTGACTGGCGCTGGTCGTTTCGTGGTTTTGGGATTCCAGGGTGTCTGCTCCAAGACCACTTTCATGAATGCAATGATGACGCCGAAAAACTGAAATCCCTACTCCGAATGGGGCTCGGCAGTCCCGGCCCATCGTCATTGTGGCGAAGCCTGCGATGACCTCAGGCTCTTACACTCCTGATGACCAACCAAACCAACGGGATGACAGGCCGGGCTTAGAGCTCACATCTTGCTCACATCTTGGCCTACTTGGGGCCTACTTGGCCTGTGCATGGTCATCCGGCACATCTTACTTCAGGGATCCCCCATGTCCACTGTCAAGCTGCATACAGCACGGCGAAGAGCAGGGCAAATGAGAGGAACAGAGTACCTTGGCTCCACTACAAACACCACTACAAACACCACAAACTCCCTCAGCATCACGCCTGCCCACTTTTGTCACCATGTCGAACCCGTGGTGTCCGTCTCGCACTGGCCCATCACTCCGAGACACGAAAGCCTCCGACAAGGCCTTTCACCATCAAGCGCAGCTCCTGTCAGGGAGTCGCAGTTTCTCTTCCATAAGACATTGCAAGGCTGGAAAACTCCGCAGGACACTAAGAGACACTAAGAGACTGTGTGGGGGCTGCGCGGGATTCGGAAGTACAGCCTCTGTTGGCTTCAGAGTCGTGGTCCAGAGTGAATGCTGCTCAGTGCGCTGGCACTCGTTTGGGAGCGTGTTGCTTCGCAGTATTCTGAAGCCGGGAGTTTGGGTGCGTATATACTGCTACAAGTTTCGGTGTATGTGTGCACACGGTATATATGTACATAATGTGCGTACGCACACGTTCGCGCATATATTACATGCACTAACTCAAGACGGTCGAGGGCCGTTTGTGCCAAGCCCAAGCTCCTTCATGTACTTGAGCCGGAAGACTTTGACCTCATTTGGCTTTGAAGGGAATCATCTTGAGTGGGCTGCTCAGCAGCACTTAATCACTGCGTCCAGCAACTCAGCACAATACAACCTCGCCTGGGAAGGAGCTGAGACTCCGACCACGCGCACCAGGCGTATGAGGCGGCAAAATCTCAGAAGCGAAGCTCCGAAGAAGTCCTAAGAGCATTCAAGCTGCCGATTAGCAGATGACACACAACGCTGTCGAGCAAGAGGTGGAGTCACGCCCAGCATGATGAGGGAGCAAAATACACGCAGGTCATTCGCAAGCTAATATGCCCCAGGCCATGGTATTCATGCCCACACGTCCGTCAGATTCCATGCGGCGCATGGACAGGCCAGCCATCGGCCAAAGCTGCTGAAAAGTTGTTGTCCAGCTGAATAAACAAGCCCCGGGAATGCCCCGTAACCTCTCCCCCCCCACCCTCCAAACCGGTGCATCAGAGGATGACAGTGACATGCAGGAACAAACGTGAAACGCAGCAGACTCTAGGTCATGAGCGTAAGCCATCAAGTCGGCAAAATGTTTACCTCAATCATAAGAATGACTTTACCTTCCCCTGCTGTAGCCTGTGGGTTGATACTGGGTTGATGGGCCAAGGAGTTGATGCTGCAGGCCAAGTTTCAGACTGAGACTGCACTGCCACTTCCACCACGATGTCAGTAAGACCTGTCATCAGAAGAAAAAGATCCTTAGCTCCACGCAGAGATTGGAGACACACAGCATGAGGCCACAATAGCCTTGCTGGGGTGAAATGAAGTGTGAGTCGCGGTCGTCTGAGATGAACTTCCAACGGCTACCCTAAACCCTAAACCCTAAACCCTACACCACTTTCAACCAAGGTGGAGCTTTGACTCGCCCGAACTGGGAGGAAGGCAGACTGCGGCTGCAACTTACCAAGTATGCTACCGTCGCGGCAGCCAAGTTTCGAAATAATTCCACGCCCAGTCGGTGCCACAGAAGTAGTTCTGCGGGCGTGGAGTCTGCTGTGAGCTTTGTGAGACTCACATCAAGGAAGTTTCTGGTTGAACCGAAAGCTTTCTTGCGCTGGCAGTCGGGGATTGTACAGGAATGAAAGCCGATTCGGTACTTTAATAATATCTCGGAGCAGACCTGGCAAGAGAATTTCAGGGCGGGCCCTCCTACTCTGCGAGAGTTTGTGCACTCCGGGTCCTTAACTCCGGAGAGGTGGACGCGAAAGCAGCACTCAATGATCAGAACTATGGCGAAGATCACCTGGGCTTTGGCCCCAAGCACAACCGGAGGGGAACCAAAAGAAACCAAGGCGCAGGATCAGAAGGTCGGATGAGGGGATATTCCCGCAGGATGAGGGGATATTCCCGCAACACATGGAAATTGCAGGCCGCAAAATATTTTGGATGCTTTGGTGACGGACTCGAGTCCAATTCCTACCTCCAAAGCTTCTGAGTCAAGAGATCCTTGCACGCAGAAAGACTGCTTATGAGCTAAGCGGCCTCAAGGTAAATCCAGCCACCCCAATCCTGCAGGCATCTGTGATGCTCATCAGACGCTCACATTGTTGCTCCCTAACAGAAGGCCCCAAAACTAAAGGTTGCCCCCTCCACGGCCCACTTGATAAGTGCAAATCATCGGACAATCGTCCGGAACATCCCCTTGAGGGTTTACGAAATAAGGGACCCCTAATATACACCCCCAAATAGTAGGACTCCCTTATAACAAGGGCCCCAATAAAGTACGCCTACTTTCGGAAACCCCCATTTTGGGGACGTTCCCGAGGATTGTCCTAGCCCTGGTCGGACGCGTTAATGGGCTGCAGGTGGCTGCCTCCACCCTAAACCCTGCACATCAGCTCCTCGTAGCCGGGATCCGTTTGGAAGCCGATCATGATGCCGTTCGCCTCAGATCATTGGAAGTACACTCTCGGCCTGAGCTGCTGTAGTTGTAATACTAGACTTGCTGCATGGCCTCCGAGCATCTCTACATTAACTTGACATTGAGCCAAGCATCTACACCTTCCAAGTTCAGGAGGGAAGAAAACCCAGAGCCACAACACATCCCAAAACCACCAAGCAAATCCCCCAAGATTGATCTATCGCCAGGCTGAGACACAATAATCAGTACCGCAACGAAGGGCTCGATGAAAATCAGGGGGTGGATCTTCTCCTGGAGGTCGCGGGCATGAGGAATCTTGCTAGACACAGGGACACACGCAGACAACCGGCAACTTTGCATTTCAGACAAGGGACAGGCGGCGCTGCCAAGTCATTGATGCGCACCTTGATTCCCGTTTTACTATATGGCTTAAGGGCTTAAGCTTCAGATTCAGGCTCGGGGCATGTGTTTTGAACCAGTCATTGTCACTTCGACCCCCCGAGCCCCAAGTGCTCAAAGTGAGGCAAGCAGCGAAGGTCAGCTCGGCAACCAGTCGGTTTGTGTCGCCTGCGAGAAGGATCTCCTTCATGGCCTGACTTGCGAGACTCGAGTGGGCAACGCAGGGATGAGGACCCACTAAGACTTCGAGGGATTCCGGGATTTCCGGGTGAGGTGCCATCTCGTGAGGCTTCAACGCTGCAGCATTCAACAGGCTCCATACGCCGAGAGAAGTGCATGGGTTGTAGGATGGCTTCGTGGGCGACTTGCGGGCCTAGCTTGAAAGTGCGGAGGATGCAGACGGTATCCCAACATCACTCGAAGCTGAAGTTCTTATGGCAAGCCTGTGCGGATAGCCTGCATGGTGGTTTCCAAAAGCTCTTTCCTGCCTGAAACTGCGCCATCATCGCATGACCAAAAACTTTCTTCGGCAACTCCTTGTCCCTGCAAAAGGGCAAGTATGAAAGACACACGTTCAGCGACAAGCTTCGGTTTCTAGATGATTCTGGCTACAAATCACTTGACATTCGCAGTTTCTGGGCTGCTGGCTTTCTCACCAAAATGTCCATCAGCGGCTTGAGCGGAACCGCATTCATGGTCCTCGGCTCAAAGCAGGATTCAGACGATGGTCATATCCTGCAACTTATACTGTATTGATGCGGTCGGTGTAGGAGCCTAAGTGTGGCTTCTTGTGCTGCCCCTTAGTCCAACCCAGTCTTTCACGACCATGCCGATCGACAGCGCTTGACGGGTAGGGACTCTGCCGCCCGACACCATGGTCCCGCCCACATCAATCAGGCATGCACTGTGGAGGTGTACACAAGCTCTGAAATGCCCTAAACGCTGAACCTCAAGATCCTGACTCAGCCCGGCAACACATCAAGCACTTGCTTGTGGAAACCATGGCAAAACATGCTGGGGTCGGGGCGATCTCGTCTTGTCATCCACGTTGTGCATGTGTTCTCGGCTACCCTGGCGGGCCAAGAGATAACTCGGGTCTTTTCTTGGTCAGTTCTCTAACTTTGGTCACTGGTCCTTTTCTTGGGTACCACAAATGTACGGAACATGTCATCAGGAACCCGCTATACACGGGTGGCATCATTCAAAGAACTACCATTCGGCATCATCTGCACCCTGTGCTTACCAGACCCTAACAAGGTCCGCCGCCCCCCCCCCCCCCCCCCCCTCCACCTTGCCCCCGCCACTTCCTCCGCCCCTTCCCCCACCTCGCCCCAAAGTCTGAAAACCCATACCTGAAGCTCCACGCATACGGTTAAACTGAGAGCAGTAGTAGCCACCATAACTAACAGTAGAAATAACAACAATAACAATACTAGACAACCGTTGTCAAAGTACTAACAACGACAATAGCAATACAAATGTTTTCAAACAATGCTAGCCAAAAAAGCGTATAACTGTCCAGCTGCGCTATTCGAATAATGTTGGTTGCAATAAACTCTGATGGTTCTTCTTGAACTGATTCAGGAATTCGTAATAAGACAACAAGGAATCGAAATTTGCTACTCTTTGAAGCATAACGTGCATCAATTCTTACAAGTCCTACGGCTCCACCGAAATGCATCTGCACTAGGAACTTCATGTCGTATTTGTCTGTAACATCTGTAATGTATAGATAAATCGTAATCGCAGCTTGAAGATACAAGGCACTCCAAAGCGAGCCGGCCTGAGATGCGGAGGCGTCACCTTCTTGTGGCCAGTGCCAAACCTGCTTTCGGTTTTCAGCGAGTGGGAAGGTTTCTTCTTTTTGATTTGTACAATATCTCTGTCTACAACGATCTGTTGATCTTCTTCTTACGTTGTCAAGCTGTTGTTGTAGCTTCTGGGAAGGTGTGTGGGATAGTCGTCTACAAGAGGAGGTTAAGCTTGGGGCTTGGACAGCCAAAAAAGTCAACTTCAAAGTTTCGGACGTTAACCACCGGAAGCTCAGCCCTGCATCCAAATAGGGGGGTTCTGATGTTTAGCAAAGTTCAGCTCGGCATGTCTGAATCTTCTTTCAACCTTGTAAACCTTTTGAACCCACACCTCAACACACCTCAACCTATGAAGTGGCAGAACTGGTAAAAGTCTGGGAGCCGGCTTTCCTTGGTAGTCCCGCTGGTCTTCGTCCTTTCACATCAGGGCTCCCTCTTGGGCTGTACAACGGGATCCGCTCCCAGATACTGGCTTTCGGGCATGATATGTACGGCGCTGCAAGTGCATGCACAAGTAAGGACAAGCTTGCCACAGAGACGTGTGTGCGTATTTGTGCGTACTACATTTATTGTGTGACCATGTCATGACTCCTTTGCGCTCGTGAACCTACGGATCTGATACGTCACGGTGTCTGCCGAAAAGTGCCCATGCCGCACACGTGCGGAGACATCCGGCAGCTGTGGAAGAAAAGTCGCTGCCACAGGTTTAAAGGGAGTTGCACTTGCCTTGAACAGATTGTGGACTTGTGATGTGGGCTCTGGCAAGAAACAACACGAGCGGCAATGACACATAGTCTGCCAAAGCATAACCCAGAGTCCAGAAGGAGTGTTCAAGAGGTCTGCTGGGCATAGTGAAGGCAGCGCCGCGCTCAAAATGCCGGTCCTGGAACTGGAACACATTGCTGGAGGAATGACTTCTTCTGAAGCCATTCTTCCCCTCCTGTTGGCCAGAACCAATTCGAAGGACATAACGACAGGGCCGGTTGTTTCTCTATCTTTCAGGTGCTTGTTGTGTCAAGAGCTTCTGCAGCGCCAGCAGCATCTTGTCGAAGCGGTCTCTAGGCGAGGAAGTGAGGGATCCGTGCAGGGGCCTTCTTGACGAAGCGCAAGTCAATGTAATCAGCAAGCGTATTCACCTCAAGCCAGCGCATGCGTGTGATGTCTGATTGAGCCTAATTAAACCACAAGCCCAAAACCCCCCTCCCTCATGTGGGGTACTCACCTTGTCCACCTTGTACACAGTGCTCACAAGAGCTTGAGGTTTGGATTTGAAGATCTGAAGCCATGCGGCAAATTGATTCATGTCCTCCTCAGAATAAGTGGTCAAGCCTAACCTCGGCTTGCAATTGGCCAGGTCAAGGTGGAGGAACGGAAATGTGACAACAGGTTGCCAGGCATGCAGCAGCTCATGTTCCGGCCATCAGAAACGAGTCTCAACAATCAACATTCACCGGCAACACATGGGCCAAGCCGTGTGGAGAGCTTCCAAGAAACGCCTCCACAGTGTTGACCAACATCTTTCCTGCTGCGGAATGGACTTTGACCAACGGAATTCACGAGCGTAAGATCAGTTATATAAATTACACGAATGTGCCTTGAATGCAAGCTGCTCACGACTTGCCCAGAGGTCATAGCAAGCTCGACGTGCAATCTACCCTTGTGCTCTTGCATATAACCTGCTGGCAGCCGCTAGACACCAAACACCCCAACCCTAACCAGAAAGTCAGCCAGCGGCCCAAGGCGAACCAAAATCTCAATGAACTTTGGGGCGCGACCGCCGACTTGAAGTGACTTCCCTCTCCTGTGATCAGCTTCTGGGAGGACATCGCCCCCAAGCGCACTTGTAGCCTTTGGCGAACACCGTGCAGAGCGCCTTGGCTGACAGCTATCCTGAAGGTCTCGCACACTCCAACTGTAGGGTTTAGGGTTTAGGGCGTTTAGAGTTTAGGGCTTAGGTAGGTCGCTTGAACGTAAGCTAGGAGTTGTCAAGCTCACAGCATCGAGGCAGTCAAGGCATGCCAAACATGTGGACACCCCACTGGACTCGATCTGGACACAGAATGGGTAGCCATCTCCGGCCTGTGGCACATCGCATCCCTGGAATTCCCAATGCGAAAGCCAGGTGCTGTCGCTATCCTCCCGCTGTAGCAATGGATTCGAGTCTTCTGCAACCTGGCTCGCCGCCTGCCGGCACATTGCTGTGTCTCCCAAGGCCCCGAGCATGGGGAAAGGGTGAGTTCGGACATTGAAGGTTGAGACGGGTTAAGATGGTGGAACGAAAAGCACGAGCTGCCATTTGCCTGCTGCCTATTCTGACTGGGCATGGCAGTCCAGGAGAAGGAAATTCTGTTCTCTGAACGTGAAGAAAACCAGAACTCGACGCCCTAGTGAACCTAAACCCTGAACCCTAAGCCCCAGAGCAAGACTCCGAAGGTGTTGGGGCTCAAAGCACCAAAGCTTCCATTCTGCCTCGCCCTCGGGGTCTACAATGCTGAATTCGCCAGTGTTCTGCCTTGAAACCTCAGCTGTGGAATGTGAAAGCGCTCGGATATCATTCTGCTGTTGGCCTACTCTCTTCCATGGAAACCCTTCAGGGGCGCATGCCCATCCTGATGCTTGTCATGTTGATCCTTAAGCTGTTTGAGGGGACGTCGGGGTATAGAGTGCTTTACAGACTTCCTCACCGCGAGACAAGGGGGCCTACCGTCGCTTCTTCTGAGCTGTTGTCACTTTCTCACTCGGGACGAGGTTAGATTTAAATAGTGGCCTGGCCAAGGTCGTTTACAGGCTTTCACGATCTTCTTCTAAAACCTTCGTCTCGTACATCACATCTTGGCCCAACCCGCCCCTGAACAAGAGCACAAAGAGAGAATCTTTCTCGATGAGGGCCCTGCAGACGCTTGCTCCGGCTCCTGGTTCTCGGGCTCTTCTAGCGGATCCACAATTGAGGCAGCCTGCCACGGCTTGGGAGCATGGCACGCTGCAGCAATTCGCAAAGGGGTTTGGCTTTAGGGACTTGTACTTATTCTAACATTAGCCCGACAGCCAAAGGCCTTGGAGTCTTTCCGTTCTGCCTCAGCAGGGTGATCTTAGACGTAACATTCGCAGCAATCCTTCAACCACTTCATGTGGGCATTCTGAGGACTCAGCTCTCTCACATTCGCGGCTCGTTCGAGTTTGCAGAACATCTAAAGTCTATCAATAGGAACATATGCAAGACAGACCCTTATAAAGTCTAGGCCATGCATACTTACAGCCCCTGGAGTGCTCTCTCTGCCTTTGGGGAGGCCACCTTCGGCGATTCGGACGTGGGCCGCGCACAAAGAAGCTCGACTTGCCGACTCCTCAATTCGTTGAAATGGGGGGGGGGTTTACGATATTACGGGGTACCTTATCGGGGGGTCCTTATTATAAGGGGATCCTACTATTTGGGGGTCTATCTTAGGACCCCTTTTTTTGTAAACGCCCAAATAGCGTCCGAAGACGACAACAAGTCAGCTCAGCTTTCGGACAAGCGCACTGGGCTATGAACTCTATTGACGAGTCGGAGCATGTCAGCCCGCGACAGTCTACTCTTCATGTTTGTGCTGGTCTGTGTTTTGTATGGCTTGGAGGTGCAGGGCACGTGCCCGCTTCCAAGGCTACCCTACTCAAACCAAGTCAGAACAACAACTCTGAGTCCACCTCTGCTGCCAGGCATCTCTTTAGGAGGAAAGAAGCACGGCTCCAGGCGCTCAATCCGCTCAACCACCGTGCCCGTTTCGAGCTCTCTTCGGGTGGCATCACCTTGGGTTTGAGCCAGTTTGAGCTCCGCCTTCTCAGCTCTAAACAAGCCGAAGCGCTGCTTCTGACGCCCGAAAGTCTCAACTCTCCGCTGCTTTCCAAGGGGCAGGCTCTCGTGACCTGGTCAGGGCGTGTGAGATTCCCAATACTATGGCAGCCAGCTGCCCCCGGCACTTCTTGGGGTATTTGGGTGCCCCCACGAGGGGACCACGATCTAGAAAGCTGCCCTTTTGAAAGGGTGTTGCTTGCGAGGCCTAGGCAAGGCACTCTGACAAGCTGGCCGAATCCCCCAGACATGACAATTGCAACCAGCAGGTTTGGGACCATTTCGCAGGTGCGGAATCACAAGTGACGCAGGCAGACAGACTTCCACTGTTGAATCCCCCACCTCTACTTCCAGGCTCCTCATGCGTGTTTTGAGGGCAGCGACAGAGTCCTCAGTTGCCAAAAGAAGCAGATTGGAAGGCAAGCCAGACGGGCAGCATGGCAGCAAGAGCGAGTCATGACCATGACCATAATGACTTCTTCTTGTTACGAAATCCCAGGCCCTTACACGACACCAGGAAACCTGTCAGAGCTTGAGTCTTGGCGCTTTGTGTCACAGGAGCTCCAGTCGACATGCTTGTCACGACATGTGCATACCAGCAAACTGAACATCACCTCACTGCCCCCCCAGTGCCCTGCCGAAGGCTCTAGTGACGTCTCCAGCAAAGCCGTTTCTGAGTAGGCCTGCCGAGGCGAGAGACATCGCGAAGCAACCCCTTGGCATGGATGCCCAGCTGTGGTGGCCATGCCTGGAGCATCTGATTTCGGAAGATCTGCCACGATGCATCCTTTGCTCAGAGACAGTTAACATCTGGGAATCTGCGGCTGGACTCGGCTAGTCGCATTTGAGCTAGTTTTTTAAGAAGATGCATGCCTCCAGGTGAGTGTATATGAGTGCACCTCCCTTTGAGAACACAGCAGGCCACTCAAGGCTATTGCCAAGTGTCCAAAAACTTGGCGAAAATCATTTGCCGCTGGTTGGGGTCCAGCATGGTCCAAGTGGAGGCGAGACTGCACTTGAAGCTCCGTGGTGAAAAGAAGGCGTAGCGCCCGCAACCCTTCGGATGTGGGTACTCTGCTTGCTCGGGAAGAGTGGGGAGACGTGTGTCGTTCTTCTGGAACTTCGCACGCAAGGAAAAGTTGGCGCGCAGCTTGCTTCTACCTTGTGAAATGTGCTTTTTTTCTGTGGCAACAAACGAAGCACGTTTTAACCTTGAGCAAGTTGGGCTTCCACTTTGTTGCGGCAACTCCTTTCGGGGTACAGTGGGCTCTGCTTGGTATGCTGTAGAAAACACGGCCAGCCGGTTTGGTTGCGCTTGAGCCAGAAGTGCTGAGGGACCAAGGAATCAAGAGACGACGGTGGCTTCATGCGTGGCTTAGACGGTTCTCAGTTGCCTTGGAAACTTTGAAGCTCGTAGAAAGGAGTCGAGAGTCAGCAATCGATGTAGGGCGATCTGCCATCTCACACACTTCAGCTTTGCTCTACCTGGACTCTGCCTCCAGCACCAAACCGAAGGGACGGCCGGTAAGTCCTAAGGCGATACTGGCCCGTTCAGGTGGAATAGGGATTTTTTCGTAGCTTGTTGTATACCTGGTCAGACTTCGTCGAAGCACGACAGTCATTTTCATCCTGCCGCGAGAGGGTGCCTTGCCGCTCAAGTAGGCCAAGGCCCAGAGGCCTTAGTAAGCTACCCGCAAGGCATGTGCATGCGCCAATCTTTGGGGTTGCTCTGCATGTCCACATCTGCATTGTGAAGGCAGTTGGCCTTGAGCCGAGGGCAAAAGCCATCTGGGCCCCATCGATTCTTCAAGCCGCCGGCCCATGGCTCGCAGTGTCCAGCCCATACCACCGGTCCGAGTCTTTGACATTAATACGCAATGAGCATACGTACATTAGCATGTTGGCCACACGCATGCAAGATGCAACAAGCCTCGGTCTAGCAATGTAACACAACTCCTGCTCGACAGAACCAGTGACACATCTGAACTAAGCGTGCTTGAAGAAGGGCTCGTGTCGCGGCGAGTTGAGTCTTTGCGAAAGTACTACGGCGTCTTTTGTTGTGGTTGCTCCCATGCCTGCTCCCTGTCGATTGTCCGGCAATTCATGCTGCAATGCAGTCTGTTCCAATTCTAACTCAGAAGCCGTATTCAGCTTGTGCACTTGACTGCAGAAAGTATTATGGCAATGTGCCAGGATCTTGTAGTTTCAAGTATGAAATCTTGCTCTCCCTCCAGACCGATCCCTGAGTAGAGTCCTTATCGCCCTCGCAGCTCCGGATCTCATCCCGAACTCCCATAGCCCTCCCACCCCCCAAACGGATGCGTGGGGTGACTGGTCACCGAAGAAGTTGAAGACGATGGGCCCGTCCGTGTATTCGAAGACGCGCGTGTAGAAGTACGGGAGATACCTGAACACGAAGGTTTTCTCTCTGACGGTGCAGAAAATGAAGAGCTACCATCACCTCACGCAGAACGAAGTCCCATCCTAGCAAAATGAAATCTCGTGTTGCAACGCCTCCTGACCTGACATGACCTGACACTCAAAGCATTAAATCCTCGTGCGATACTCAGCTCCCTGACTTGGTCTTGTGTGTCCTGGGCGCGCACGCATAGGGAGCTGATTCCACACCCATGGCCGCTTTTACAGCCTGGCCAAAGCGCTGCACAACACCGGCAAAGTTTACGGAAAGCGCTGGAACACGGATTAAAGCCTCAAACAAACAAGGCCGTCAAAAAATTGTGAGGCGCCTGTGACGCCGACTTCCTTGCATGGTCGACCTGGTACACTCTGCCGACAGATGAATTCAGTCCCATGTATGGCTGTATGGTGAAGCACATGCTGAGAGCAGCTGCCAGATGGCGAGTTCACACTAGGTTCCAGCTCGCAAACAGCATCCATGCAGGTCTTGTAGTGAGCTCTGCTGCAAAATCGTGCAAGTGATGCATGGGCAGTTTCTGGGGCAGCCAAGTCACATTCTCGCAACGCATGAAGCCGCCGTACTTGGAAGGGAAGGTGGCAATGTCACCTTTCACAATGGGCAGCGCTTCTGGGCTCGCTGTCAGTTGGCAGTGATGTGCCTGTGTAGCAGCCATCAGCAAGTGTCTTAAATGGGGTAAATGGGGTAGCCCTTGATGACAAATCGGTTCTCCAGTGAACTTTGTTATGTTGGCATATGGTTCTTGTGCCTGTTTCCTTCTAGTGCAAGGAACCCATGCTTCAAGCTTTCAGATGCTTTGAGAACGTCGAAGCCTCATTGCAAGGGAGAGGTATCCAATGCGGGGGAAGACAATGCATATATGATGCAAACATGTAAACCGGACTCCGTGCATACTCGCTTCCACAACTTCTGCTTATGCTTGAGCTCGAGGCCAACTGCAAAAACGCCAGGCGTCGACGTCTGCCTGAGACTCCGCAGAAACACCAGAGAAGCATGGCGATGCCAGGACTGGTCCGTTCAGCACATGCGGAAAACAAAGCCGCTGGGCATTTTTGCCAACCTTCCTCCTGTAAGCTAGTCAGTGTGCAAAGGTGCCTGCTTGACATGCGAACAATGTCTGAGGACCTCGCATGTTTGCGTCGACGACGATTCCCCGTTGCTCAAGCTTCAACCTTGCTGCTTTGCGGGAAGTTGAGAGCGTAAACGCATCAGATGAGGATTGCTTCATGGAGCCTGCTGACTGATGCAGGAATCTTCGCCGTGGAGCTATGAGTCAAGCCTCAACATCTGTCCAATTCTCCTGATGATGGCCCCTTTTTGGGTACTCTTGATTATGGCATTATTATGGCATATTATGGCCCCCCTTCTTTTGGGTCACCGTCAGAGTCTGGCCCCCTGTAAATATTGGAACCTGGGAAGGCCACCATTTTTTGTTGCTTTAGCTGGCCATGTTTGAGCTCTCAGCCCAGGGCCCTTCGCAGAACTCCACGTTGGGGGCTGCGCCGATTCCGACGACGGCCAGATTGCATTCCAGCGTAGCTCCGGACCTGGGCGGCATCTTAGTGTTTTTAAGCGCTTGGGCTGGGCAGGAAGCAGAGATTCTGATAGGGGGCCTTCGGCACAATCAGCGCATCACTCCCTTGCTGCAGCAGCCCTGGGCCGCCAGCTTCAGGGTGACCCCGGACACTGTGCCTTTGTCGCCAACAAACTCGGCTACCTGGTCACCTTGCGCGGATTCGGGCTTCGATGCTTATGCCGGGCTACTTCAGGTGACCATTCCGCGAGCATCCTGCTGTTTAGGGAACCGACATGATCAGCTGGTTTCGGCAGGCACCTGTAAGATATCTGGACATAGACATAGAGCTTGCTATCTGGAAAGGGATACCAGCAGCTACTGCAAGCATCGCAAAAGTCTTGTCCGCAAGTTGAGCCCATCTGATTGCCAGGAATTCTCTAGCATTGATTCCTAAGATTTAGGACATCCCTGCACCCAGAGATTGGCTCAGCCCCCAAACGTCTGGGATGCTTTGCTGTCTTAAGGAAGGAAACGGTGACCCTTTTTTGGTTTGTTTTGGGGGCAGGCGACGAGCTCTTGGGCAAGCATATTTTCGGGTCCCAGGTCCCGTCCCAGGATGGGGTCCACGAACAGGGCCCTCTTTGTGCAAACTGTGAGAAGACCTTGAGGGAGGTTGCAGAAACGCGAGTGCAGCGTTGAGATCACCAGATTAAGCAGAAGCAGTTTCTGAAAACATGGAACCACTGACCAGCTCGCCTTTCACGAACTTCACTCCGCGAGCAGCATACTGCTCCTGTCGCAGCAGGTTGGCGTGCCCATCCCACGTGGAACATGAGACAGCACAATGTGGGGTTTACCATATTTGGTGTACCTTATTGGGGTCCTGAGTATAGGGGGATCCTACTCTTTGGGGATCTATATGGGGCTATTTTCGTAAACCCCCATGTGCAAACTGGCACTACAGTCGTTTGGGAAGATCTGCAGGCTCCAAGTCCCGGCCCGTGTCCTCCAGCCACTGGCCAAGCTCCGGATTGAAGAGCCGTGAGATCACGTGAGCCTAGTCAAGCTGGATTTTGGGAGACTATTCATAAATCCGGGCAGCAGCTGCCTGCTAGAGAATTAGCTTTCTTCTCTAGAGTTGTCATCATAAACCTCGTCAACAAGGCGTTGTGACTTTTAGTGATGGGTTCTACGATGAGGAGACGACCAGGTCAACTTGTACGTGCATGTGCGTGTGCGTGTGTGTGTGTGTGTGTGTGTGTGTGTGGGTGTGTGTGTGGTGTGTGAGTGTGTGTGTGTGTGTGTGGGTGTGTGTGTGTGGTGTGTGTGTGGGTGTGCGTGAGGAGTGAGTCGCGGAGTGCGTGTGTGTGTGGTGGTGTGTGTGTGTGTTTGTGCGGGTGTGTGTGTGTGTGGGCGGGGTTGAGTGCGTGAGTGAGTGCGTGCGGCGTGCGTGCGTGTGTGTGTGTGTGGGGGTTGTGGGGGTGTGTGTGTGTGGTGAGGAGTGCGTGCGCAGTGAGTGCGTGAGTGATGTGGTGAGTGGTGCGTTGCGTGTGTGTGTTGTGTGTGTGTGTGTGTGTGTGTGTGGTGTGTGTGTTGTGTGTGTGTTGTGTGGTGTGTGTGTGCGTGTGTGTGTGGTGTGGTGCGAAGTGTGTGTGTGTGTGTGTGTGTGTGTTGGGACGAGTGTGTAGTGTGCGCATGTGTGTGTGCAGGTGCGTGTGAAGTGTGGTGTGAGTTAGTGATGTGGCTAGACGGTTCGGTCCAACCTTTGCCGTGTGCGTGTGCGTAGTGAGTGTGCGTTGTGCGTCTGTGTGGTGTGTGTGGCTGGGTGTGTGTGTGTGTGTGTGTGTGTGTGTGTGTGTGGGATGTGTGTGTGCGTGTGCGTGCGTGAGTGTGTGAGTTTCGTGGACGGAGTGTGTGCGTGCATGAGGGTGACGTTTGTGAGGGAGTGTGGGTGGGTGGGGTGCGTGTGGGTGAGTGTTGTGTGCGTGTGTAGTGGGGCGTGTTTGTGTGAGTGTGTGTGCGTTGTGGTGTGCGTGGTGTATGCGTGATGTGTTGAGTGTGTGTGAGTTTGCTGTGGTGAGTGTGTGGTGAGTGTGTGTGAAGTGGTGTGTGTTGTGTGTGTGTGGTTGTGTGAGAGGTGTGTGAGTGTTTGTGGCGTGTACGTGTGCGTGTGTGGTGCTCTGGTGTGTGTGCGTGGGTGTGCGTGTGGTGCGTGTGTGTCGCGTGCGTGTGCGTGGGTGTGCGGTGCGTGCGTGCGGAGTGCAGTGCAGCGTGCGTGGGTGGTGCGTGGTGAGTGCGTGGGGGCTGTGCGTGGGGTGTGTGTGTGTGTGGTGTGTGTGGTGCGCGGGTGTGTGTGTGTGTGTGTGTGTGTGTCGTGGGTGAGGGTGTGATGTGTGTGTGGGTGTGGAGCGCGAGGTGTGTGTGTGTTTGTGTGGTGTGTGTGGGTGTGTCTGAGTGTGTGTGGTGTGGGTGTGTGGGGTGTGCGTGTGGGGTGTGTCGTGGTGTGTGTGTGCGATGTGTGGTGTGTGTGTGTGTGGTGTGCGTGAGGTGAGTGCGTTTTGTGTGTGTGTTGTGAGTGTGCGTGCTGTGTGTGTGTGTGTGTGGGTGTGTGTGTGTGTGTGTGTGGGGTGTGTGTGTGTGTCGCGTGTGTGAGTGGTCTGTGGCGCTGAGTGAAGTGCGTCGTGACGGTGCGTGGTGTGTGTGTGTGTGCGTGGTGTGTGTGTGTGTGTGTGTGGGTGTGTGTGTGTGTGCCGTGAGTGTGTGGTGTGTGTGTGTGTGCGTGTGTGTGCGTGTGCGTGCACGTGCGCTGTGCGTTGGAGTGCGTGTGCGTGCAGTGGGCGTGCGTTGGGAGTCGTTGGGCGTGAGTTGGCGTGCAGTGTGCGTGTGCGTGTGCGGTGCGGGCGGATGCGTTGCGTGCGCGGGAGCGGCGTGGGTGGGTGGGTGGGTGGGTGTGTGTGTGTGTGTGTGTGTGTGTGTGTGTGTGTGTGTGTGTGTGTGTGTGTGTGTGTGTGTGTGTGTGTGTGCGTGTGCGTGCGCGTGCGCGTGCGCGTGCGCGTGCGCGTGCGCGTGCGCGTGCGCGTGCGCGTGCGCGTGCGCGTGCGCGCGCATGCACGTCCAGTCCTTGTATCAAGGACCTATTTGCACCCCTGGAACTAACTGTACTGTCAAGGTTTGGAACCCTGCGCCCGACATGCTGCCTCAGGAAACACGACAGTGGTGTCCACCTGGGCAGTGCTGAGACGCAACGGGGCACCTGATCGGCCCTGTCTTAGCCCCCAAGGCTGTGACCTCCTTTTGCTTCAAGATCGTTGACGTGCATTGAACAATTGGGAGCCCCCAACAAGGGCGAGAGGGTCTCGAAAAAAAAGGAAGCTCCCTACGTTTCAAGGGCGTCGCTAAGGTGCTCGGCAAGGCTGCGGGTCGCTATGTTTGAAGCCCAGTGCCCACCATGTGCTCGGCACGCCCTTTTTCTTGGCTCGTTCTTGGCTCCTATGTGACTATTTGATAGTCACCATCGGGTTCAATAGGGTGGCGGACTCTCGAGGGCTGCTGGCCCAGTGGAGAGCTGGAACCAGCTGCGTTTTTCGGCGAGCTTTCCACCGACGTCTCCAGGACACGCGAGCCAGCCCATACTTTTCAGGTGGAGGTTGAATAGTTATGTTGAATCAGTCTGGAAAGGCCTCCGGGTGTTGGTGTGGGTTTTGCTTTGGCTCAACTTGCCTGCGTTGTGCTTCGAAGTACGCGAGCAGTTCCATTCGGAAGCGCCAGCGCAAAAGCGAATTGAAATGAGTCGGCGTCAAAAATGCTTGTTTAAGCCTTGCTTGTTTTTGAATTAGCGCGTCCCCTATCGTTTTCCATGTTTTTCACCTACCGCACTTTTATCCTATAGTATGAAATAACAATATCATTTTAGCGCGTCCCCTATCGATCCTCGGCATTTTGCTGCAACAACTACCCCCTCTACTAAAACAACTAAGCGGTAATTTTGACCGCGCCTCGAATGAAAATTCGAAGGCACACTTTGTGCCTGCAGACGTTGGGTCAGAGGAAAATAGATGTCTCGAGGGACCGTGACACAATGTAGCTGTGCACCGAACCTGCTTTCGCCACATGAGCCGCATGACTCGCCTGCGATGATTGCTTCCCGAGGACGAAGCAGATGCAGTTTCCGCACTTCCTCTCTCATTCAATGCACTTGCGATCACAGATCCGGAATTGCTCACCAACTCCATTTTAAACCTCGACACACAGAGGCCAGTAGGCCCCTGACTTCATTCCGCTCGTCTTAAGTCCTCCTGCAGGTGCCCCCTAAGCTTGGCAAAGACCTGCCATTCGTGAAGCCAGGCCTATAGTGAGACCGAAGAAAAAGCATTTAAAATCAATTTGTTGGGATGTTTCCCCCTTATACTAAGAGTCCCTCAATACGGAGGAGACTAGGGGGTACTAGAATCCTACTAGAATCCCTATTAAAGGACGGTTCTTCGTATAAGGGGGAACCCAATCAGTCATTTGTTCTGGCTTTTGCCGGATGCCACTCCGCAGCAAGCCCAAGGCCTCCGCGAGTCAAAATATGGGGGTTTAGGGTTTAGGGTTTAGGGTTTAGGGTTTAGGGTTTAGGGTTTAGGGTTTAGGGTTTAGGGTTTAAATAAACCCCCCAAATAGTAGGATTCCCTTAAAATAAGGACCCCAAGAAGGTGCCCCTAATTTCGGAAACCCTCATATGACTCCTTTTGGGTTCCTTCTTCCAAGGCCCCCTGTTGTTTAGGGCACCCCCAAAAGGACCATGATTTAGAGGACTGACCAAGTATGTTTGGGCGTCGCTCTTTTCATCAGTTTTCATGCGCCTTCGTCCCTTGTCTCGTTGTCAGCTGCTGCATTTTCTTCGTATCGTCGCATTGAGACTGCGTGAGAACATCCCCACCTCTTCCGTTCACTGACTTAAAGACTTTTTTAAACATGGGACTTTTAAGACGTTGCAGGCTTAGTTGTTCATATAGGGCTGAGGGTTCGGTATGGAGAGAGATGACATTGCAAACCATTGGAAGTTGATTGATGATGACGGGAACGACGAGAATGACGACGACAATGAAAACGCCGAGTTTACTGCAGCCATGCTTTGGGTTTGAGGCAAGGCACATTGCTTGTGTATGGCTTGGGCTCATGGTTACAGCTTTCTGTAGGCCTTGACTGATGGGTTCCTATGTGCATAATGAAAAGTGCCACAGGCTGCTCGGAAACTCTTTCCAGAAGCTCAAACCCATTTCGTATCAACGATCATGAAACATCGTCGGAATCCCCTGGTGCATTACGGTACGCGCGGCGTGATTGGCTTACAAACTACCGATGCTGACCATCTCAGGGCGCCTCCACCAAGTCTGCCTTCTGGCTGCCTGCACTTCCGGACCATATGCCCCCACTGAATCCCCTATAGGCCTGTCAGTGACTAAGTACTTAGACAGAGTTGTAAGATTCACCTGCCAAACTCAAGTCGAGCATGTTCTGGGCGGCAACTTTCCTGCCCAACCCCCTCCCTTCCACCCATCTTTGCATGTTGAATATGATTTTGATGTAGGACGCAGAACACCGTATCCACAGGCACACAGACACAGACAGAGACACAGACAGACAGAGAGACAGGCAGACAGGCAGGCGGACAGACAGACAGACAGGCAGGCAGACAGACAGACAGGCAGACAGACAGACACAGGCAGGCAGACAGACACACGGACGAACAAACGCACAGACACACACAAACGAACAAACGCACAGAGGCACACGCTCCCGCACAGTGGCAAGGCTCCGCCTGCCGTTTCCTCGATTGCAGCACCTGCGCGGGCTAGCGAAGCGCACCAGCTCTGACATAAATCCTCCGAAGCCCTGGACGACGGCTTTTGGAACCTGTCTGAGCCAGAGTTGCATCGAACCCCCGATACCGATACCTGACTGGACGGTCACTGGCATCAAGCGATCTACACCCGCTGCCCACAGCCTCTCTCCAAGCATCGAACGCAGTGCCGAGGTCCAGGGAATCCCTCGTCTAGAACAGACTGCAGCACAGATTTCAGCAGAAACCCTCAACCCTGAACCCTGAACCCTAAACACATGAGAAGCAACCTGCAGCTTGAGCTCCTCAACGGAGCTTGACCATCCCTACACAAATGCTAAGTCCGTTCAAAGAGGGGCCCCGAGCTGCAAGCGTCCCAAGAATTGAATGCACACGGTCGAACAAGATGAGTTCTCAAAGCGACCAGCTGCCTGCATGTGGCCTCTTAAAGTCATGTGGCAGTAAGTTGTTCGTCTAGTGGGGCTGGGAGTGTGGCAGTTCTAAGTTGACCTTTGGGCGTGCCTGAGGTCTGACACGAAGGCTTTTCACGCCGAAAGTTATCGCATCGAGACGCCTGGGCGCGACCAACGAACCTCACACGCTGGAGCCCTAGAGAAGACATGCTCTGCTATTCTGGTTTCTAGCTCTTATCTAAAAACAATCCAACATACCCCAAACCCATACCCCTTAACCGATAAACAGGAGATTATAAGGAAGGGCTTTACCATACCACGTAATTTCTTTCAATGGGGTATGCCCAAGGGTTATGTTGAACATTTCGCAGACCTTATGACAAGTATGAGGACATGTCTGTTGCAGACCAAGCTCATCCAAATTCTGACCCCCAAGAAAAGCCTTACAAGAAGGTTTCGCGTGCAAAACTCTGGTAATTGGCTCTTCACGGCTTAGCGAGCAGCCTGTTCAGCTGCGCTTCTTTGCCAAGTTTAGCACGAAAGCCCCAGAAACACGTTTTTCCAACTGGCCCAGACACTCTCGCCACTTTGCGATGACGTTGACAGCGCCAACCTCCCATCATCACAGTGCGATACAGTGCGGAACCCTGAACCCGAAATCCCAACTGTTAAAGTTGGGTGGTGCAAACCCAACAACACCGCGTCCAAATCCTCCCTCAAATTGGGGGTGTCTAGGGCTCTTTGTCAAACAAAATCCAGTATTCCGACTGCCTACAGGCCAACTTTAGAGCAAAGTCCGATCCGAGCAAAGGCAATGGCCTGCCAGCTCTTAAGCATCTTCACGAGTTCTGCCACCTGTTGATCCGACCCAAAGAGGTCCTAGGCCAAGACGCACAGGTTGGGGCGTAGGAGCAGCCAGAAGTCGAAGAGGTATGCAGCGGTATGCAGTTAAACAGTGAGGCGGAAAGACATACCTACAGGAACCATCTTGAGGGCCTAGGTATCTTGGCAGACTTTTGTGCGGAAGGCTCGAAGCCCTCTCCGAAAGCCCCTCACCCACTGCGGACGAAGACTCCGAGGCTTCATCATCTTCAAAGAAGCTCCTTAGGGCGGTGAGCGAAGTGCAAGCGATGGTGTTGCAAGGCCCGTCATGTGGGGTGTGTTTAATTTCATGACTCTGAGGGCTGAGAGGCTTTAGAGGGGCTTAGCCCAGCAACAACAGGTTCCCAGAATCGCTTCGCACAAGCTGACCCCTTGTATCTCCTGTATTCCCAACTGTTGGGACAGAAGAGATGGCGATGCTATTACCGAAGCCAGATCTGCCATCATCTTTCAGCTGCTTGCGTTGAGTTAGGGGTGGTTTTGTTTCAGGTGGCCTTCGCGCTCTCCTGAACTTTCAGCCACGAATTTGTTGGAAGGGACAGACATGCTGCAATTTGCAGTAGTTGGTGGCTTCAAGGGACTGCGATTTACAGCATGTGGCTCTTTCCAGCCGTTCTGAGACCACAGAAGCTGCGAAACTACTGAATCACGAGCCCCAACCCCTTCCACAAGCATCTGACAGACAGTTGAGAAGGGCTCCGCGTGTTAAGCTGTGCCCGGAAACATATTGACCGCAAAAACACGTCAAAGTTAGTTCACGAACATGCAGAAGGACCAAAGACTAACTAAAGCCCTTCGTGCTGTTCAAGCGCCTTAGCTTCATTTGGAAAACAACGATTTTCATATTCTGACTTTGTGAACCTCTGGCTGACGTAAAATTCGATGGGTGGGGGGAGAGGGAGGGTGGAAGCTGCTGGTGAAAAACCATACTAAGAAATGCTGTGAGTCGCGGCCTTTGCCGCGACTAAGCGCGTTGACCAACACGCTGCAAGTTGCTTTCCTGTAAGGTGGCTCACTGTAGACTTTCTGCACAGAAATATTGTGATTTACAGCGTGTGCACCCTTGAAGGTACAGAATTGCACGGATGCTAAACCCCCTGAACCC